TCAAAAAACTTACTCAAGTACTTACGATCACTATAAATATTACTGGTCATCAAAAATAAAATTTTACTCACCAAAGTACTAAGATTTGACGATCACGCTATAAACTTGAGCTATCCTTGGAACTACGCGTACGCACGGCAAAGGTCAATAGCGGTCAAGCAGAGCGCAAAGCGACATATACTCTCTCTGGAAGGGCTCGCTGCCGACTGATTTGAATAGGTTCGAGCGCAGTTTTATAGTAGATTTGAAATATTTATAGAAAAATAATAGAGCTAACTTAGTTTACTTTTTTGATCGTAACTTATAAAGGATGCATTCTTCTATTACAATTAATATAAATTATATTAAATTAAGTAATATGTATTGGTTAAAAAAATCATTTCATCGACTGTAATTTCTAAAAAAAATCACTTTGTATGGATTTTAATTTCATGAGTTTGGAAGCTAAAACAAAAAATCCCTTTAACTAATGATTTTCTTAAGGATCTTTGCTGTTAGTTAAAATTTTTTGTTTATTAGATCTGTCAGAAATTTCAGATATTTTTAGCTTCGAAATTGACACTGAGAGTGAAATCCAGTAAACCTCTGTTCAGTTATCTTGATGGTATTCACAAATAATGTTTTAATCGCAAAAAAACTTTAACTAACGACATAGATTAAAACATTTCCTAAAATTATAAGCAATTCACATGTTTGTAAGATAATTGGTTGGTGGACAATCTGGTTTGAAAAATCACGTTTTTGAGCCAAACAGCGCACGGAGCGCGTATACGCTCTTAAGTAGGTACTCCGAGTACAGCCGAGGGCCCTTAGGCCGTATACAGAAAGAAAGCCGAAAGCCGATCGGCGCCGATCAGCGCCGATCGGCGCTTATCGGCGCCTATAGGCGCTGATCCTTTTTCTATGGACCGGCGCCGATCGGCGCCGATAAGCGCCGACTCGCGCTGGTCCGAATAATAAATAATTTGTATTTGAATTATTTTCCTTAGATTAAATCAATCTAAGTTATAATCTTTTTATAAATCTAATAACTTTATCTTTTATTAACTAAGCGCTAAAATTATTTGTTTCGTACTTATCGAATGGTGACAACAAGTCTTTCTTCTGGAAGGATTGGTTGTTTATGCCAATTGTCCCAATTTTTCATCAAACAGTTTTTCACTAAATCCAAAATGTAATAAAATGTTTCTTGAATCATTCTTGTATATGTATAAAATCTTTGTTCATCAATTTTTTTTTTTTTTACAAATAAATTATGGTATTCTCCGAAACGTTTCCTTTCTCTATTTATAGGATGTATAGCTGTTTTTCGCATTTTTAAATAAACATTTTCTAACAAAACCAAATCATCGTCCGATGAGTCCGACATTTTGCTTGATCTGCTTTAATCGGCTTCCTTTATGTAGGAAGGATCGGCGCCGATAAGCGCCGATCGGCTTTCGGCTTTCTTTCTAAACGGCCTTAAGGTGATATCAGACGGTTCACTCGAGTGAACATTCACACGAATGAAATCTTCATTTTTCTTTCATTCCATGTTCACACAACTTACTGCGAATGACAAAGAAGAGAACGTTCATCTGATATTTACTTTAAATATTTTATGTCATCGGATGAAGTCGTGCATCGCGGAATCCGTTTAATTTGTGATCATTTAATCCAAAAGTTAGTAATGTTAGTTTATGACCAGTACAGTGTAGGCACACGATATATATCGTCAGAAGAGCAACCACTTTTAATAGACGGATTTATTTTTGTTAATTCAGTTGTAAAGCGGCTCCGTTTAGTTTTTATTTTATGTTTGATGTCTTCTTCAGTAACCTCGAGGTTTAAATCACTAATTAGGGATTTTTTAGCGTTTATACGTAATGTTCTATCCTTGTATTCGTCAAGTTTGTGGTTCCATAAACATTGATTATTCTTAAAATGTTCCAAAAACAGCAGCGTACCTTACTTATTCTACTTGAACATCATTTTTCTTCCAATTTTCCATGACGCAACGGGACGTGCGTCTGCTACCGGGCTCGAGACAAAATGGCCGAATCCGAGTGAACGTTCTCTCGATGTGCAGACCGTTCATTTTTCGTTCCTTCGCAGTTGGAGTGAAAGATGCCGAATGATAAAATCTAACAAAGTCGGATCGGTTCATTAATGAATTCATTCGGCACTCTTATTTCATTTGGGGTTCAGACGAATCATTTCGAGTGAAAGATGCCGAATGAAAGACAAAAATGAACGAAAAGTGAACCGTCTGATACCGCCTTTATGGATGCGATTTATAGTAATTTCTATCAAAACGGTTGAGGTACATTCAACCTTGTTACTAATTTCACATTGCACATTGAACAAGCCAAGCATTACCTAGCTAGAGTGGTCCTATTCTATTACTACAGTAAAATAACACTACCCTTTCGTGTTCATCCTTATGGCGCGAGTATATTGGGTCGTTAGCCCGAATACGAGTGCCAATGGAATACGTGTACACGGTCTTTCGTGCACCCGAATACGGGCTAGCGACCAAATCTTATTGTGGCATAAGTGTAAACGAACGGAGTACGCCCGTATTCGGGTAGATTTCTTAGGCGTTGAGCAGACGACGGGGCGGGGCGGGCATTTTGTCCGCGAAGCAATAAAGACCGCGTCTGCCCGTCGATGTCTGCGGCTGCCCGCGCCGCGTACACAAAGCACACGACGGGCAGAGGCGGTCAGTTCAGGACGTCCGTTCTAGTGAATAGTCCATCACTAATAAGCGCGTGGCGCGGACTGAGCTGACCGCCCCGCGCCGCCGTCTGCGTTACTGCATATAAACTGGTTTGTATGATTCACGGCGGGCAGCCGCAGACATGCCGCGCCGCCACTGCCCGCCGGGCACCTGCGGCGCGGTCATTTTGCCCTCTGTGTGCGTTTGAAGTAAAGGATTCACTTTGTGCTATTATTCGCGGCGAAATTGACCGGCCCGCCCCGCCCCGTCGTCTGCTAAGCGCCTTATTGTTTACCCGACCCCGTCTTCCAGCCCGTATTCCAGCGTAAGTATTGCTTTGAGTGCCCAAATTCGAGTAATGCCTTTCGTGCACCCGAATACGGGCTAACGACCGTATTCGGGTGCACGAATATACGGAAATGTTATTGCGGCATTAGATGGGTAACCTCGGAGACGTTGTACATTTTAGGAATTTTGGTTGTTTCTCTTTCTCATTAACGACAACCTACCTTAACGACTTTTTAAAAAAACATCTATGAACACGTGCTCAACTGCGAATCGCCTCACTGTAAGCTGACCTCGGCAGTTCGGTACACCACGAGAGCTAGGTCAGGGATGTAGTACTGTTCTGCAAAATTGCCCATAAAAAAGCTAGATCCACTGGCAATAAGGTGACGTTCACCTGTTGACCGCCTGGCAGGGAGTAGGGGCCGTGATCCATAGCTAGGATTTTGCAACTCTACCATCTTCGCCCACGATCAAGGCAATGCTGGACGAAATTGCAATTTACACTTTTAGAGGTACTAAGCTATAATAAACACGCAAGTGCTAGCAAGCAATAGAGTGCTCTATATCAAAGGGCATTCGTATTTGCATCTCTATTTTAAAAGCAGAGATACCTTCTGGTTCTAATAAATACAAAATAGTATTTAATAGAGAAATGTAGATACACTTCTGGACATATCTATCGGCCCACCGAGCACTAAGTTTTGACGGTCCCTAGCTAAAAATAAATGTTTGATTGAGCAATAAGTTATCATCTACGCAGTTTTGAAGCAGATTCTAAGCATTTTTTCGTGTTTTTAAAATTATTGCTTATCCTTAAGCATATATTTTTGCAACAGATCATTAAAACTTATAACACTAAGTGGGCCGCCAGATATGTTCGGAAGTATATTTCTTGACAAAGAAAAATTGGTCATTTCAGTTGAAGGTGTGCCTCAGTTTTGCTAAAATCATGATCCTCATCTTCATAGATGTTTCTTGATACCTCTAATTTATTATTTCTTCTATGGTCCTATAAATAGGTCCTTTGGTTTACTAAATTAACTAGGTAGATACTTGATAAAAAAAAATCAAGCTAAATTAACCACATTTCGAATAAATCCCACTTTAGGTATGGGGCCCTCGCACGTACAGACTGACAAAATTATAGTATTTTATAAAAACGATTGCAGAATTCGGACTTTTGGTAGTAACTTGGAATCAGTTGTTTTAATCGCATTTCGTAAATAAAAATTGAGAAAATTGCCTTTTGCTGTTCCATCGTTTTTTGCTATCCAATAAGTCAATGTTGGAAAATAAAAAAAGTTCAACTACAGATCCCTTCTTCTTTAATTATAAGTTTTCACCTTTCGGAAAAACTTCTAAAGAAACAGGTTTAGATATGTTTCATCCATCACATCAGATGTTTCAACATCATGGCATGTTTATTGAACGATTACCAAACTCAGTCCAAAGGGGATCCTTCGTACAAAACAAACCAAATTAAACAAATATAGGATTATATTCATTGAAACATTCAAATCCAACATAATAGACATTGGAGCACATTCCAAGTTTGCACAAGCCGTGTACAGACTTCGTCACTGGGGCATGGTATCGCCACGAGTTCTTCCATCTACTACATTATAATCCCATTTGCCATAATTATTTCGGGCGTTTATTCTAAGCCACTATGTCTCTATTTTCGTCTCAAATACCTCAAACCATGTTAATGAAAAATATCGCAACCAACACACATTGTTAAAAAAACTCCGCGTCGAGTCGGTTATATTATATATCGAGAAAAGCCACACGTGAGAAATATTAAATCGACTCTGATTTACAATGTGAATAAGTTACTATGAATGATTAAAACTGAAACCCCCTTATTAATAAACGAAGATTAAGCTTGGATTAGTTACTCCATGTTTTGTCTCTTTTCATCGAATGAAAAATGTCATTTCGAGTGATATGAACAAAACACGGCGTAACTAGTCTAAGCTTATTCCTCGTTTATTAATAAGGGGGAAAGGGTATAAATTAAGTAGTATTATCAATTCTGATTACTAAGTGTCTTAAAACATCTAAGGCATCTTTACGAAAACTTATTGTATTTTTTTCTTAATTTATTACATCATATATATACATAATTTCGACATAATCATTTATTTATAACGTAACATTTCTCTGGCAGGTTAAGTAAAAAATTAAATAGTAACATACAAGTTTGGATGTTTTGTAAAGGGGCTTTCAGCCAGAATTAACAATACAGTGCTAGTGTTATATACCTATTTATGTGCAACTAAATACAGTGTACATTCGAGGCATTTAATAACATATTGACAATGCCTATTAAAATTTCGTTGATACACAAACGCAAAGCTTGAACTACTGTTACCCGATCATGTTAGCGTTGTGTTGGCCTCAAACGTACACACGTTTTGGTAATTCGACAATGATTAAAGCATTATTTATAATATTTTCTATTACCTACATACTTTTATAATCTATAAAAACTGATTTGATTACACTGGAGATTTGTGTTAAGATTTGTTATTATTTTTATAAAGGCGTTTCAGTCCACTGAGATCGCTTCACATATTCACGTCATCCGTAGACCCTGATTACATGTAGATGTCTATTGAAAAGCGCGAACCTGCGAAATGTGGCTCTGAAGACACCTAACATTAACGGGTCTGTGCATTAGCTATGTACAAGCGTCACTAATATTTACTATCACAATTACAATCATTGACAATGTTTAACAAAATTGTAATGCATTCCAAATATTTATTTGTTAAAATACCTCATCACTAGCAGGTCAATTTGGTTTGCAGCACATATAAAACCGATAATGTTTTTTGCGTAATATATAATACTCCGCATTATACCAATACAATAATTTAAAATTTATACATACCTACTAGTTTTGATCTATAAAAATAACCTTTTTACACTGCAAATACGCTATCTTAAATGTCTTGTTAAGTTTATGAACATCAAGTAAGCAATGAAAAATACTTTAAACAAAGTTATTCTTTCCACGAATCTAGATAACAGAACATTAAAAAGATTAATTGAAAGTTAGTATTAAATAAAAGCAATGTACAAAGGAACTTCATACTATACCATTATTTAACGATCGCCAATTCTCTCGCGCTGACGAACAATTTTTCAATTAATTTTACCGCGTAAAGATACTATTATTGGCCAAAACTTTTCTTTTACTTGCTGTTGCGGCCATGTTGTACGGTAATTATGCTGCCAGGGCAGAGCACATGCACATATAACAAAATATTGTCGCCTACCGCAGAAGACAAAATGGCTTTAATGTTCGTACAACTTTTAGTTTCACATTCAATCAACAATAGTTTCTGAACCTTTTGAAAATAAACAATTGCAAAAAAAAATGTTGTCAAGCATAAATATTTAATTTAAATCTGAAAGGGTCTTTCAAAAGCACGAGACCTCATTATTAACAAGAAACGATGTTAGGGCGTACATTTTATTAGGGCATTTTAATCACAAACTATAATTGATTATACTTCTAAATCTGTTACAAATAATATAACACAGTTAATCCTCTTGAGAGCCATTAAAGATATATATTATTTTAAAAATTCATTGAAATTTGATATCGATTTATAACTATAACCATACTCTCTCGCTGGGTATGTTGCGGATAGCACACATTAAGCCCTAAATAGTGGTGAACATTTGTTGAAAAACATGATGGCGGCACTTCACTTGGCTATTCGCGTTTGCTATTTGTAATCACCCTATTCCATCCATAGGGAAGGTCTGTGCCCCAGCAGTGGGGACATTAATAGGCTGATGATGATGATGATGATTTGTAAACTTGACACCAGTCTGTCCTTCTTCATTCTTTATAATTAAAGCATCATGAGGACAGATTGTTGTCAAATTGACAAAAAGCAAATACGAAAAGCCAAGCGAAGTTTCAGGATTATTGATTAATAGTGGCAATATTAATGAGAATTATGTTGTGACAATCCTAACATAAACAAATGTTCACTGTAAGGGACTTTATAAGCGACGTACACCAGCAAGCTATAACACAGGCACATTTGTCTATACATACTATATTATTAAACACAGTCGTCAGCATAATATTTCTCACAGTACAAATTCGTATCTAAATAATGATGTATAATCTTACAATGTTTAATTTTGCCGAATCACCAAAAGCTATAAGGAAAATAAAACTTTTACTGACAAAGAGGTTGACGCACACTTTCCCGCTGTTACTTCAGACCAGTGCAGTATTTTTTTCGTAAAATATGAACCATTCAATGACAGAAGGTTATCTACCTATTTAAAACAAGGAGGCCACAACTCGATTTCAACTCTGAAGAAACGCTGAAACTGCTTTTAATGAACAACAAATTGACGCCGTATCAACATAATAGAACATCGAAACCTTTCTTAGCTTCAAAGTTTAAAATATTCTTTACAAGATTATGATTGATAATACTCTAATACAGTTGGATTGTTAACATCAATGTTCATGATAAATAAATTGGTAAAAGGCTAAAAGAACACGTCGCGTATCGCTACGGGCGAAAAATATTTTAAGATATATTTACCAATCAAAAAAGTTTAAACTTTTAGCTAGCAGTGAGCGTACTAGTTTCAATAGCTTAGGAAAACAAGGGTGATCTGTTTTCATCTCCTACATTTGATAACAGCACAGTTTCTGCTAGAAACGGAGCTGGAAATGTATGGAGAAAAACAAGGCAACCACACTTATCGAATCCTTCGAAAACTCGTACTATGTGGCCAATGTCACAGCCATATGTTCACTAAGGACAAAATATGAATAACAAGATAATAACTTACACGTTGCAAAATAAGTCTTAATATTACACGACATTAAATTAGGGGCTATTTAAGACACATTTGCCCCAGAGCGAAGATATGGCGCAGACATATCTACTACACTGAAAAAGCACATTAAGTCGTTTGATATTCGTGTTCATGGTATCAGTATGCTATTTCATATAATGTGAAAATAAGGCTATTTATTGGGAAACCATGCGATAATAATCTTGCAGCGAACAATATAATTTGTCTGTTATGGTCCAGCGTATTATAAATAACAGCTTCTATAAAACATAATGAATAACACACTTCGATAGCATTCGTAATTGCTTATTATTTTTCTATGGACAGTGAGGATCCCTAACGATTTTAGTCGAGAAAGCAGATTTATAGAGCTAAGGATTCCATAAAATACAGGGGTTAAATATTTGTTCTACGACAAATATTGTCGAATTTATAACCAAATAACTAAACGAATTTTCGGCTGGCCGCGTGGTGGCTGTGACGTCACAGGGTTCTAACGCTTGGTCGCGAGCGTGCGTAGAGACGCTAATGAAGTTCGACTGGACTAAACCACGATCGAGCTCTGTGACGTCACACGTTTCGGCCGCCGGTGAATATTGGCTACCATAAAATTAGTTAAAAAACGCAACGAATGAACCGATTTCGATGATTTAAAAAGTATATTGATTAAAAAGCTTATTAGATCATCATACTGTTGATTTGAGTTGATTTGCTGACCTAGTAATGATCCTCATTTTCTAAATTGGATATTTAATTTGCGTGCCTAGCGGGTAATCCCCATCCATTAATTGACTGGTGGTACCAACGCGTTAACAAGCTTCCAATACACGGCCAGCCCGATGTAATACTGTTTAGTAGTTAGTACTTTTTTTTAATAATGCCCTCATCCAGCTCTCCAAAGGTAATGTTTCATTACCTTATATTCCATCACGTAATTTAATATACTAACATCATGTCAAAGAATAAAATAACAGCCATAGACATCTTCATCATTAGAATATCCTTTTTTTAAATTATTTGTACCAACCATTAGTATCAACATTAGTGCGTGCATCTCCCGATTACATAAAATATGCTTTCCAAATTGCGGTCACAAATAGAAACAATAACGCATAGAGCACTTCAACTAGACCGCATAGGGGCACCCCGCTTGTGTCAAGCTTATGCAGCAATGCTACGTAAGTGTTTGATACGCCCCCAACTTTGAAGCACGGCAAAGTATCGTTTCACTAATTTTGTCGTCTGACAATGACGTCACACTGACATGTGTCCAATTAAAACGCGCCTTACCCTCCCCGCACGCTAAACTGACGATTTAAATTTCAAACAAAATTGGATAGAAACAGACTGGAATGAGTGTGTTTAAGAAAATTTACGTCACCAGTTGGCACCACTGTGACATGAGGTCTTTTGTATGAAGTTTTTAGCTCGAATCAATCGATCGTGCATTTAAATTTATCTATTGACTATGACGACATAATATGTGATTTGACGGATGAGACCTTCTGTCTCAGTGCTGCCATATGGTGCCCTCATTTAAACGCGGCTTATCCTCCCAGCACGCTAAACTATGGCGATGTAGATTTCAAGCAAATATGGAGTAACGCTCTGACTCTAGTAGGGGTGTTGCTCAGGGTCAAAACGAGACCCTATCAATGCATATTCATGTAGTAGTGATTACTGAAACCTATCAATGTCTCTTGATGTAGTAATGGCAAGTGAGGCCATCGAAGTGTGTAATACAGTATGTTTGTACACAGGGGTGACCGCCTAACGGCTACGTCGGATTCAGTTGTATATCTTGATGGCCTTCTCGAGGTAGTTGACGCGGGACCGCTTGGGCGTCTTGTTGATGTGCTCGAGGCCGAGCCACGGCCGCACGCCCGTCGAGTCTGGCAGGGACACATCTTTATTACAGTCAAGCGAGTATTCTTGTTGCGGTGGCACGTTATGCCGAATGTTTATGCAGAATAATAAAAATAAATATTTCCAACACACACCAATTAGCCTAGCCCCAAAGCACGGTAATATTATCTATACAGTATTGTGACTCCGCCCTGTCCTTGAAAATAAATGCCTACACCGAGCGCTGTGTCGGCACGCGGTAGGGCCGCCAGCCTACAGTATTTTATGTAGTTTTGTTTTTAACGCGAGTGTAGGTAGATTACTCGTTTGTCTCTTTTTTCATCCTAACCACTTATTTATATATTATTCCAGATATTTTGCCCGATGGAAAAACCGAAATACCTAAATATTAGAAACAAATAACGTACTAGTAGATAGGTATATAAAAAATTTTCTATAAAGGTAAGACACCTTTCCAATATTTCAGGTAATTTAAAAAATGATATCTCTGTGTGTGTCATTGAAGAGTTCAAGCAACCAAAAACAGAAATGTGCTCGTCGTTTGTTCTTTTCCATACTAAATTATGTAGGTATCTACTTAATTAAATCAAATATTTACAATACAAAAGGCATGTTTAAGCACGGCTAACTGCATAAAAAACAATTCAGACCGTTCGGTCGTCGTTGCGGCGCGGCGGCGCATTCGCGACTGGGTGCGCGCCGAGCGCACATCGAACTCGAGTGGCGTAGGTATGACTCGCTTTCCGACCGTTTGTATGAAGATAGAATACTGTATGATATTATTACCGTGCCCAAAGTAAGCACTGTAAGGCTTGTGTTATGGGATAACTAGAGTAACGGATAGAATACATATACAGTACATATATAAGTATATTTATATAGAAATACATATTAAACAACCTTGACTGGAGTACAAATGCTCGTATTCATCACACAAACATCTGCCCCCATCGGGATTCGAACCCGGGACCTCTCGAGTCGGCGACACCATGAAATCCGGCGTACAAACCACTCGGCCACGGAGGTCGTCAATAGGAATAATAGGCTATTTGACAAGTTTATTGAATACATACGATATTTATAAGTGTAAAGTGACACCATAAACAGTGGATATTTATTATTCTTTTGCGTATCAGTAAAAAAACGAAAATAAAAATTATGGTTTTCAAATATGCCGCGGAAACATCTCTAACAAATATGGCGTTTTTACAGGCAGGTGACGTTTCACGGCTCTCGTAAAAACGTCAAACAGCATAATGTCACTTCCTCAGGATGTTTACAAGCAGTTGACGTCATTTTAGGCTCCGCCAATCCTAGGCGTATTCGGTCACGTGACAATAAATCAAAAAATACCTTTCTGTTTCATTATTTTAAGTAATATTATCAACTATTTTTTTTGTCAGAATAGGGTATTCCCTCCCAATATTCATGTGTTACACACATGCCAATAATTGGTACTTTACTTTTCATACTGTCAAATAGCCTAATAAAGAATTTCATAATTGAGCGGGGTTAAACAGAATGTGACCAGCCGTTATTTTTGATATCAATCAGAATCAAAATTATGGGTTCATAGAACAAATTTTCGCTTGCTCCAAAGCTGGTAGCTTTCCGCTTAACATCGCTCAGTTTAAAGTTATCTTTAAAAACTGTTTATCGTGAATGAATGGAAATTCGCCTATTTCAAAAGAGAAAATTTAGTACTCACTTGCATTACTAGTTGGCCTGAAGTCGAAAATGTTTATTACTGCACCTTCGCTTATGTAATTAGGTCTGCCATTTGTCACTATAGCAAAATTGTACTGAAACAAAAAAATAATATTATACTTCGCGTTTACGAGCATGACGTGCCTTCCTTTGACCGAAATTATATTCTTTTCAACTTATTTGCAATTTCATCGGGATAAGCACGATGATGGGGATCATTTCCCTCACCTTCTATTTAAACCAATAGCGAATTCTTACCAACCATATTTTGCCTACGAACTAGGTTTGCGAATTCTAATGAGGGAAAAGATTGCCTACTTACCTTTTCCCACTCCTTGTCGGGTATATCGAGTTTCTTCTGCAGCCGATCCTTGACCGCCTGGAAGGGCTCGTTGTGTTTGACGCGCGCGTAGAACGGAATGCCGAACGTCGCGTACACCTGCTTGTGGAAGTGGGCGCACGGCACCAACACTTCGTCCTCCTTTTAAAGGAAATATAAATAGTTCAAGAACTTCTCTTGTCATTTTTAATGCGTTTCTATTAATACTTGTTTAATAAACTTATTTTATCTTATAAGTAAACAAATCTGGAATGGCGAACCAATACATCCTGTCACTGTCGCATAATATTATTCCTGACAGAATTTAAGAGAGTGATAGACACTTGTTTAGCCGATTTCGTGGACATTATTATGGTCGCATCTCATCTCTTAAATATAACTTATGCCAATAAAGTATCTAAACCAAAGTGGCGTAGTAAAACATCATGTCCTTTTCGCATATTATCCTTGAAAGGATATGCGAGAGGAACTGTCTTGCGTCGGCATTTTTGATTCGTTTCTATTAAAAAAAGAGAAATAATAAATTATCTCTTAATTTTTTGCATTTGTTTTTCAATTTTCAGTTATACTGTGATCCTTTTTGTTCTTGTACCGAAAGCTCGGGGACTTACTAAAGACAAAGTGCATAGCCCTGCTAACAACATACAATACTTATACTTACATATGTGTCAGTATATGTATTTTACCATAGCATCCCATAACACAAGCCTTACAGTGCTTACTTTGGGGCTAGGCTAATTAGTGTGAGTGTCGGAAATATTATTATAATTAATTACTATAATTGGCACATCCTGTCTCATGAATATAATTCGAGCCAAGAAAAAAGGCATCACTGCTCGATCTCTAGCAAAGTAATCGAAGTCTACCACTTTTTCGATTTCTATCACTTAGAGGCGAGAATCGCTTGCTTGCCCCCCAGAGTGTATGTTTGCTTATGTAATCAAAACGAACAACCAAACAATAGGGATGATGATTGGGTAAAGTAAACAAAATTCTATTTAGTCCGTCAGTTAGGTTATCAAAAAATAACGGACACAATTTTTTTCTTTTGTCAACCAACCAAAAAATGCAAAGATAAAGCGTGTCAATGTTTGGAAGTAGGAGCTCGTGACGTCATTTCTAAGAAAAAAATGTAGCTAGAGGTGACGTCATAATCTTTTACTTATGTGAATAAAAACAAAATACGTGTCCAATACTTTTTGATAGACGAAAAAAAAGTTAGTCTTCATCCCTATTATCGCATAAGTGCCTGGCTGAGAATTTCTTAATAACTTTACACAGCACAATATCAATGCACAATCACAATATCAATCTATGTCACATTCAGTATTTATAGAAAACATGTCATAAATTATACTACCTGCAACTGAAGCTCATCTTTTGGTATTTCCTCTATTCTGTATAATCTGGGGGGTGATATAGTGACCTGGTCCAGCGTGAGCTCTGGATCAGGCCCCGGTAACACTTTGTGACAGGATACTTCAACAATCCTTAACCTGAAATGGCAATGATATTGGTATCGATACTGGCGTGATTCTCTAAGCTTAAAACTAAATTTAACATCAGTCTCTCCTTTTCATTCTATAGAGAATGACAAGGATACACAGTTGTCAAATTTAAGTTTAGGTTTAAAGAATCATACCAGAATCGACACCTTTGTTGTGATAAGTGGTGTGTTATTTTAAAAGTGCCAGCATCGAATGTTTTAGGCGAAACAACATAATTTCTGAGAGCAACATAAATTTTTAATTTAATTTTTAGTAGGATCTATTAAACACCTTGGAGGCCTTCATTTCATGAATGCCATTAAAAAAGAAATCACAAATAACGATGTTAGACATTGTGTTCTACTCGCACATGCTATCCTAATTAACGTGCGAGAAAGACGGCATGTCTTGTGTCGGCACTTTAGATTTCTTTCTTTAATGACACAAGTATAGCATGAGTTAATTGTTAAATTGTTACTTTAATTAGAACTTTTATTATATGCTAATAGGATGCCTATTATATGTTTTTAGCATAAACTAACCTTTTTGAACCCTCTGGGGACATTTCAACTACTTTAGCTGCCTCTTCTAAAATATCAGCAACTTTGCCACCTTTGTTTGGATATAAAATTAATTCTTTATCTTCTTTATAATTTGGACCAACCTATAAAAAAGAAAATATAAAAAATGTGCATTAAATCAAATACTTTTTAGTGTTCAAAATTTATGTATAACTAGTGGCCCGCCCTCGCTTCGCTTCGGGGTAGAATTGACCAAAATCCTTTCTTAGCGGGAGCCTACGTCATAACATCTACCTGCATGCCAAATTTCAGCCCGATCCGTCCAGTGGTTTGGGCTGTGCGTTGATAGATCACTGTCAGTCAGTCACCTTTGAGTTTTATATATATATAGATGTACTTACCCATAAACATTTGAATTGCTTCTTGTTGTCCAATTCGTTTACTTTAATTGATAATATCTGATAAAATAACTTCTTAGGGCACTTTGGTTTACAGTATACTAATAAGTCCTTAAGTACACCATCATACGAGTATCTCAGGGGCAGTCCGGGAATGTCCTTGTAGCTGCAACAATAGAAAAAGCAATCCACATTTTGTCCAATATAATTTTCATTGAAAGCAATCAAATGTCTCTGTATCCTATTATATAGCGGCATTTTATCCTTCTAGAAAATAAAGAGTGCCCTAAATAATCAGTGTTTTTATTTTATTTGTAGTTCACGCATATGTGGGATTTATGGACCGATTTTTACGATTCTTTTTGTTTCCTTAACTTTGCTCTGTTTTTTTTGAAGAATATCCTATTCCCAAAAGTACGATGTTTCTCATTTTCTAATAATAAATAAACAAAAATATTTAGGTAACTAAGCTTTGATAATCTTAATTCTAACCAGGAATTGGCCAAAATTACACTTTACTACGCCTTACGCATTTTCCGCCCACCGGGAGTAGCAAGACGGATGTATCTTTAGACTCCTCCCTGCCCATTTCACCCAGTTTGAAAGCTCGGTGAAATGACCAGCACTCTACCCAGAAAAAACCAGACAATACTTCTGCACCGGACATCCGATAGACACTCAAACTTAAGCTTAACTTAAAAAACTTAACTTAACTCAAAAAACATTTATTCAGTCTAAGCTGTTACAAGCACCTGTGAAGGTCAAGATGCTTTGCCATCGGTTCGCAAAACGACGGCGGGAGATCTTGTACTGATAAGAACCGACATGAAACTCAGCAAGGGCTGTGAGGCTAGGGTTACCAACTTTCTTGCTTGCCTTTTGTCCGGCTTTTTTTAATTAGATGGAATATGTGTAAAACTACTTATTAAGTTATATCAAATAATCTTTATTAAATTCCCATTAATTTAAAATTTCTTTTAAAATCAACGAGACCCCCCTCACGATGCGAGCGTCTGCTACCACGCGTATAATATCACTGTAACTATGTGGGTGATGTTTGCATTTTGTGACTAAAATGTCCGGCTTTTTGTCAGGACTTTTAAATTTTTTAAATAGTAACCCTATGTAAGGCACTATGAGGGAAGACCGAGGTCCCCATAATGTGTGCCGAGAGTATAACGTGGCGCCCTACACGAGACTGGTATTAATACACTTACTTCTGACATTTGAAGAATTGTATTAAATAAGGATCGACGTTGAGATGCTGCCCCACCGCTCGCGCCATCTGGTCGTAGCGCATTTGCATCGACAGCTCCATCGTAAAACTACAAACAAAATAACATGCAAAAATTAAGATAACAGTAGGTATGGACATATACGATAAATTTTAATCAAATATTCCAAATACGTTTCAAAAAGCGGTAAAATTTCGTTATTTTCGGTATTTACCAATCAATGTTGCTGAAAGACATATACGTAAGTACATAACCGTCGCAGTCTCAGCCATATAAATTTCTTTAGACAAATATGTTCACAGAGCACCCACTAGAGACCGCATTACCTAATTGTTTGAAATCGAAATAGTAAAAGTTGGCGGCGTGCGGGGAGGGTAAACCGCATCCGATTGGACACGTCAATGTGACTAAGACGTCACACTGCTGATGATCAGATGAAAAGTATCGCCCTTAGTCGACGTTTGAAAGCGTGGCACACGTTTATGTATTACTGCTACATAAACTTGTCACAAGTGGATGGCCTTGTAGGAGGTCGCGAGCGGAGATATTCTGTAACTATGTTCCATCTTTTCTGTATCCAGTCCATGTCATTTCAATCATTACTTGACTCGACCGGCGCATTCGAACACAATGATGTCATCGTTCATGCTCGGCTGAGGGCTGACCTGAGAATGGAGTCAACTGGTCGCCTAGAGACTCCCCGGGTTCCTTGGGTAGCGTCTTGTCCACGAACTGCACCTTGAACTTGTAGAAGATGTACTTGAAGTAGTCTCCGTTTATCAGCTCATCGAATGCCTAGCCTGAGAATGGAATCAACTAGATGCCTAGGGACTCACCCGGGGTCATTGGGTAACGTTTTGTCCACGAACTGCACCTCGACCTTGTAGAAGATGTACTTGAAGTAGTCCTGGCAGGTGGGCAGCTCCAGCTCCTCGTGCCGGTGGTCGGCACGCTCGAACACGATGATGTCGCCGTCCATCAGCTCGTCCAATACCTGGCCGCGTGCACACGACTCAATCCAAGGGGGCACGGTGTTTGCCCGTCTACGCTAACGCTTGCGAGATGGCTTCACACCTCTTTGTTACCGACCAGTTTCAATAATAGAAGAAAAGGCCTTTTAGAGCTTGCTTAAGCACGAGCTTCATTAAGTCATGTGTTCCAATAAAAGAGCTGGGCCTTGCTAAGCTTGTTTAAGTCACGTGTTATTGCATTCTACTGTTATCACAAAGTGACAGCATAAACGTTACTTAAAAGTTAATTGAATTTTTTGGGTACTGCACCCAAAAAATTCAATCAACTTTTAGTTTGCGTCGAAAAAGTCATTTAACTTTGTTAGTTACCTAGATATTTTTAATAGAACAACCGTTGCTAGGAAACGCAACCACAATAAGCTTATCTTTTACTGGTAGTTGATCATTGAAACTGACTGTTAACGCGACACCGGACCGATGCAATATACTAGTACTTAGTATAAATACATTGCTAGATAAAAACATGCATATCGCACGGGCCCGGTGTCCAATAAAACAATTTGTACCCTTATAGCGGGTTCACACGAGGTGATTTTAGTTGATCAATTGCTATGCTAAATCGCATGCAATTTGTACGGTCTGATCAGACTTTCTATCAAATTGAAGAAAAGCAATTGAACGATAAAAGTTGATCAATTTAAATGGCCTCGTATTAACTCGGTATTAGCAATATCGAATTCGAATAGTTGAATTCGATCTCGGTACACGTCAAATGTCAAGAAGTTTTGTATGGAAGATTTTTAAGTCTCGTTAGATCCGTTGTGGCGCTGTTCAAATTTCCATGCGAAACGGTACTGTACTGTGAAACTCGCGTGAAATTAGCAACTCGAGGGAAAAAGCGATTGCAGTACAGTGCAATGATTTTACATAATATTCGGATGCAGCCCCCTCCTAGCATGATAAGCACCGCAATATGATATTATGATACAGCTTTCTATCGACCCTTAACTGACAAACTCAAAGAAGCAGAAAGCTCTGAATGAATTTTTTATTTAGTTTTGAATAACATGACCTATGGTTATCTGTGCATGAAGTAACAGGCTAGCAGGTTTTGAAAATTTGTACTAATTATTAGGCTAGAAAGTTTGACATATTTTTTTATTAGGTTTATTATTAATTACTTTCTTGATATTAAAAAGAAATTAGTTGAGTCAAGCAGATATTTTGTGCAAAATGAATGAAAAAATGTGTTAGTCATGTCAAAAATCTTAGATTACTTAGCGAATAAGTATAATAAAACATTAGTTTTATACATACCTATGAGACAGGTCAATTTATGTTTCTGCTCTTCTACCTGTTTTATATCTATGATTCCATCAAAGTCGAAATTGATTTTTACACTAAAACTTTGTAAATGTATAGAGCAACAGAGTGACAAGTTAATTTTCTAATACCATTTTTCAAGTTTAGTCCAACCCAAAAATCATTGATTCCCATCAGATGCTTTATTCCCTTACATTCGTCATCAAACTAGTCTAAATATATGGATTAATGTTTCTCCTTTGGCAGTTCCCATTGAGATGATCCAGTGACAAAGAATACAAATCAGAGTCTCCTATTTCAAAAGACATTAATTATGCAGCTTTGTAACTTTGAAATACTACATCAGTACTACAGTATTTAACTACATCAGTAACTGTATTTTTTACAACTAAGTAATTGTCTGACAGCGTAAAACTGATAAGTAGTACCTTTTCGAGGGGATCGTTGTAGTTATTAATCTTCTCTACGAAGTCTGGCTTGATCTCCTCGTAAAGCACGAGCGGCGTGTCAGGGGGAAACCCTGAAAAAAAATAACACTGAAATCTCGGAGATGGGGGGGGGGGGGGGGGGGTTAGATCATAATGAAGACTACAATTATTTAAAAAAACTATGATAGTTTTAGTGAGCTCGCACAAACTGTCAGTTTACCTCATCAATGGTAGTACAAGTTAATTTTTTCGAGCATCGTTGAGACGATATCGTCCATGGTTAACTCGATAGTCCGAACTCTCTTACACGCTTAGAGAGAAAAAAGGACAGACTTCTGTCTAATATGGATGTCTAACTATTAACGAATTTAACTTATACTGCCGATTAAAGTTTATTACAGTTTCCACTAGAGGCGCTGGTGTGAAATGTATGGAAACAAAACATTACGACCATAGTTTTCGAAAAGTATAAAAACTCGCACTAACAGTAGCGTACGCCTAGGTTTGCGGAGATAGGCTATTAGGCGCGCACCAACAAGTGCTTTATATACGTCCACGCCGTCAAGACTACCGCCGCGGTCTTTTGGTGGGCCCACATTTTCCCATCTTTGTGGGTCGTCCCCTCTGGGCAATGTTTCGATCTATAACGAGCCCCGCACCATCCGTCTACCTCGGGATTACAACAGCTAAATATGAAGAGCAAGAGCGAGTTCTGGGCGCTATAACCGAATAATCTGGCCGGAGAATCCCTCCTGAGCACAGCTCAGGCTGCCACACGTATAGGTCATACTTTTACTCGCAAGATCAGAAATGCAAGAGAATCGTCATTAAACATCTGCATTTCAGTACACCAAAAACTTAAATAATTGACGCAATTGAAAATACTGGAAATAAAGTACAAGGGGAAATAGTAACAGCATGAAAACACATTCTTTGTTAATATTGCACCACATAAAAATAACTTTTTGAAAGACATAAAATTCATCTACCATAAAAAGGTAGTGATAGAAGAGCCAAAGTGATAAGCAACAATAGTACAATGCATCAGATGCCAACAATATGGACACAGTAAAAACAACTGCATGCGGCCGTTCAGGTGTGTTAAGTGTGCAGACGCACATAAAACTACTTTGTGCCCAGTAAATAGGAACAACCCAGCAATTGCTCAGGAAGCTATCCCGCTAGTGTATAAAGGGATGCACAGTGTATAAAGAAATACTTGCAAGGAAGAAATTTGGAAAACCACAAGGCATTGTGAAAACAAGTACTACAAATAACTCAGAAAGAAATGATAAATGATATAAAAACAAAGAGATTAGTGAAAACAAGTACTACAAATAACTCAGAAAGAAATGATAAATGATATAAAAACAAAGAGATTAAACAGTGAAACAGTCCAGTGCTGATAACGCGACTAGAAATAAGTCTGGGCCCCATGTCCAATGAAGAAAAGAATATCTCAACAAAGAAAGACCGAAGTCATACAGTGAAGTAGACAAAATTGGTACTAAGACACCATATACAAGTCAAAACCAGAAACTTCCCAAAAGAACAAATAGTAGACCATAAGGAAAAGGTGACATGTCCTGGAGATGATTTCCACATCACAGTCACAACGAGCAAACAATGACAATACACAGTCAAAGAGAACAAAAATAAGGAACAATGCTGTAAGTGAAACACAGAACACATTCTAGAAGAATCGATAACAATCCTCAAGAACATCTAATTAAGTTGGAAATACTAATGATAAAACAGACTGAAAGAGTTGACCAGCTTATAACACAATTAAGCACAATGATGAATTTTATCATGACACTCATCAGTAAATTTTCATAGTGCTCTCGTTACGAATTACCACCTGAAACGTCAATGGACTAGCGCCCAATAAACAAGAACTTGAGATACTGCAAACTCGCCCGCAGATTGTGGTCGCGTTTAGTGGTTAAATGTGCGGTTGCGCTAAGTCTAAAAATGCCTTTGTCATCACGGACATGGACTCAAATAATCTTATTTCTATTCTTATTCTTTAGAACAAACCTGCTCTCTTATTGAGTATCGGTATGAGATCGGCGGGTTTGCTCGCTATAGGCAAGTAGTGGTGTCCGCAGTAGTGTATACGCTTCTGCTTCGGGTCGTAGTACTTGAAGAATAGCACCACATCGTTCTCTTTGTCGAAAGTGGGCAACGCACTGAGCCCAGAATCCGGCGGCAGCATCTCAAGGAATATGTTCCACGGGTTCATGTTCTCTGAAACGTCCGCCACTGTCTTGTGTTGGTCGTTCACTATGTCCAGACATGTGGGACGGCATGTCTGAAACAAACAATGATCATTGTAAAACAAACATTCACTCAACGATACTAAACACCCTAGATTCACCAACACGAACCAAATCGTGGCCGAAACCAGTTCAAAAGATCCACGGAGCCCCGTAAGATGATAGCGTAGTCAAAAACTATATAAGGCATTACTTAAACATTGAAAATTATGATTAATGCATACTACATAAGGTCTTAATTAAAACGCACGCGTCAAAGTGTTACGACAGTTATAAAATATCATGTTAGTCAAAACGTATACGTGATAGGAGAGCACTGAACGACCACGGACGCAGCTGCTTGAGCGGCTAGCGGAAATTCTCCGCGAGCATTTCCATCAATTCCGCGAGGGTAGCTTGCTTGCGGACGCGGAATACGCAATAATGAGCCAGCTCAGGGGTCGTAGAGGTCATTGCCCTGGTGGCCGTCAAAAGCTTCCTCAAATTTGTTAGTCCAAAGTAAGTATACCTGATTGGAGCGAGCACTGAACGGCCACGGACGAAGCTGCTTGAGCGGATAGCGGAAATTCTCCGCGAGCATTTCCATCAATTCCGCGACGGTAGCTTGCTTGCGGACGCGGAATATGGGATAATGAGCCCGCTCGGGGTCGTAGAGGTCATTGCCCTGGTGGCCGTCGAAAGCTTCCTCAAATATGTTAGTCCAAAGTAAGTATACCTGATTGGAGCGAGCACTGAACGGCCACGGACGCAACTGCTTGAGCGGACAGCGGAAATTCTCCGCGAGCATTTCCATCAATTCCGCGACGGTAGCTTGCTTGCGGACGCGGAATATGCGATAATGAGCCCGCTCGGGGTCGTAGAGGTCATTGCCCTGGTGGCCGTCGAAAGCTTCCTCAAATATGTTAGTCCAAAGTAAGTATACCTGATTGGAGCGAGCACTGAACGGCCACGGACGCAGCTGCTTGAGCGGATAGCGGAAATTCTCTGCGAGCATTTCCATCAATTCCGCGACGGTAGCTTGCTTGCGGACGCGGAATACGCGATAATGAGCCCGCTCGGGGTCGTAGAGGTCATTGCCCTGGTGGCCGTCGAAAGCCTCCTCTAGTACGACGTTCACGTTCATGTATAAGTGGGCCTCGTTGCGCTCCTTGCGACGGATCTGAAGCAATCGAGTAAATTCATATTGATATTATGGAACTTTTGACCTTGAGGTAGAGTTAACTTTTGGGATGGGGAAAAGGCATGAACTCGCATGAATGTTATGCTCAGTTATATTAGTACATATAAAAATTTGGCCATATTCCCCATGGTCACGTCAGGCGTAATTTTACACGCATAATTACTTCTTACACGCATTACTTGATAACGAATTTACCGATTGATTTTTTTTATAGAGGTAGGCAAATGACTCTACCCCACCTGATGTTAAGTGGTAATAAAGTCCAAATTAATTCATCTTTGTTCAGTTTTCTAACATTTTGTAGAAGGTTCTTACAGAAAGAAAAAAGTTGCGCTATAGTAAAGTTACGGAGATGAAGACGCGTGTGGAATATTGTTATATATAAAATTAATAAAAAAAATGCCATATTAATAAAAATATCAAGAAAACTATAATAATACTAGCTGACCCAGCGAACTTCGTACCGCCATAAAAAAATAGGGGTTGGTGGATGAAGGGTGAAAATTTAGGGTTGTATGTATTGGTGTATAATGTATCATAAAAAAAAATAAAAAAAATATATCTAAAATAGAAAAAAAAATTTAGGGGTGGATTACCCTTAACATTTAGGGGGATGAAAAATAGATTACATCCGATTCTCAGACCTACTGAATATGCATATAAAATTTCACGAAAATCGGTCCAGCTGTTTCGGAGGAGTTTAACCACAAACACCGCGACACGAGAATTTTATATATTAGATATTACCGTTTCAATCCTCTTTTCTTCTGCCAAGCGTTCACTCAGCTCTGTAGGTATATCCGCTTGCGTGACCTCTTGTAATACAGTCTTAAGCTGAGAATCCCTGTAAACAAAAGATTTATTTTAACACAGTAACATAAAACAGTTAAAAAACTGTCTTTCCTCCAAGATTCAGTAAATATTTAAGTACAAAAAGTTGAGATCTGTAGGATCCCTACGATTTGTGGGATGAAACTCATAATTCTCACATGCAAAACTCATACATTACTTATACCATACTCTTATCTTGCTTGAAACACAGGTTTACCTAGTTTAGGCTATAGTATAAGTAACATCTTTTATTTCTTGAATTAAGTAATTTATTGTACACTGAAATTGAATAAACATTTATTATTATTATTATTAAAAAATATTTTTATTATACTACGCGACCTCTGTGGTTGAGTGGTACATATTTACGCCGGGTTTAAAGAGTCGCCTACTCGTGAAGGTCCGGGTTCGAATTCCGATCTTAATATATTATACGAGCATTTTTATCTAAGTCTGTTGTAAGTCTACATAAAATATACATAAATGTGTATTCCATCCGTTACCCTAGTATCCCATAATACAAGCCTTATGGTGCTTACTTTGGGGCAAGGCTAATAGGTGTGTGTTGGAAATAATTATTTATGTATATAAAATTAAAATTACCAAAGAGAAAATTATCACCTGATATACACCAACATATAAGCGTTGGTACAGTGACGAACGGTCAAAGCCATATCTTCATCGTGGCCGCCATAGTTGTATTCGATGGCCTCTTGCTTCGTACAACGGGACACCACATCGTCGTCAAACTTGCACCACTATTGAAAACGTAAATACATAACACATTTAGTAGCTCAGGCTTGGCAAAAAATAAATCTATCAACGCTGATGTAATCTGTGACTCACCTTGCCATCTCCCTTGGGGTTGATGAAGACCACATAATGTCCGCCGTGATTGTCGCCCGAATGCACCAGAACAGCGTGCAGAGTATAATCGGCCGGGGTCTCCGGCTTCTCTTGGAGGTACGCGTCCAGATTTATGTGCTCGTAGAATTCGAACCTGAGTTAATAGTACAAAACAGATATCTTGATATCTTATTTTCATCATCATCAGCCTATTAATGTCCCTACTGCTGGGGCACAGGCCTTCCCTATGGATGGAATAGGGAGATTGGGCCATGACCCACCACGCGGGCCCAGTGCGGATTGGCGGATGCTTACAACTGCAGATGCTGCCGGGACCAACGGCTTTACGTGCCTTCCGAAGCACGCAAGAACCTGAGATAGAAGATTTTTGGTCACCCATCCAATGACCAACCACTGCGAAAGTTGCTTAACTTCAAAGATTATTTATCATTAGAAGAATATTATAAACGCGAAAGTTTGGTGACTTCATGAATAATCTCTGAAGTCATTTTTTAACTTGATGACGTCTTTGACCTATTGGAGGCCCTGGGCATATTAGCCCGTTTGGTGATCTAACAGGAACTAGGGACTTTGTATTTGATCTGAAGTGGCCCCTATCCAGTTCCCACTGGGAAAGAGGGGTCTGGATAAGACAGGGAGAAAAAAGCAGCCCTTGTTGAGGTTCTTGCTAGTTCTTCCCAGTCTCACAAGGTCTCCTGCCGCAGATTTGCGAGTCGATGGCGTAACTTCTCGACAACAACAAGTGCTTGTAAACAGCCTAGACTTAATAAATGAGTTTTAATTTTGATTTTGTTTGGATGTATGTGTGGATGTTTGTTACTCTTTCACGCTAAAACGGCTGACCAGATTTGGAAGAAATTTTGCATATTATATAGTTTATTACCTAGATTGACACATAGGATACTTTTTATCACAGAAAAATGTTAGCTTCCTGTGGGATTCTCAAAAAACTCTATAACGCGGAAGAATTTGCGGGCGGAAGTTAGTTTAATCATATTTGCTAGTTTACAGAAAGGTGATACAAGGCAGCTGTAAACTTCTGCATATAGATAGTAAGGTTATTAGATAAGTTTAGTTGCAGAATCTATTAAACAAAAAAATTCAAAAAACGAGTGATAACTACACTGGTTCATTTCAAGATTGCATCTTTGATGCTCCATATAAACATATTTGAGAAAATTGATAAATAACAAGCAGCAACTATATTAGCATTCTAACTGATAAAAAAAATTGAAATTGTTTACAGAAACATTATTTAGTGGAGCTATTGGGTGGAATACAATCAGGCCGATGACTTATACTGGAAAGGATTTTAAGATTGAATGACTCAAATCCATACTAATGTTAAGTAATATTAAAACGATAGAGATTGGTTGGTTTTATTACATTGACGAAAAAACATCAGCACTTTTTATTTTGTATTATCACCATGTTACATATACAATATATGAGAATGCTCATTCCATTTTTTAAATCTGTTTTTGTACTGACCTGTCATTGAACTTGACCGAGTTATCAGTGATTGGGTCATACTGGAATCTCATTAGGTGCAGGTGCAATACCGGTGGGAACGAAGCAAATATCACTCCCTTCTCAGCTTCCTGTAGACCATGCTCTCCAGCATCGTACTTATTCTCTCCATCCAGGGTCTCCGTACTGATGTAGTCTTTGAATGACTCATCGACTGAAAAGGATTGTTTAAATTTTACATCAGTTATTCATGCAATCCCTTTCATTTCATGATTTAATGCAGTACTAGAACCATGGGGTGGTACAGAAAAAAGATTAGATACAAAAGTGCCTTGGATTAGCAACCAACATGTAGGTATAAATGTTTCTGCCAGGCCATTAATTACTATTGAATACAATAAAAACAACAGTGGTCAATCTAGTAATAAATGAATAAATCTAGCAGTATTAAAAATTTATATGAAGAAGAAGACAATAAGCCACAAGATTGCCACTCAATATTGGCTGGCTTTTTTCTACATCTAGATTCAACAATCACTGCATAAAAGTGTGTATTTTCAGAATAGTATATAAATGTCACTCAGGGCTCAATGATGCAGTCTTTAGCATGTGCGGTCTGAGATCGTGGAATGTAAAGTAACTTTGGAAATGGCTGGTCATCAAATGAGTGAGCATAGATTTATTTCAGCTTTTCCATACTTTAGAAGACACAAAGCCATTAATCCTGGCTGAATCTGCAGTTGTTAGCACCCAATCCTATTCTGAGCACACATGGTTGGTCATGACCCAATCTCCTTATTCATCCATAGGAAAGTTCTGTGCCCCAGCAGTGGACATTAAACCCCTTATGAATAAATGATGAATAAGCTTAGACTAGTTACGCTGTGTTGTGTTCATACCACTTGAATACCAGTTGTTATTCAATGAAAAGAGAGAAAAAATGAACTATTCCAAGATTTTTAGTTTATTAATATTAATATTTATTATAGACTGATGATGAAAATGACAAGTAAATGTCACTGTTATACTCACTATTCTTCTTCCCTTTGATATTGAGCTGAATATCATAGAAGGTTTCGACACGGGTGCTGGACACATTGACATTCTTGCACTTAATGTACGAAGTCATTTTGCCTTCAAAAAGTCGAGGTACAGTGCCCTCCACACATGTCCCTTTCATTTTGCTCTCAAGCTTATCCAAAAGTACCTATTAAATTAAAATTAAGAAAATTCAAATTAAATGAAAAGGCTCTAAATCAAACTGCCACATTTTTTTTTGGTTCATTATCTGATGCTGTCACTTGTTATAAGATAGCTAAAGAATATGACAACATGTTATTTTGCTAAACATTATTAACAATCTGGATTTCTTTGAACAATATTTCAGAAAACGAAAGTTTATAGATAATGAGTATTAGACAAAATACTATTATCGCAAATCTAAAGTTAGTTTTTTGGCACAATAGTCAGAGAAATTCAGATAATAACAATCGTACACTAAACATATGATGGAGTGCAGGGGCGTTGCAAGACAAAGGACTTCTCTAATAGGAAGCCTGAAGACAATAGTAGAGGCCTGCAGCAACGTTCGGGGACTGCTGAGCTTTCTGGAGGAGCTGTGATGGCAGGACTGATGCCAATCCCCACTCAAAACACTGGGTGTAGAGTTGCGGAAACAGCCCGCCGTACTACTAAGACTAACATATGCAACATATTTAAGAAAAGCATTGCTATCCAAGTTTTTATTAAGGGGTTACGAAACAAATGTGTGGCAGTTAAGCAACTTTCGTAATGAGCGGTCACAGGAAGGGTGACCAACAATTTACTAACTCCTCTGCTCTTTCATTTGAATATAAAGTTTTTAGAAATCAAATGAAATTTATTACCCTCAAGAATTCCTGTACGTCATGCTGCATGAAGGAATCTAGCGTCTCCCATCCAAAGCTCTTGGTCAGTTTCTTTGTGCCCACTGGCTTGTCTGAGAACTGGAGCTCGTAGAACACTCTTTGAAGTGCCAATGCGACTGATCTGTACATACATTGAGTGTTTAGATTTGATTAAATGCTAATAAAGGAAATTAGCATTGATTAATGAAAAAGCATGATATTTTACAAAAGTGTACAAGTTTTTTTTCTGTACTTATTCAATAAAGGATTTTAGACTAACCTCTATTCCATGTAAAACCAGAAAATACAGATGTCTAAAAATAGACATCTGTTTTTATTTTTTTTATTTATTTATGAATAGAAAGTGTTGAATATGTCAAACCACTTTGAATGCAGAAGTTAAGCTCTTACTTTTTCAACTTATACCTTAACCACTTAAGAAACCTTATCAAAGTTCAGAAGCCATAACAGAATAATAATAGTAACTTAATCAAAGGTCATATACATTTAGCATCACTGCAACTAAGATTTTTGCATTATTCGGAATTTGATTACAATGTTGTTCTAATATAAAATAACAAAATTTACCTGGTACTGTCGTCAGATTCTGTAGGCATTTTATATACAGCCTTCCGAAGTTGATTTGTGAAATAAAGTGTCTGCAGCAGGGAATTCATATAACAAGTTGCACCCTGATTTTTCAAACCTAGCATAATGAAAAAGAATCCTCATTATCATCAGAATATACTTCATTTACATCAAGACAAAATCTAAAGCTTACCCAAAACACTTGCAGACAGTAAAATTATATTTCATCACAGTTAATTTTTGATAATTAGTGAAAAGAAGCTATAGATAAAAATATGAATAGAAAGCCTACAAACCAATAAATATAATCGTCACACTACATTGTTTGAAACACCAAAATTTCAACTACTAACGATTCAACTCAAGATTCTTTTAAATGTTTATAATGTGAGAGAAAATGCTTGATTTTTCTCATTTTTTTGCTAATTGTAAGCTGTTAGTAAATGTTAAACTTTATTTCTTCATACTTTCACTCCATCACTTATACTTTAGTGAATGGCATTACATGCTAACACCCACCTACATATCCAGTATGCTTCTTTGAGTCCCAGGATACACCATGAGGCGCCTCTGCTGTGACGTGCACCTCCAGTGTTATAGAGTCATCCTTTATATAGCCTTTCTCAGGATCTAGCACATCGTTCCAAGCCATAAAGTGAGAGAAGCCCCAGTCGTTCTCTTTGCTAAATTATAAATAAAATATAAACGGTATATATATAATAAAATATATAATTACAAATCATAGCAAGATTCTCCTCCAAAGTGAGGAAATGGTAAGTATCAATGACATCACCAGTTACGAAAATGACTCATACAACAAAAAAGTGCCACTCCAGGCACCCTCACTGGCAACTAGAACCAAAATTCGCTTTCCCTGTAGAGCGTTGGCAACTCACTAAAAGACAATATACTACAGAATAGTGCTTCAGGTGCGTCCTTGTAGATTTTAAATCTGTAGACCAACTCCAACTCAAAAAATTACAGAATTCATGATTTCAACTTAATATTTATTTTACAAAAATGTATCACACAGGATTATTTTTCTTCTATCTCAGTTACATATATGCATATTTTTCTTAACTCATATTTAAAATTTTGATTTGGCATAATGGCAACACATTATATTTAAAATATAATTGATAGAAGCAATGTATAGAAAATTTAACATGGACTAGGCAGCCGACGGAACTCGAACCCGCACCCTCCGCTTTCCAAGCGGATGCACTAACCATTATGCTACCGCGGCCATAAATAGTTAAATGCTTAAAAATTAAAAATAGAACTGATAGAAGCAATGTTTAAACTAGAACACCAACCTATAGAACAAATGTTGAATTTTCCTGAAGAAGGGTTCTGTGTCTGGCTTATGGGAGATGAGTCTCAGCTCAGCCATAGCATAACAGGACCAGCTAGAGGACTCGCTTTCTCCATTGCACTGGAGAAAGAATCCGAGCGACTTCTGTTGTTGCCGATCTGGCGAAGGCGCCTGTCGCGGCATCACCATTATTTTCCATGGGAGATTACGCACGTAGCATGGTGGTGAGAGCATGGAATCTTTCAGACTCCTGAAGTTCTGTACCGTGAATCGGAACGTTGCCTCCGACCTTGCTTCATCGTCCTCCATTTCAGTATCGAGACATGCAAGCTGTATAAAAAGATAGTCAATTTCAATAAAATAACTGATCTAAAGAATGATTAGTATTTATTTGAAATCTTACAGGTATATCTGAAGATGTAGTTTCTTGGTTCTTCATAACTTCACCCATAACAACTTCACCATTGGGCCCTTTCATAAGTTCGTCGTCCCAAGTCTTTTCTGTCGCCGTATCAACAGTTTCCACTGTAAGCAATAATTATCTGCTTACAAATCATATGTAATTTTAAAACAAAATCTTAGAAAATTCAATTAGACTCTACAAATTAATGCATTTAAATTCTAAGTGGATCATAATTTGAATACAGATGTAAATATAATACAATAAAAGTATCCAATCTAACAAGTAGACCTAGATAATTTGTATTGCATGAACTTAACATTGGCTTTTTGTGATTATAAAGCATATAATAAATAAAGCATAAATTATAGCATCAAATTACAGTGAATGTATTCTAACTTTTGTTAAAGTATAACCAAGAATCTGATACAAGTAACTCCAAAATATGAAATAAACAACTTTAACTGTAGGTATCAGGTATTTAGATAATAATCAACTAGTTATTATTGAATAAAAGTAATGTTACCAATAAATAACTCTTATTTATGTATTTAGAAATTAACAAGGATATTATCTGACCATTGTTTTACTGATAACAATTTTGACATTGACATCCGTGACAAATTAGTAAATGACACTTGCTGGCCAATATTTCTTTAGAATTGACTGAGTACCTAATAGATTTTTATATAAATAAATTCAAACATTCTATATGTTATGTAAAGTAAAATTATATCTAATCTAAGACATGAACAAGAATTTCATATGTAGATATATATATGTTCAAACATGTTTTCAGATAGAAGCGTTTTCATTAGTTTTCACTGAATGCCTTTGTTAAAACTAGAAATATCTAACAAAACTAGAATTTACCACTGATATATTTGATTTTGAGATAAAACTAGTTGTCACTCCGAGCTTTAGTTAAAACTAGCACTAGAGAAACTAATTTGGGATTGAAAACAAGATATAGTTTTAAAAATATTTATTAAAAAGATCTATGACAGAGAGTCATATTGTCACTTATAGTATGAATTACCGTAACCGCCAAAAGCCAATTTTTCAGCTCGCACTAGAGAAACTAATTTGCGATTGAAAACAAGAAATCGTTTTGAAAATATTTATTAAAAAGATCTATGACACAGAGTCATATTGTCACTTATAGAATTAATTAAATGTATGTTAAATGATTAAATTAAATTAATTAATTGGACAAAATAGAATACATCTAATTATAAACTTATTGTATAAAATCATAAAGCCTGATCCCAAATTGTTTCCTTTTTTTATGTTTTGTATTGATTTTGTTAGAAATGGGCATTATTATAATAATTCTTATTTGCTGTGACTGACAGGATCCATAATCTGATCTGTAAATATTTTGATCACCTGTTGTAGGTTATTCAGGTAGTGTAGTTATTGAGAACAGTTTTAACTGACTCGCTTTGAAAAAACGCGTATTGGCTAATAAGTTTGTAACTACTTTTAACTGATATCCATTTTGAGCATTAGTCAATACTAGTTTCAACAAAGGCATTTAGTAAAAACTAGTTCTAACTACGGAAAACACATTCTATCTAAAAACTAGTTCTAACTGTACCATATTTATATATATATTATATATATATATGTTAGAATTTAAAATAAAAGGAATACTAATTATACTAAAGAAGGTATCAGAATTAGTATCTTGTTTTAGAAGTGTTATCCAAATCATCAAAAATGCAGGTAGCATAGCAAATTAAACAAATTATAAAGATAAATAATTTATGAGTCATTAAATCATGTTTTTAATGATATTAGCCTAGGAATTAACATATAATGCATAAATATTTCCAATCCAAAAAAGCTTATAAATCCCAATAAGAACCAAATAATAATTTGCTGAAAACAAATTAATCAATTTATTTATAGAATAGATTGGAGAGGTCTAATTATATTTCAAGAAGCATCATAAATAGCTCAATAGGGAATAGTTAATGTAGGTGTTCATTGTTAAATGTTAGCAAAACAATAGAATCTAAATATAGATTGAGTATCAAACAACAACTTGCAATTTTGAAACAATGACTGCCCTAGCAACATAATAAAATTCTGTGATGAAAATCATACCTATGAACATGATATTTCACTGAAGAACTACAATTTTCAGAATAATGATTAGCAGTTTTGAGGTTAAGTTGGCACATATAAGTATCTAATAGAAACTAATAACATTTTGGTGTCAAAACAACAATACAGCTGTACTTCATTTAAAACTACAACTGAGTTTCTAATAAAAAACAAATAAGTCACAACCAATAATATAAAGAAAAAAACTACACTAACCATCTTGAGTTTCCATCTCCTCAACTTGGTTCACATTGGAGTCGTGATGCTGCCTGTCGGGAGCAGGCGTGTGGTTCATGTTAGCCGGGCGCGCCACGGGGGACTCTCGCCCGCAACTCTTTGAAATTTCCTGAACAAAGATTTTTGCATTAGAAACAAATTTCAATACTTATAGCACCATGGATATTTCAATAACACAATTCGCTTACCTTTAACGCCAGGGGATTACTCCCTTTCGACCTGCTAAAAATCCGTTGAACGAATTTCAACGAACCTTTGTCATCGACTCGTACACTCTGCGCACCAGAATTTTTGTTTTTCTTTGTCGATAAGATGTTAATTTTCAAAGAGTGTTTACTAGCGGCGCGGCCGATGTCTGCAGATTGTTCAGTGGGCCCGACAATAGATAGGTACGCTAATAGCACATTCCTAATCTTTTGATCACTGCCTGGTTTAGTTGAACAATACGCTGCGAGGCGAGATACTTTTAACAATCACTAATGTGTCCAGATAGAAACTTATTTTCGCGAATATAAACAAAATGGTGGATATTAATTTAATTTCTATGTTCGGATGTGTGGCCCGGTTTGATCGACGAATGCACCATTTTATCATTCTCTCACATTCACCATAGTGATGTTAGTAGTCCTACTACTGCAAATCGATAAAATGACACAGTTAACACGAGTCAAAATATTCGTAGTCTATGATTAATTTTAAAAAAAATGTTGGTCATTATTGACCTGGAGGCTTACTATGAGCTCTTATAGCAGGACCTATAATGAACTGCCTTACTTTTTCGTTCTATGACCTCGATTAAGCAGACCTGCTGCAGGCCTGCTATGGTGCTGGGGATGGTATGATGGTGGGGACGAAACCTAATATACTTCATTCCAGATAACATTAAAAAGAAGTAAAAAAAATGGTTCTTAAACCTTTTAAGTGCTGCTGTCGAACCAGTCCGACAAAAAAATGTCTCTCTCAATGCCGGCTACCGGACCAGTAAGACAAGACTAGTTGTACTAGCTTAGACCTTATAATTGAAACAAATAATATCAGAATGGTTTGTGTCGTATGTCAAATGAATGAGAAAGAACCAACCTATTCATTCAAAGATTTACAGTCTACAAGAACAATACTCATTCATGTGACCACCTTTTAAAAATATTCGCGCTCCTCCTCTCCTGTGCTGTTGACATACGAGTACTTTTCAGTGTGTTTTGTTTGTGAAATCCTACAAAGAAGTTAATAAATGAGCAAGTTATCAATTCTTTATACATTTTTTTTATATTTAAAAAAAACGTGCAGTAATCCATGTTTTAGTTTTTGAATAATTCGAAGACAAACAAAAACAATTTAAAATTTTTCCTACTATCCATTTTTCATGATTTTTTTTCTATTTTATTACTATATTATTTTATTCTAGTTTTAATTCAAACTTACAGCAAATTTACGAAAGAAGTTAGATTTTACAAAACATTTGTACTTAGAAAGATACTTTCACAATAAAATTCAAATATTGTAGGCAAACCGCAAAACGTTCGCAAGACGCACGCACACATGCAAAACATGACGTTTATGTGTGTGCATGAATTGCTCCGGCTATTGAACAAGGGTGTTGTTTTTATCTACTGTTTTGAAGGAAGTGTTTGTTCTGATTTGAAGATAATTATTTATTGAGATTTTATATTCAACTATGAACCTACTTAGGTACCTATATTTTTTAGCATATGTTAGGTGATTAGATTTGTCCAGTAGTGATGCTGTAGCATTGATAGGTATATGTAATCGATTATAAATACAGTCGAACCTGGGTAAACGAGAATCCAAGGGACCCGAAGGTTATTCTCGCTTATTAGAGGTTTCTCACTAAAGCAGTTTGTCACTTACAAAGATTTGAGTCTAGTTACTCTAGAGGTTAACAAAAGTCGAGAAACATGGTGCTAGAGCGTTAAAAAATACATACATAATAAGTACACATTTTGTTTTTAGATACATATTTTATTTATTCGAAGAAATCAGTTAATTTTTTCTGAGTGTCGTTCTTAAAATAATATGAATCTGTTTTACAATTTCATAAAGTTTATCAAAAATTTAAGAATCAATTTTATAAATTCTTTTTTTTTATATAAAAGGTAGATTCCGGCAAGTTAAAATCACTCATAATTACGTTTCTCGGCTTGGTTTACAATTTTAAGTTTATCATTCAACAAAATCTTTTAACATTTTGAGGGAACAACTTCAAACGCAGGTAGAGACAAGCGCACATGTGCGCTGCAGCCATTGTCGTTATCGATGGAATTACAAACAATTCCATCGAAAAAAATGACGCTTTGGCTTTCTTTGTTTACAAAAAAGGATATGGTTTGGCTTGAACTTTGAGTTGGGAGTTTTGAGATGTGTAGTGAAATATTATTGTAAACTGTCTCGATGGCGCAAGTGTTAGTTAGCGCGTTCGGCTGCGATCGTTAAAGTTAAACAACTTTCGCAGTGGTCGGTCATTGGATGGGTGACCAAAATTTATTAATATTATAATTTAAGTTGTTGTTTTTATATTTCTATAAGTTGAAATATATAATTATGTTTATTATTATTCAGATAAGTAGATACATACCTAACACTAGAAGAAAATTTAATATAATAAGTACCTAAACATTAATTATGAATAAATTATTATTTTGTAAACCTCTGTTTTATTTTTAAACTTCACTAATCTTACTTTGGAACCCGCTGTATACGCTCTTGTACGTACACAGCGGAAGGTCGACTTTAGACTTAAAACTTGAATAATAAGTAGCCACTTACAGAATTATTATTTATTGATTTTGTTTGATAAAACATAATGAAACGCATATCAATAGAATGCTCATTTATAGAAGTTTTTTTCAACTGTAAATAAAAAGGCATTGTATAGTAATTTTAGAAAAAACTGTGCACAAAACAATGCTCATAACTTTTTGCGTGAGTTTGATGTCTGATCTTGAAAACTTGGTAATTACTGTTATTTTATTTCCTAATACGATACAGTTTGGTCGTGATATTCAATATATGTAAATTACTGATATTTCAAACGAAAATTTGCTAAGTTATACCTTATAATTATGACACAGGACAATTTCGAAAAACCGGGATCAACCCGCGCGAATTGCTTCCGTGGCGAAATTTTAGCGTTTTTTCAAACTCCAAAAAGTTGTAGTTTTATATTTACAATATTTATAAAAATTACCAATTTGTTTAGGGAATTTTATGTTTAATCTAATAAAAATATGTTAATGACATATTGTTAATGACATATAAAAATGACATTTGGTAGCTAATATATTCCATCTTTACTACAAAGTAGTTAATTTTTCAATTCTTCTAAAAACAAGCTCATGTTTCCGCTCCAAATATAAACAAAACGTGTTTATTTTGTGTTCGTCAGCTAGTTTATTTCATTATCTTTCTGATAATATAAGCATTGCCGAGCTTTGTTAAGTCTAAGTCGTAAAAATACGATAAGATCGAGTCGAGTGTCAAATGGCGCGCTCAAATCTTAAGTGCGTCGGCCTCTACGGTATCGTATGCGCGAGGCCGCGCGAGCCCTCATAGGTATAGGTGCACATTTCAACTCATTGTGACAATAAATGTTTAATTAAGCTTTTGTCAATTTGTATGTTATGTACAAGCACATCCATCTTAACAATTACCTTGCTCTGTAGAAAAACCCAAAGAAGCAGAGGTTAGAAACCTGCATTGAAACGTTTAGGTATAATGCGAACAAACTAAATGTCACGGTGTTCTATGATGACACAGTTGGCTAAATTATGAAGTTTTGATTTTACTGGATGGATCATCGTGTCGTTTGTCATCAAGTAAGGAACGTAACGTGCCTTGAAAATTGAAAATCTTGCCATTTTTTTTTGGTGATACATATATCATTATCTTACATTACATGTGATTTTAAATTGCCTTTCGTTTTGTTGTAGTAATTTTTTAATGATTACTTAGTGCCATTAATTATGAAGTTTTGTATAAATGTTAGTAAATAAAATTTTGTCCTGAAATTCGAATATAGGAGTTCTTCAAACTTTGAGTAGTTTGGGTATAATAGGTTAAATAGCAAAAAAACAAAATTTAAATATTTGAAGTATTTAGTCTGTTTCGTAAACAGATACTGTAATATTTTAAGAATAAACAAGCAACTGCGTGTGACTGTGTAAAGAGAACTTGAACGGACCTTCTGTTCCCACTTCGCTATTATGACGGTGTGGCGGGAGGCCCTTGGTAGGAGCGGCTTGTTGCGATTGATGTGCCTGTTAAATTGATTTCTTTACCGAATGAGATTCAGTTCCTTTACGGTTCGGTGTACAAATGGGCATTTAATATATGCTCACCTTGCTAGTCTGCAAAAATACTTCTTCACGCCTCTCTTAAACGACCCTAGATTATATAAAGGAGGGAACACGTTGTTTGTTGACGACCAGTGGATGTGTTAACGGAAGAACATAATGTTGCGTGAACTGCGGTAAAGTTATTGACGGTGGCCAGACTGTCTCTCAGTGGACTAGATAGTGCCCAAAGTATTTCGTCAGAACAGCATACGATCCTACAAAATTCATAAAGTGCAAGCTTTGAGGCCCACTGTTCAGCCTCGTCAACGCGAATATTGTCTTTGGCTACTTATTAACTATGTAGCTTAACTGTGTAGCTTACAGACACTCATCCCCTATTTTTATCAAAGTATTATTGTTTTGTTAACTAAAAGCTTATTTACCAATTTTCTGATTACTACCTTCTAAACTCCAAAAAAAGTTTCATACAAACTAGTATCCTCTATTTAAATTCATTGTGGGTTGAATTCCAAAATCGTTTGCATTGTTAACCATAAGCTCATTGAGCAGTTTTTAATTTCTATACACAATGTTGCTGAAGTTTTACACAAACTTTCATACCCTTTTTAGGGTTCCGTACCTCAAAAGGAAAAAACAGAATCTTTATAGAATCACTTTGTTGTCCGTCCGTCCGTCTGTCAAGACCGTTTTTCTCAGGAACGCGTGGCAGTATCAAACTGAAATTCATCTAATATTCAGGTCTACTGTCCCTTAGAGTTGTGCAAAAATCAAACTTCTAAGCCAAAGCAATCAAAACATACAGTCATTTATACCGCAAATTTTCGAAACTCGCATGGGAATCAAAACCTATAGGGTACTTCCAGTGATCTTAGTATCTTGAAATTTGGTACGAAGTAAGAAAAAATGCGAAAACCGTAAACCTATATTTACATCATAATTATAATAAAAGATAATTATAATACAAGAAGAGCTTGTACGGAACCCTCGGTGCGCGAGTCCGACACGCACTTGGCCGGTGCTTGGCCTTTTTCAACCAAGATGAGCCCAAAGCCCAATCGGACTTTAAATAATTTGTAATGATTCTAAGCTCAAATACTAAAGATCAAAATAACAGAAAGCTAACAAATCCTAGGGAGCCAAGTCTTAAGCTCCGACCACGATTAAAATACTAGGTCCATGGCCTCGACAAAGTAAGTCGATGTAGTCGACTCAAAGTCTTCTTTAGAAGGGACTACACTAAAACTAAAGACAAGAGGATTCGCTTTCCTTCCATAGACAATAATTTATGGTATTGGCCATGGACGTTCCGTCCATAACCGAAAGCCGATCGGCGCCGATCAGCGCCGATCAGCGCCGATCGGCGCTTATCGGCGCCTATTGGCGCTGATCCTTTTTCTATGGACCCGCGCCGATCGGCGCTGATCGGCGCCGACACGCGCTGGTCCGAATAATAAATAATTTGTATTTGAATTATTATCCTTAGATTAAATCAATCTAAGTTATAATCTTTTAATAAATCTCTAACTAAGCGCTAAAATTATTTGTTTCGTACTTACCGAATGGTGACAACAAGTCATTCTTCTGGAAGGATTGGTTGTTTATGCCAATTGTCCCAATTTTTCATCAAACGGTTTTTCACTAAATCCAAAATGTAATAAAATGTTTCTTGAATCATTCTTGTATATGTATAAAATCTTTGTTCATCAAATTTAATTTTTTTTACAAATAAATGATGGTATTCTCCGAAACGTTTCCTTTCTCTATTTATACGATGTATAGCTGATTTTCGCATTTTTAAATAAACATTTTCTAACAAAACCAAATCATCGTCCGATGAGTCCGACATTTTGCTTGATCTGCTTTAATCGGCTTCCTTTATGTAGGAAGGATCGGCGCCGATAAGCGCCGATCGGCGCCGATCGGCGCCGATCGGCTTTCGGCTTTCTTTCTGTATACGGCCTAATATTCGAAATTAATAATTTATTTTATTTGGTGCTTGCTCCGCTCGCTCGTAGAACAAAGAATACGTAAAGTAGTTGAAGCGCATACTACTGATTCCAAATATAAATTTCCGATACTTACCTATAGTTCATAATACTGTTCAGTAGTTACAGTGTTATTGGTGCCAATTCTGGCGTGATTCTCTAAACTTAAATCTAAATTTAACATCAGTCTCTCCTTTTCATGCTGTATAGAGAATAACAAGGATACACTGTTATCAAATTTAAGTTTAGGTTTAGAGAATCATGTCAGAATTGATACCATTGTTCGTTATTTTCTATGACCCTTAGAGCTTATACCAAAAAAGGAAGAATAATAAAAAATAAGATTATGGCTGCATGGCTTTGCCTTTGCCTTTCCCAATAGGGAAGAATAGGACTAAAAAAAAAGGAACGAAAATAAATAGCACAAAGTTATATTTTTTTATTGTTCATCAAAATTTTATTTATCGCAGGGCAATATGAAAATCACTATCACATATTTGTAGGTGCCAGCCGACCTATAGATATTTATACCTTTGATAAAATAGTTCAAACTATTTGCTAAATCTACACAATTTTTTTAAGTTGAAAATATTGCGCCGACGAGTCATGAAGATTTAATGATAATGTTTTCCACAAATCATAAAACTATCTTTGTCCTTGATCACACACCATATTTTGGAATATCTTCAGACTATCCAATAGATTTTGATACTTCTAAGAGCAGAGGACCAGGTTACGTACCTTTGCCGCCGGTGTGCAAATCGCTATGGACTTGCAGCGTAGAAGCAGCTGTAGAGTACTGCCGAATAGTGTGGGATTTATTTCCTGAAGGAAAACTAGTAAGTTATTTTTTTTATTCTTTATAGATACACTTTTTTGTAAATATAATTCCAAGCACATTGTGCTTTGACACTTATACTGGAAATAATCTACAAATCTCTCACTTTATTTAATGTAAACTCAGTTTATATTCCCACTTTTACTACAACTTAAATGAACTTTAATTTTAAAAATGTTATGCATACCTATTAAAAGCATAAGAATATTTTTTATGGAAAAGTCACATGTTTTTATGAAATAAGGTAAACCTTTTAATTAAGTAGATAAATTTTAGGTTCGATTTGTGGTGAGTGACTCAGCTGCACATATTTTAAATACATGGGCAACAACACAACAAAACTTGACACATGTAAGTATATTATCAACCTTAAAAATATGCCTGTATAATATAAAAAAGCTTTATTCAGGCCTTTCTAGACAGAATGGTGTATACAAATAGAATGTGTTCCATAAATTTTATAAGAAGGAAAAAACAATAGTTTTAGTTTCAATTAATGTATTATTACTAAATTTTAAAATGCACTTAATCTATAGTATGAAATACTTCTTTAAGGCTTACATTCAAAATTATTGCTTAAGTACATTCTTATATCTTTTAATTTCTCTTATTATTAGATATTGAATGGCCTTTGCCTGGTCGGCCCTGTCCGGCGTGGAGCTGGTGGAGATGTAGTTGGTTTGGTAGCTGCAATTGAATCTCTAGCTGAACCTTCATCCAACCAATCAACTAGACCAGCTGCTGAAAGACTTGTACAGAACAGGTAATCATTAGAAAATATTATTTGTGATCAAATCTAATTTACAAATTATTTATGGTGCAATATAATAATTCACTTTTTAAAAGGTCCATAGTCACAAGACAATTCTTGAGCCTGTCTGGAGTCTTTTGAAACATCAACAATAATGTTGCATATATTTTAAAAAAGTGTTTTATTTAAATTGATATGAAAAACATAAAAAATATACAGTGCAATTTGTTAGCCATCAGTGTTTTAAATAAAGTTTTTGTTTTAGGGGCCGTATAATATGTATAACCAGTGCAAGAGATGATGATTCAATCAGAAGTCTGGCAGGAATTGCTCTCAACACAATTATTCAGCAGAACAAAAAAGCTACACAACCTCAACCACCTGCCAGCCCGGAATCTTCTACAACTGCTCAGTGAGTTATATGAAAAAAACTGTTAATCTGGTTCACTAAAAAAGTATTTGTTTAGTGATACTTTAAAAGCAATAAAAGATTCTATAATCAATGACCACTGACCTGGGCTGTATTTAAGGCAAGAAAGAGAGTCCACAACTTAGATAAACAAAACTGAATTCCCATGGATCACCAACCTAGGTGGAGGGGCAGAAAAAGTGGTCCGGGAAGCCAGATTTTAAAATGGGGCCCCACTCCCACCTCTGAATCCGGCCCTGACACTGACTATTACTAAATTTAAAGGTTCATAACATATCAGAGAAACAAAATTTTTGTTATATCTTCCTCTGTAACTTGTTTATAAGTATTTTTTTTTTGTATATTTCAGATCTCTTGTCATCAATTATTGTCATCTAGTAATTATAAATGTGGCTCCCGAAAAAGCTGACACTAGGGTTACAAATCAACCATTGACTGAGGTAAGTAAACTGATATGAATATTAAATAGACAAATTTATGTAAGAAAATGATGGTCATTAACAATTGGTTATGGTATGTAACATGAAATTATTATATTACCTATTGTTCTCTCAAAATACATAACTGTATGATTTAACTGTCAGAATATTTCCAAAAATATACTTCAATATATACCTAAAAACACCTGATTGTGGGTTCTCCTGTAGAATATTTGAAGTTATCTTTACTTGCATGAAACAGGTTTGCCCCTATTCAGGTAGCTTCATATACATATTGTAAAACTATTTTATATATTTCTCAGATGGGTGGTGGACTGATGGGTGTGGAAGTGATTGTTTCCAGAGCTAGTACTCTAGCAAATCTTCTGGGAAGATTGGTATTGCCACATTATAGACTAGCTACAACTACTGTTACTGGAATTCCAATGAAGGTAACTATTACTCTTAACAATATTTCAAAATACAAATAAATATAGCTCGGAGATCGAGAGAGGAGACATTGTGGCGAGGGAATGCCCTCAAGGGACGAGCTGGGCAAAACACACCTATTACATCATCACAAAAGCCAGCATAGCTTAATGGCAGTGCAAAAGACTGTTCGGCCGAAATTGGGACATAAGTCCCAAAATCACCTACTTACTGGCTATACCACAGTCATTCAATCAATCATCACACACGGGTCCTTACTTTGGTGGACTAGGACCAACCTAAGCACAGCCCGGAAGGACCCATTGAGTAAATACAAGAGGGGCTGCTGAATGCAATGTCGCAGAGACCAGTGTTGCTTTTTTCAGGCAACACTGGTAGAAGCTCTGCAACATTGACACCTAATTTCAACTCCATTTTTCGTGGAGTAAACACATAACGTATTTTAAAAAAATATATACATATATCTTGTAATTCCTGCCCGGTGACTGGGAAAATGTATTTTTTTTAACTAATTTCTATAGACACTAAATAATTCAGCATAGAAATTAATTGCATTAATGAGAAAAAAATAATCATTTTTAATGTACATATTAATATTACTACCAGTACAAACGCTGCCATCCAGCGTCAAATACACACACACTACATACTATGTTTAAATAATCAGGTTTTGATTTCGCTCTAGATTTTTTAAAATTTGCCCTTAATACCCCTGATTTCCAAAAAGCCTTGAATAAAAACATGTTTGATCACTTATAAATACATCAAAACTAATTAATTTAATTATATACGTGATCATAGTAGATCATTCTAATGTATTTTTAAGTAGTAAGAATCAAGTAGTCTTTTAAAGTGATATTTTCCCTAATATCATAGGAAATCGACGATAAAAGTAAAAAAGCAGTCTAAAAACTAATTCAAATTATGAAGTCAGCAAAAGAACCAAATTATCATTCCTTCATATAATGCAATAAATAAAGAGGAACATACATAAAAGTCATTTAAATATACTAATAAATAAAACTAGTTTTTACGGGTTAATGCACGAAACTTTATTTATTTATTGACGTTTCGTAGCCTTTACAGGCTTCGTCGTCAGAATAAAACTTTTATTATTAAACGTCAATAAATAAATAAAGTTTCGTGCATTAACCCGTAAAAACTAGTTTTATTTAATGAGTGATGTGCGTGAAAACCTCAGAAACAAATATATACTAATAAACTTAAGAATTTATGCAAACAATATAAAATGCTATATGCTAAATTACCCTTATTACGTAAAAAGAAAAAAGTATTGTAAAATATGTTTTCGCCCTTTTTAGCCGAAATCGTGCGGAAACCTAAACCCCTAACACATCGTTGTGGCCGTGGCGGAGGTGGTGTCGCTATCTTCCTACGTAGTACATTTTTGTATAAACTAAAAGCTACCTCCAATTTTGACTCCAAGTCAGAATATATTTTTCTGGAGATTGGGACAGGTCGAGCTAAAGCAGTTATTGTTGTAGTTTATTGTCCCCCCACAGTCGATTATTTCACCGAACTTGAAGAGGTTCTAGAATCTTTAGGTTCTGAATATGCACATATTATCATCATGGGTGATTTTAATACTAGTCTCCTCGCATCCGTTCCCGAAAAGTCTTTTATATTGTTCAGTTCGCAAGCCATATTTATGTATTTTATTACTTAGCCATATATACATATTTTACCCCTTCAACCAACTCACCAAAGCTCTTGTGGTGATGATACATGACCTGATTTATTCCTCACCTCTAATCCCTCTCGTCACATCACATGGTCAACATATCACCTCTGGCTTCTCTCATAATGACCTCATCTACCTTTCCTATCTGATTAAGCCCCCCAAATCCCCCCCAAGGTTTCGCACAGGCGCTCATTCGCGGGTGTGGACTTAGACAAATTACTAAAGGATGTCTCAAAGATCAACTGGGATCCTATGTTTCAAGCTTCGGCTGTCAACGAAAAGCTAATATTATTTAACAACTAGTGGCCCGCCCTCGCTTCGCTTCGGTATAGAGCTGTAGTGTAGACTAAAATGACTTTTCATATAATTATATGAAAAGTTAATTTATAAAATTATAAAAAAAAACTGAAAATAGTATATTTGTCTTTTCTATAGTTCTATTGACATCACGTCGCTCAATGGGATTTTAGAAAAGTGTCGTTTTTGGACATTTTCAGGCATTTTTCTAAAATTTTCTCTGCGTAAAAACCATCCTCGTACTTCAAGGAATATTCTAAAAAAAATATCGAAATCGGTTCAGTTGTTCTCGAGATTTGCCCTTAGCAACACATTCAGCGATTCATTTTTATATTAAAGAAGATACCCTGTTGAACATTTACGATGTCCACGTGCCCATCAGAAAAGTGAAGCTAAAGCGTGAACCAGCTCCTTGGATGACAGCAGGTGTTCAGATGGCGATGAGACGTAGACATCGTACTTATCGCAGTTATAGAAAGGATCGTTCTGACGAAAAGTGGAAACTCTTCAAGGCTGCTAGAAATCGGTGTAATCAGATGATACGTAACGCCAAACGCCGTTGAGAATATAACAATATCTCTTCCTCACCTTCTGCAGATATCTGGAAGTTCCTTGGAGGTATCGGCAAATCGAGACATTTAGACCTATCTAATTCAATAAACTTTAACGATCTCAATTTTCATTTCACCACAACTTTTAAGTTGGATCGTGATTCTACAGCAAGCACTGTTGCTTCCATTAATGGTTTAACGCGTCCTAACATCGACCCTTTCCATTTTTCACCAGTCACATCGGCAGAGATTAAAAAGATAATACTTTGCATTAAGTCAAATGCGATGGGGTGTGATGATATTAGTCGTCGCATGATCATTACTATTCTTGATCCTCTTCTTTCTGCTATAACGCATATAATGAATTATTCTCTTGAAACCGGCACTTTTCCTATGCTATGGCGTAAAGCTTATGTACGGCCTCTTTCCAGTCTTCAATCCAACATAGCCACATGAATTTCGGCCGATTTCTATCCTCCCCTTCATATCAAAAGTGTTAGAGGCCTGTGTTCAGAAACAATTATCTCAATTTGTCCACAAAAATTCATTGATGAACCCCCTCCAAGCCGGATTTAGGCCAGGACATAGGACAGTTTCAGCGCTCTTAAAGGTGACTGGCGATATTAGGGCGGGAATGGAGAATGGTAAAGTAGTAGTTAAGTACTTATTGATTTCTCCAATGCTTTTAATACAGTCAGTCGCGATATTCTCCTTTCTATACTATCCCATCTTATAGTCTCTGGCGATGTGTTGACTTGTTGATAAGTAGAGAACTACTTATCTTCTCGACCGCCAGCAGTTGGTCCGGTCTGGGGAATCTTCCTTATCCTGGCGCAATCTGGAAACTGGTGTTCCCCAACGCGGTATTCTCTCTCCTCTTCTTTTTTCAACTTTTATTGATTTTATCACTCACAATCTTCAGTGTTAGTATCATCTATATGCTAATGATTTACAATTATATACCGAAGCAAGCTTCGACAATTTAAACGAAGCCATTGTTGCTCTAAACAGTGACCTAGTCGTTATTAAAACCTGGTCGGAAAAATTCGGGGTCACTGTCAATGCTTCAAAATGCCAAGCCATTTTACTAGAGGGGTCAAGGAGGGCAAAATTAACATCAACAGTCTTGGTTCCATCATTCATGACGGCACTACAATAACTTTTAGCAACGTCGTTAAAGATCTAGGCTTGTATATCGACTGAGTTTAACGGCAGGACCAAGTTATTAGTGTCTGTAAAAAAGTAAAGGGAACCCTTCGTGCCCATGAAAAATTTTTTGCCGGTCAATATCAAGGCAATGCTTGTGCAAACTTTAATATTTCCCATAATCGACTATGTTGATTTGTGCTACCTCGACCTGAATACCTCGCCTTCAGAATAACTGCATTCCATTCCAATATGACCATGTGTCCGCATACTGATGTCTCTTAAAATGGATGCCCATTAGGCAGCGCAGAAGTATGCGGGCTCTGACCACCTTGTTCTCTTTGCTGGATTCTCCAAACGCTCCACCTTATCTCTCTTCTCAATTTCAGTACTTATGTGCCTCTCATAGTAAAAATCTTCGATCTTCTTCTAATCGTTTACTTATCGTTCCGTCACACTGCTCCGATATTATTCACTCTTCCTTCTTCGCAAAAACTATACTTTTGTGGAATGATCTCCTGCTAGATATCGGAATGTCCCCCAGTAAATATACCTTAAAAACCAAACTGCGAAGCTTTTTATTAGAACAGGCGTTTCGTTGAGTGGTTTGTCGTTATTATTTTATATTTATTTTGGAAGTATGTATGTATTTGTGTATTTATTTAAATATATTAACTTATGTATGGTTATATATTATTATTTATATTTATTGTTTTTATAAATTTTTCTTTCAATGTGATTTCCACCTCAGTTATGCACCCTACCACTAATAATCTCCACAACATCCTATGGTTAACTGCTTGAGAATGCCTACGGCATTAAGTCCGCCATTATACGTTTGTACATAAAGAATAAATAAATAACATAACATAGCTCGAAAATGACATAAATAAGTCCAACTGTGATATTGACAAGGTTATTTTAATTTGAAGGAATAGCCAGACGGAGGTAATATTTTCCAAAGCAATTAATAAACAGTATGGCTGGTATTTTAATTGCAAATTAATTCATGTGTTATAATCGACTTATTTAATTCCAGGAAGAACAAAACGCAAGCTCGAGTGCCAATTATGACGTTGAAATAATTCACTCCTTGGATGCTCATGCTGGCTTGAGGGCATCTCAGACTGCGGCTGAGGCAGCAGAATCGGTGAGTTTCATACATGTCGTATTATATCTTACCAAATGTTATATCATTTAAGGAGTACTTTATATTAGTTAGATATGACACTTATGAGCATACTGCTGTACTGCTTAGTTTGTCACATAAGTCATAATATGGCAAAACAAATCATTCAGTGGCAGAGTTATGTAGTTTATCAAAGGATCCAGAATTCTAGATTGATCATTAGCGATTCTATTTTAGTTCAGTTTATTTATTTACATTTATTATCGAATAATTACAAAATCTTATTAGGTCATTAATTAAGAGTACGGGTCGAAAATTACGACACAAGGTTTTCTATCCTTTTCGCACATTATTCACCAAAATATATTAGAAAAACAATGTCTAAGCGTTTTTATTTCAATTGGTTTCTTATTAGCGCGAGTTTAAGATCTAAAATTAAAAAATATGTACAGGTTGTCCTTCGTTGGTGGACACCCCGTGGTGCCGAAGGGGGCGCTAGCGGTTGCAGTGGCCCTTTATGGCGCGTGACGCCCGCAGACGTGGCCTCTAGACCTTCAGCCTGCCTCGTCAACTTCCTGCTGAATGGGCGCTCCGTAACGCTGGAGGTGCCCAGGTGGGGGAATTTACAGGTTGTTCTTCGTTGGTGGGCACCACGCGATGATTCTAGCTAGACCTTCAGCCAGCCTCGTCCTAGAGGTGCCCAGACATGGAGAAAATATAAAGAGGGTTGCTGTATCCAATGTTGCAGAACTTCTACCATGGTCGCCTAAGTAATTGAATTCAAATTAATTGAATTGTTTCTTTAAGTTTATTTAATACGCTTTCAAACGACACCAATATTGGTGGGGGTAAATGCGTGTGTTAAGGGTTATAATAACGATTGAAAGTTATCGCGGAGGTGCGATTTTTTTGACGCCGAGTGTATATAATAAAATGTCATCTGATTAGATTCAGCGGTTTAAGGATGCAGAGGTAACACACAAAAAGACACTTTTTCGCATTTATAATATTAGTATACATATTTTAAAATGACATACTTTGCTATTACTTCTTTGGTAGTAATTCTTTGGTCTCCTATAAACGCCGTAGGCCGCGTACAGCGCCACGCCGTTCGCCGAGTCTCGATGCTTACTATAAAAATGTACTGTTGTGGTCTCTTTCATAAGCTGACGTCGGTGTGTGGACACCGTAGAGCATCGTGGCGTGGCGTACGGCGTGGCGCTGTACGTCGCGTAAGGCGGCTACGGCATTCATAGGAGACCATAGCCTAAGTTTAAATTAGTTATTATCAAATTGTATAAAACTCAAACTTTAGGGGGAGCAAAGTGATTTCTTGCTACCCCCTACGCCTGTAACCCAGACCAAATTAAAATGTATGTAGTCAAACAATTTTTTAATATAAAGTATCTTTTACGTTACAGGAAAGGCGGCGGTAGATCTGCGTCTCACGTATTGGCCGCTCAGGGCGGGGAACTGTGGATCGGGGCGTTGGGCGGGCGGACCACGTACGACGACCCGCCCGCACTGTCTGAAGGGGCGGGCGGCCGGGTCACTGACTATAGGTAGCTGACTATGTGAATATTGCAGGCGGATTTTAGATTAAACCAAGTGTCCGCTCGCGGCTGGGGAACTGGAGGCCTACTCTATTTCAACGAAAAACTAAATTTCGATCGAAATTTCGCACGTTTCTTACTCTGTTTCCTCTTCATGTCGAAAATTCGTTCGTTCGAAAATAGTTTGACATTTAAATTCTCCAAGCCTACTCTAATTCACAAAACTTTCAAACTAAAAGTTGAATTTGACATTTAATTGTTCGAAATTTTAACCTTAAATTGACGAAATGAAAAGTGTTACCTATTCATTTTCGTTTTGGAACTTTTGTTTAAATTAAGCCTAAGCTAGAGTATTTTTAATCCAGGCTGCTTAGCACGAGGAACATTTTTTAGCATGTTAAATTAAGAAATTCACCAATTTTTAATTAATTATTGCATTTCCAATAATTCAAAGTATTAAACGAAAAATTTAGGTTGACATATAATGAAGTGCATCAACTCTACAAATTAATCGGCTAACACTGTCAAAGAAGGTGCTTTTAATGTCATCAAAATTTTTGTAGTAAAGTAATATTGTTTCCAAGTAAAACAGGTAATCTAAAAAGTGGAGATAAAAGAACTCACAAAAATGACTCATTCCATACGTTCACGAAAATTGTCTGTGATTCCAAACTTTATGTGCGTGTTCGAAAATGAAATAGAGTAGAGTTATTGGCGAAATTTCGTTTAAAATTCATTCGTTACCGAAATTTCGTTTCGGAGAAAGAGAGTAGAGTTCCAGAATCGGGTCGTTGGGCGGACGGACCACGTACGACGACCCGCCCGCCCTGTCTGAAGGGACGGGCGGCCGAGTCACCGACTATAGGTAGCTAACTATGTCAATATTGTAGGCGGATTTTAGATTGAACCCAACCATCAACGAGTGGTCGCTCAGGGCGGGCTCTTTGGATCGGGCCGTTGGGTGGGCGGATCACGTACGACGACCCGCCCGCCCTATCTAAAGGGACGAGCGGCCGGGTCACTGACTATAGGTAGAAGTATGTTAATATTGCAGGCAGATTGTAGATTGGACTTTAAGATCAACGATATTAAAAACACTTACACTCTATTCAACTTTATTTAAGCAAAAAGGTTAACAAACCATTAAAATGTTTTGCAATAGAGCGAATGTTATACAACACAATATAACGTCATTTTATTCTTGGTCAATCGCAGGGATTGACCAAGAATAAAATGACGTCACCTGCTAGTAAAGTTCCGGTTCAAAGTGTCGTTACATTGTATCGTTTGGCATTTTAATGACAGTCGTGTGACGTCACACACTAGTGAAATGTCAGATTTAACAGAGTAACATTTTCGCGGCAACTTGAAAATTTAAATTCTAATTTAGTTTTTTACTAAATTACACAACAGCACTCTTAGCACGAACCAATATCGAATTCGTAAAGATTGCGAGTCCGAAATGTCATTGTCAAATGTGTACTGATTTTTAGTTCTCGTTGCGTACTTTGTGGCGCTGCTGTTCAAGTTTCCATACAAAATTTGACATTGACATTTAGCAATCGCAAACCATTAGAATTCAATAATGGTTCCTGCTAGGGTTACAGAGTTAAAAATATCCACCCTTTATGCAGAAGGAATAGAAAAACCAAAGGGGTGATATTATGAATTATCCGATTGGATGATATTATAGTTACTAGGATATTGGTTGTTTTAATTTTGGCAATAACCTGCTTCAGAATCTTTTATAGAGGATGGAAGCCGGGGTGTAGATAAATGAACATAACTTATTCCCAGGATAAAAGAGTTCGGCGCTTTAATGCAACAGAACCGCTTGGGCCCCTTACGAGGATCAGGCGCTAACGGACGGGCGAGAGCTCGCCTACAACGACATACCACTTATTGGCCGCTCACTATATCCTCTACGCTCATATTTAATCTAGGATCGGTGAGTATCTTTATTCCTTATTTTATGTTTCCCTATTTTATCCCCTTGGGGATAGAATTGATAAAAATCCTTTCTTAGCGGATGCCTACGTCATAACATCGACCTGCATGCCAAATTTCAGCCCGATCCGTCCAGCGGTTTGGGCTGTGCGTTGATAAATCACTATGTCAGTCAGTCAGTCACCTTTGAGTTTTATGTAAATACTAGCTGACCCAGCGAACTTCGTACCGCCATAAAAAATGGGGTTGGTGGTAGAAGGGTGAAAATTTAGGGTTGTATGTATTTTTGAATGATGTATCATAAAAAAATTAAATAAAAAAACTAAAATTGAAAAAAAAAATTAGGGGTGGATTACCCTTAACATTTAGGGGGATGAAAAATAGATGTTGTCCGATTCTCAGACCTACCCAATATGCACACAAAATTTCATGAGAATCGGGCAAGCCGTTTCGGAGGAGTTTAACCACAAACACCGCGACACGAGAATTATATATATAACTAGTGGCCCGCCCTCGCTTCGCTTCGGTGTAGAGCTGTATTTCAGACTATATTTTTGTTCTCAGGCTTCTATTAAACACAATGACTTTCTTTAAATACCTAATTACTAAAGACACGCGCCGGCCCCCCGGCCAGTACCGCCCGAACCGGTATGTTCCTGCATTTTAAATCTGTAATATCTTCGAAAATATTCATTTAAATTACATGCTGTAAAGGGCCATATTGACCTATATTACACGCACAATGTATTTAAGGTACTTAATTAGTTAAGGATTAATGCTGTATTGCTTAAAATCGCTTGTTCGTAAATAAGCCATTATTATCTCGTAATTAGTAATTAAAAAATGGTTATTGTGGGTTATACCAAAGAGATAGGCATATACCATCGCGGACTTTTTTGTAGACCTTTTTAAGGTGTACAATACTGTAGTACATTATTTTGATCTATCTCGTTGGGTTCAGCCAGCGTTTGCAATGTAAGCGCAAAAAAATGTGTTTATTTACGACCTTACATTAAAAACCTCTAAAATTATCAGTGTTTCTCTACTATATTATGCATGTATTATACATATAAACCTTCCTCTTGATTCACTCTATCTATTCAAAGAAACCGCATCAAAATCCGTTGTGTAGTTTCAAAGATCTAAGCATACATAGGGACATAGGGACAGAGAAAGCGACTTTGTTTTATACTATGTAGTGATACTAGCTGTCCCAGCGAACTTCGTACCGCTATAAAAAAAATAGGGGTTGGTGGTAGAAGGGTGAAAATTTAGTGTTGTATGTATTTTTGTATGATGTATCATAAAAAAATTGAAAAAAAAAATTTTGGGTTGGATTACCCTTAACATTTAGGGGGATGAAAAATAGATGTTGTCCGATTCTCAGACCTACCCAGTATGCACACAAAATTTCATTCGGAGAATCGGGAAAGCCGTTTCGGAGGAGTTTAACCACAAACACCGCGACACGAGAATTTTATATATTAGATTATATAGATAGAAGGTGGTAGGAAAGAGAAAACTAATGTTGAATATTTTTTTAAAGAATACTTGGGGTGTGAATCTGCAATCCATACCGAAGTCAAAAATATAGTTTTTAGAATTTTTGTCTGTTTGTCTGTATGTATGTCCGAGATAAACTCACAAAGTACTGCATGGATTTACTTAAAATTTGGCACGAATATTATTAAGAAGCTGGGTCAACATAACGGCTACATATTGTCACGCTATCACCTACGGTGAACGAGCAGTGAACCTTTATTTCTAACTAACTCCAAGCGAACGGAGTCGCGGGAGGCCGCTAGTCTAACATATTTATAGACAAGGGGCCCAAGCATGAACTTTGACAGCTCCGTAATCGCATTGCATCGTCAAAGTTTCTATGAAAACTAAGCAGCGTCCCTACCGGACGTGAAAACAAACTGGCTTCTTCCATACAAAATTTGCTTGGGCCTAAGATGTCGTGAATAGATGGTAGGAAAATATTTTAGGGACAATTCAAAAGAGCTTTTTAAGAAGTCAACTTAAATAAAGTTGATTTACAATTAATTACACAAAGAATGGACTGAGCGACGACCGTTTGAATCGACAACTTTCTAAAAAAGAGAAAGCAATGGAGCCCATATCTATATGAACAGTGACTGCACGATTGCTTCGCATCTTTCATACTTATCTGCACAGTTTTACTTTACAGATGAATAGAGAACGCCCAGTGCCATCCCTGTGTCCACAATTTTAACATAAATTCAGTGTTGACCCATTATTTTTCCGGAAATGCAAGATTTTGACTTTTTGCGAAAAGGTTCCCACTGAGACGAGACACTGCGCGCTCCTTTTAAGCAACTCTGTTTTACTCACTCTCTCCTTACCATGAGAAGCAACTTGGTGCTACCTTCTTACAACGTTCAGTTCAAATGGGCTAATCTATACGTATATTTATAGATTATACCGTATGTATACCCGCTAACGCCGTAAAGTACGCAACGGATTTTGATGTGGTGTTCACCATGAGTCAAATAGATTTTCACGGAAAGTCACTGTATGCATTCACATCATCAGCCCATTAATGTCCCCATTGCTAGGGTACAGGCCTTCTCTATCGATGGGATAGGGAGATTGGGCCATGTCCCACCACGCGAGCCCAGTGCAGATTGGAGGATGCTTACGACTGCAGAGGCAGCCGGGGCCAACGCCTTAACGTGCCTTTCGAAGCACAGAGGAGCTCGAGATAATAAATCCCATCACCCATCCAATGCGAATGTTCGATGCATTTTAATTGAACACCCATAATGAATAACATTAGTATTTTGCTTAAGACAGCGTTAATAAGGTTAACATGCGCGTCAATTTATTCAGTGCATTTTTGGTACCGAATTAGTCGGATGCATTCATTAAACATTAACATTTTTACATACCTACGCGTAAAAACTTTATCATCATTAAATGATTAATTTTAGTATATTTTATAAAGAACAATATTGTGGACAGTATAATGAACTATTTTAATATATTTGAACTTCCTCTTTTGCTTCAAACATTCACCGCTATCTAGTGCAAGTTGGAACAGCGAAAGTTACTTAACTTCAACGATCGCAGCCGAACGCGCTAACCACTTGCGCCATCGAGCTCCTCAATTATTTAGCCCGATTGTATTATTAATAATTACTATCTTTGTTTCAGGTAATGGATCCGCTAACCCGCCTGGTCGTCCAAGAGTCCCTTACGGACGAAGAAGTGGACACTTGTAGAAGCGTACTCCTTTCGTTGCTGGGAATGGAATCCCGACATGAGTTTCCGACGGCACAGCTGCCTTCAAACATGAGGTCAGTTACAGTACAGATAAATATTAAGAGAGTCTATTTGACACCAATATATTTGCATATAGCGCTCAGAGGCCCAAGCATGAATTTTGACAGTTATGTTATCGTATCGTATCGCCAAAGTTTCTATAAAAACTAAGCAGCGCCAATAGGGTATTTGACAAATTTTGGAAAACGATATGAAGTTATTTACTTATGTTTATGGAGTCCATAAAAATGGATATTTTTGATTCCGCTGTGTAATTAAGCAAAAACGACTAAATTAAAAATTCTATTTTAAAGTTCCCGTGAATAAGTTTCTCCGGACATATGGCGACTCACTAGTGTGTGACGTCACACGACTGTCATTAAAACGTCGAACGATACAATATAATGTCCCGGAAATTTACTAGCGTGTGACGTCATTTAATTCTTGGCCAATCCCGGCGTTTTCGGTCATGTGAGACAAAAAAAAACATTTTCATTTAATGATTTTATAGCAAAGTTATTAATTATTTGTTCTTTCAGAATAGTAAAGTCACTGCTAATATTCATATTAAATACCAACAATTGGTGCATCCTTTTTCATGCTGTCCAATAACCTATTTTAAACTCGCTCTTTCCATACAAAATTTGACGATGACAATACAATTACGGAGCTATCAAAATTCGTGCTTGGGCTTTAGTTCTCTCCCTTAAACACGGTGTAAAAATATATAGCATCCGCTGATATGCATAATAATATTATTATGACATTAACCGCCTCATTAAAAACACAGTTAAACCTGAACTAAAACTGATTTTGTTTGCTAAAAAGTCTGCGTTTTGGAATAATTAAAATTTCTGCTTAACAAGGTAGGCCCATATAAAAAAAACGATTGAGCCTTACAGTAGTCGCGTATGATGTGTAACATTTGAAACCTCACCTTATATTAGTAAAAAAAGAAATAAAACCTACTACAAAAAGAATAAGCCATTTGAACATTATGTTCTAAAATCAAATTAAATAGCGTGTGACTTCCTGTTACCCACTTCCGTCCCACTTCACGTAATCACAATTACGAATTGCAGGAATGCGAGAGGAAAGATGTTATACATCAGAAATATCTTTCTTTATTGCAGAGGTAAATCCAGTGGTCGTCGCGAAGAGCTCTGGCGTCAAATATGGGGTGAATTAGAAGCTTTGATTCGAGCGCATTCAGCGTCGCCCGCGCACAGAGCCTTGCTGCGAGTGCTGTTAGAATGTCGCGCGCACAACAACCATACTTCCGACAGTAAGTTTTTATAGACCTGCATCTAGAAATATGTGTGAATGTGGTGTAACACAAATAATATTATAATACACGTTTTCATCTATTGTCTGTTAAACTTCCTTTATGACACAAGGTAAACATATAAACTAATGTTTCTAAAACGTTTTTAGGGTTCCGTACCTCAAAAGGAAAGGACGGAACCCTTGTAGGATCACAAAATACTTTTTTTGGTTTGTTTACCTTCTTTCTTAGAGGAAGTTAGTAGAGTTTAGAAACATGTATGAATTTGGTCTAACAAGAATGTTATAATGCTCGATTACATCTAGAAATATATGAATGTGGTCTAATACGAATGTTTTTTATAAAAAGCATATTCAAAATTAATGGCTTATTTTCTTATGGTTTCATGCACACCAATCATTAAATAGAACACTGATTGAACGGGCTTAAAGCGCGGTTTTGTATTATATATCGCCCGTCTGATGGTAAGCAGCACAGAACACAGAAAGAGGTTAGAATGGCCTTGTGGGCGGGGCAGGCGCGTCACAGTTATGAGCAAATGCTCATAACTTGACCGTAACGTCCGATCGCGTCGTTTAGTTGCCCGCGACCGCTCAGTACGAGAGTATTGTGATTACCGCTTAAAATATGCCTTCGTGTGCCGTAATTACTTGCAAAGTAAGGAGTCAATCATCAAATCTACCTAAAGCAGGAATTTCTTTTCATCGGTAAATATAAAACTTCTTAGTTAGACTGATATTTTAGCAAAAATTCGAGAAATTTTAGTAAAACGATAAATCACATATATATTTCCACAAAAATATACATTGCTGACAAAGTACGCTCGCTATTCTTTCTACGACATTCAAAACACATAACGTAGTACGATCGAGCAAGAATGACGCGTGGATCACAGAGCGCTGCACGTGGCCGCACGCAGTACAAGGTCATTGCATCTACTTTAGTGGTGTCTTGCGTCGTACATTTTACATTTTCGATAGATTTTATCGACTGAATTTTAGCACCTAATATTGGAATTAAAGTTACTTTTAGAAATAAATAAAAGCTGATTGTGAATGTTTATTATACTTAATATTATAAAGGCGAAAGTTTGTGAGTGTGTATGTTTGTTACTTCTTCACTACTAAACGGCTGGAGCGTTTTTAATAAAATTTGGTATGGAGTTAGCTGACACCCTGGATTAACACATGCGCTACGTTGAACTGCGGGAAAATATCCAGATCATTGCCTAGCCACACTTGAACTTGATAATACACATGATACAAGTGTTGAAAGGCAGAAGCAGATGTTGGAGGCAGACAATACCACCGTACTGTTTTACTGTTCCATGCAGATTTATATCCCATAGTAGGCCTCAGAAAGATATTATAACAGTTATTGTGGTACTTAGCTTTAGCAGCAACTAAGTTATACTCAATATGTAAAATATGAATTTTCTAATTATTAAAACAGCGATATCTCACGAATGGTGTGTCGTGAGACAAAAAGTGACTGGACCAGTTTTGTAGAGAATTGTATGATCTTCAACTTTAGTCAGAACTATTTTCACGATGAAACTTACCGTTTTCGAGAAAAATGGAAAGAACCATAATTTTGTAAGTTTGACCTTGAATATTTTTTTGCAGAAGTAGGATCGAAGGAAATTTTAGACATTTTATTTATAATGATGTATTTAATTTCTCTGCCAATTTTCAGCTCTATGCAAATTATCCCTAAGTTATGACTTATTTTTGTCTATTTTGACTGGACTATAGAGAGAATTAACTTGTCCACACAGTCAGTAGAAAGAGATTGTAAAGAGCCATCTGAAAACGAAGAGGATCAAGATGAAGATTTTACTGATTTCAGTACACAAGTCATTGCCTACATAGCAGGCAATGTGGTTCATGTCCTTATAAAAAAAAAACTAATGCGATATTTGCCTTGGAGCCCTAATATCAGATTCAAGTAATAATTAACATAAATTTATTTCGTTAAAAGATAAAGGTGGGCTGATATATCCGGCCGTGGTGATGTTATAAAAATACGCAAAAGTGCAGAAAATGTAATACGACAACATGCAGATAATTTGAAAAATGTCAAAAAAGAAATTTTAGTCCAAAAAATATAAAAAAAGTTTATTGGCACTTCATTATTTGATGAAATATCATTTTATCAAGTTGGTGAATTCCCATTATCTAACCACGTAACAGATTCAATTAAAGTGGTAATTGAAAAATATATAGATATATTTCTTTTGAAAAATAACTTTAAAAAAGAAACAAAGCGTCACCTTTCTCATAAATATATATTGTTTAAAGGTCAATAAATAACTATCTGTAATAATGCGTTTTACATTAAATCATTTTCTTTATCTTTACTGACTTTGACAGGATACAAAAAATTCCATACAACCAAGTCAAGTCCAACTCGCACTTGGCATATTTAATATCGATAATATTTCATCGACTCAGTGACAACCACTAGAGCTAAAATCGGTGTGAACGAATGAACGCTCACAGTCACGACTGTGCGATTCGATGAGCGCTGATTCGTTCGGTTGCTTGATGTCGCGTCGTTTGATTGGCTTATTATCTATTAGGTGGAAGTGTAGTGGGGACGAGCCGGCGACATCGGTTCTCACACTGGCGATCGCTTATCACCCTTCTAACCTCTTTCTGTGTTCTGTGGTAAGCAGCCACCATAGCCTATAGACTGTTGCGATACCAAAACTATCACTCACCACGTTACTAATATGTATGTTTAACTTTTGTGTTGCTTCAACATAGAACTGGTAAAAGTTCCGAAATGACAGGAATAATGTCGAATAATAAAAACCGCATTTTGAACGCGTTTGAAGTTAGCTCAAGTCGCGGCGCAGTAAATGAAATGTAGACTGATGTAGGCGCGAGCGGGATGTCAATAGACGGAAACCAGCGCATTGTTGCGCTCACTGCTAACTTCACAACTGCAATATCATTTGAATCGCTCTATACACTTGAATTGAACCTTGAATTTTAGCATGTCTAATGCCTGTCTGTCTCATTAAAAAAAACTGTTTTACATCATAATTAAGGTGGCACTTTACATGGCTATATGTATTAAGTTTGTTGTAATAAGAAATTAATCAAAAAATTGTATTTTGTTTAGTTTTTGCGTATTTGAAAAATACAGATCCAATAAATAACTAGCGTTACCGCACCTCTGACGGTTTTTATGAGAAGTACAGACTTATTTCTAAGCAAAAGAGATAATTAAACAAATTACAACTATATTTATTGGTTATATTTAAGGCGTCGTCCTAAAACTGTACGCTCTTCTGAGTAGTTCGGACTTTTTTTTTATCGTTTCTCATCGTTTCATAATGAATTCGGACAATTCAGCGTTTAAAAATAAAACAGTAACAGAAATTTAAAGAATAAAATCCTGCTGCCATATCTAGCGTCGGGGTGTGACCGCTATATTTGTTGATTGTGGTCATAATTTAAATATTTGGATTATCGTATCTTCAAACTGTATTGCCATGTATTAGCTATTGATGGGGTCGTTTTTTTTTAATTATTTTACCGAATAAATTGATCAAAGAAACTATTAAGGGTATGTCTGGCAATCTTTGCCGAATAAATAGAACACAAATACGCAAACACCAAATAAGCATGTGAAGTGTCATCATTACACGTGCAAGTGTGAATTTTTGTGGTGGAAAATCATTTTATGAACATGACAAATTTTAACGTATTTCAAATGAAACATTATACTATGTTTGATAAAAAATAAATTATAAAAAATATATTAAGAAATAATTTTTCGAATTTTATCAATCACGTTTGTATTAACCAAACTTTTGGATAACGATGCCTATGTCCCGTGGAAACTGCTCTATACTACGCATGTATTGTAATATTTCCATGAATAAAAGGCGATCATAGTGTATAGTGATAGATTTTAAAAACACATGCATACAAATAGCAAGCTTTTTGTTTTGCACCTTGTGTAATGTGTGGAATGTTTCGTTACTTCGCTTGCAATAGGGATGATGACTAACTTTTTTCTTCGTCTATGAGGTACATTATCAAAAAAATATTGTACACGTATTTTTTTCTACTAACTTCATCATTTCATTACAGAGATATATTGATTTGAAATATCAGATGACGTCACGTCTAGGTACAATTTTTACTTAGAAGTGACGCTACGACCCACTCTAAATCTTTATAATTTGAGAAAAGAAAAATTAGTGTATTTTTTTGATAATTTTACTGAAACTGACTAAATACAAATCATCCCAATGACTAATCACAGCATGTGACGGTTTTTACGTGTTTATTTCGCACATATTTTCATGCCAAATTTTAATTTATCAATAATGTATTTTATTTTTAATAGCATGACTACTAATATGTTAACGCTTCAAGCATTAATTTATAAATGTCTGGAATGTAAGTGTTTCATTTTAATTGCTATTTTTATAACTATGCGGTATCATTCCTTTGTACCTCCAATATTATGCGCCGAATAAAGTCTACGATTTTTGTCTTAAATTGAAATTACAAGCTACGTTATGGTATTAAAGTCTGTTGTCTATAATTTACAATGTGAAAGATACTGCAAAGTTTGTTTTTGTTTTAGTGATTGTTTTTTTTTTCGTTGTAGTATGGCACAAGGCTTGTGTTATTTTGTAAAGTTAATCTATTTAGATTTAAACATCTAGCAGTTAAATGCTTAAAAAATAAAAACATAAGTTAATTTATGTTGATAATTACCAATACAATTAATAACATTTTTGTTTCATCAAATTACTTTACATGATTGATTCATTTTGATTTTTTATTAATGAAAGAGCATACATAATGAAAAGCTTGAAATTTTAATTCTTTATAAAGAGACTTACGTTGTAGGCAATTTATTTTGGAGCAGTAATGGCAATTCATTAAGAAATTTCTACCTTTACTTACAGACGAAATTCGTGCTGAACTATTTTAAACTTTAATATTCCATAGTTAGGAATTACATATTTAGAATAACAAAAACTTTTAATTTCGAATAATTATCAATTGTCATTTATTTGCATTAACCAAATCGGCCTATTGCCACATTTCAACCATCAAAAAAAAACAGCCTTCAACCGTATGCCTATCGTTATTGCAACTTACACATTTTCTCACGACTCAAACATTGCTTACAGGCGAATCCCGTGCCAGCGTGATTCGAGCAACCACAGATTCGCCTCTATCGCCAGTGGGCTCGGGCAATGGCCAATCAGGCGACGTTTGGGCTCCCAGGAACGTTCTAGATGCACTATTGGCGGGACCTCGCCCTTCGAGGCGACCAGACTTCGCGGGAAGAATGGCCGCCGGGAATAGACCGGCTGTATTATACCAACACTTGCAACAAGACGTAGAAGCCCAACACTGATATGGCATTACATATACAGTATTATTCCATTCGGCTAATAAAACCTTTGTAATAAAGTTCGTTGAAGAGAGCGTTTATTTGAAAACTACACGAAGAAACGAGCTGTACTGAAAAAAGACATTGAGGATTGGAAGTCCAGCACTCTAGCGGAGTGGTTTATTTTCCCTTTTGGTTAATAAAGAATATGCAATAAAGCTAGTTAAATGGGCGTTTTTTTTTATTGTTACTAGACACACGTTTCGTTTACAAATCAGCGTGATTCCTGCATTACATATTCCTCTTTGTCGCTAGTAGGTGCGGGCAGCGGCCAATCAAGCGAAGTTTGGGCGCCCAGGAATATTCTAGATGCACTAATGGCTGGACCGCGCCCTCCGAGGCGACCAGACTTCGCGGGAAGAATGATCGCCGGTAACGGACCGGCTGTACTGTACAAGAATTTGAAAGAAAACGGCGAAACTCAGCCAGGATGAGGGGTTGTCTACTTCCCTTTTGTCACTATGAAGAATACTAAATGAATATTGAGTTTTTCGGTGCCATTTATGTAGTGGGCTCCTGTTGTTGGTATTAATTCGCAAATTGTAACGAAGTCAATCCTACTGAATTTTTCAGCGAACTCGCAGGATACATTATATTGCGTCCAAATCAATGTTTAGGAAAATTTTCGCCAGCAGTTGACGCAACTGTGACAAGAGGTCTTTTATATGAAGTTTATGGTGCTAATTAATCGAACAAGCATTAAAAATTGGTCCATAGACTATGACCACATACGTGATTTGACGGATGAATAGACCTTTCGTCTCAGTCCTGCCACCTGGCTCCCGTACTTCTTTTAAACCCTCATTGGTATCCTCTAATTCCATTACTACTGCAGTGCATAGTGCTAATGCTAAAGCTAGTGTTAGTTTCATATTTAACTGAGTGGATAAGGGCTGAATTTTCTATTTTGAGATATAAATTGTCTGCCAAATAAATCATTACCCAGTCCAAAAGAAATTTCATCCACAATCACAACAATCCTCAATAGTTTGATGGAAAATAACCAATGTTCATTTTGTCCATATAATACGATGCAAATAAGTCTTGTATTATCCCGGGATTTCATCAGCCCTTAATATGTCCAAGTCTTAAGGCAGATTTTTCAAATGCTGCTTAAATGACATAACGTTTTCAATATAACTGTACAGTACAAATAGTACGATATTAGAGGAGATTTAAATTTTGTTTAGGGATTCATTTTCCCCTAACGAAAAATAAAAAGTAAAATAACTATCATGTTTTCTATCGTTGTAGTTGTTTTCATTTCTATAACACTGGGTTTTTGCTTAGATATAATTAGGTTTGGTTGGAATTAGTGCAATGTATGCTATATATATATATTACCATGCCCAACACAATAGTTTAAATTGTATATTTACAAAATCCCAAACATCCAACGCTTTGATAATATAATTTATTATTATTTATATTAATTTGAACGATTTGCCCCATAAATATTATCACATTTGCTAAATCCTATTTTAAAGTTTTGCATGTTATGAATATTCATTTCATTCATCGTCGTCGTTGTCGTACAATGTTTCGTTATACCAGTAAGTCAAAATTAATCGATAATACTTAAAGACTCAGTTTTTCGTCTGCGGAAATCTATTAATCTTTTCCAATAATCCATTGTGTATAGAAATTATTATCACATTAATGGATTAATTGAAATACATTAACGGATTTTCGCTGACAAAAAAGTCAATTGTATTATCAACTCATTTAGATTTACTGGTAGTCCGGTCAAATTAGCTTCAAAAATAGGGGTAAGGTTACATTAATTCGCACCTAGCTGAAAATTGGCATGAATGTTGGGAACCCTATTACACACAATTTATCAATTATCCACATGAATCCAACGTGAGGAAAAAAAAATATTCAAGGTCAAATGTTGCAAAAATCGGTTTATCGAGTTTTCCAGCTAAACGGTAAGTTTTATTATAAAAATAGGTGAGGCAAAAATTATTCATCATGCAATTATCTATAAAAATTGTTTATACACTTTTTTTCCTAAGATTCACCATTTCGGAGATATAACGATGCAAAATGTTGAAAAAGTTGTATTCTTTATAATATGTATGTCAATTACCGTTAAATACGTTACAGAACGATAATATAAGTTAAAAATATTAGTTTTCGTGGCGTATACATGCATACTATACAATTGTAAGAATATAAACTCGAAAAAAAATCCAGTCCCGTCCAGTCAGTCAGTCAAAGCACCTCAGAGATAAGTTTCGATACTTATCTTTTGCTAAAAATACGCATAAAAAAAACAAGTACAATTAGCTTGTTTTCCTCCAACCTCTGCTTCTGCTCAGCGACATCTATTTCGGGTATATTATCAAGTTCAAGTATGGCTCGGTATAGTAAGTTAATTGACAATATATTGGAACCAGTAAAGACTTTACTACCTCCTGCACCAGAAAAAACTCCTCAATTCAATTTTTTGCAATCGCAAATCGGGGTGTAATGCTAAATGCGGCTGTAAAAAAGTTATGTTGTTTTGTTCATTAGATCAGTTGTCGAGGCCAATCGTGCTCCAATGTTCAATCGCCAGTAGAAGAGGATTCTTACGATATATGCGAGGAGACATCTGATGCATCGCTCTTTGAACAATTTATTTGTACCCAGCAGGAAGAAGAAGAAGAAGAACAAGACAGTATGGATTATGTTCCATTAGAAGAGTATCAATCAGACGAATAATTTTCTCAAATTACTCATTACTTACACCGACCTTGTCATTACAATAGTACCATTTTCAATTAAATACAATAGCTTTTAACTCAACAGAACCACAATAGATCGTGGAATAGGCCTACCGGGGAAACCACGGAAAAATAAAACGCACCATTTACACTACCTCACGGGTGGCGCGGAAACGTGTGCATATTATGAGTAACACAACTTTTTTAACTTTTTACATCGCTATATCTCCGAAATGGTGATTCTTAGGAAAAAAAGTGTCTAAACAAAATTTATAGATAATTGCATGATAAATAATTTTTGTTTCGCCTATTTTTATGGTAAAACTTACCGTTTAGCTGGAGAACTCAAAAAACCGATTTTTGCAACATTTGACCTTGAATATTTTTTTTTCCACACGTTGGATTCATGTGGATAATTGACAAATTGTGTGTAACAGGGTTCCCAACATTCATGCCAATTTTTAGCTGGGTGCGAATTAATGTAACCTTGAATGTCTATTTTGACCGGACTATGGGTTTTCGCTGAATAACAACGATGCGCAATCGTCGCCCGATCTCAGGAAGTTTACTCTTACAAATTCCAAGTATATCTATTAGAGATACGATGATGACGTATTGGCTTTTAATTTGAACGATGTCTAATGCTCACACTTCACATGGCTATTTGTGTTCGCCATTTGTAAATTTGACAGCAGTATATCCTTATCATGCTCTACGAGAATGAAAACGAGGGCTGCTGTCATATCGAGTTTAAGATTACGGACCTGAAAAAAAGACCGACGTAACATCAATCTAAAATGATGTGAAGGTCCCACAATTTCGTTTGTTGTACACTACTTACACTCACACAATTGCACCAGGTCAGACAAACCGCTGTCATTTGACTCTGCGTGACAGCGCTCAGCGCCAGTCACACGTTCAATTGCTCCGACGATTTTTTTTAAATATGCCGTTTCGTGTGATGAAATCTTGTAAAAACCACGCTTACACTTACCATGCTTAAGTAATGACCACGGAGGAAAAACAAAGAGGAGGTGTGGTGATTAAATTTTCTCAAGAAACGACGCGTGATAATTTGCGGGATGCGGGGTGTTCAGCTCCGCCCACTTCTCAATATTTCATCTATCGGCTAATAGCAAAACTAGCTTAGGTTGATATTTATGTTACTACGTAGTAGTTCAGCTATCTAACACTAGATGTTCAAAAGTTTTGTATATAATGGGACGTACTCAGAACTTGAAGCTTCAAAAAAATGAAATATGTAGGTAAATAAATAAAATAAACGTTAACAAATTTGACCGATTTTAAAATTTTTAAGGTATAATTTTTATTATTTTAAAACATGTAACTGCTTGATGAAAAAAAACCAGGCAGACCAGGCAGCAGACGGGACTCGAACCCGCACCCGCTCCCGTCTGCTGCTTGGTCCGCGTGGATATTTTTCTAGTTATATTTTCTTTAGATTTAAATTTTAAGGTAGTTTAAAAATAATAGACAAAATGTTATTACAAACATAATTTTATTAAAAAACATCAATTACCTGTAAATAATAGTTTTGGTTAGTTGTTGTCGGTTGGTTGCCCTATCGTTTTGTATTGTGGCAAAATGCTTAAAACGAATATCAATATATTTTTCTGCAATCGATTTCATCAGAAATACAACATAATCATTGGTCAAACATATGGTTGGCCGATTTTTTGAAACAATCTTGTCCAATTAGTGATTTTAATGTATTCGATACAATTTTATGTTTACGAAAGTTAGGAGTATTCAAAGATTGCGAATTAACACAACGAATACTGCCTTCGGTCCGTATACATATTTTTATGACATCTCTAGATGGGAAAGTAAGACCACCCTTATTTTTAGTTTTTATCAAATCAAGGTCACTATCGTCGTAGTTATCAGCATATAATTCTTTGAGACAGCTCTCACATTTGATCTTGGAATGTAAATATTTGACCACATACCCAGAAATATATGCTACTATTTGACGGCGCAAATAGTCACCTATAGTTGTATTTAATTGTTCATCAAATTCCAATAACATATCGTCAGGCATATGCTCGACATCCGTGCTATCCGAAGACTCGAAACTCATTTTATTTAAAATGCGATAACGTTCTGATGTAATATTAATTTTTTGCACAGAAGATTCATTTAAAATGGAAATATCTTCTTCTTCTATGGTGTCCAATCCGGTCTATTAAGTTTTGAAATCCATTGCTGTTTTAAATTATCGTTGGATGGAAATCTAAAACGAACATAAAAATAATTAAAATTTATTTACTTGGTAAAATAATTTAATACGTATTACGGCCCTGGATATTTGTAACGTTTAAAAAGTTATTCTATATGACGACAGATGGCGGCCAGTTAGTAATATATTGATAAAATTACTGTTTTAGATACTAAAAGTTATTTAGGAATAAGTGTATAACAGTTTTTAGTATTTATGTATGATTATTACAATATACTACTGCAAAATTATACGTAAACTTGTGTATTTTCTTCCTAAAAGTGTCGCCATCTGGTGTCAAGTAGTAGAATTTTAACGCTGATAGCTGAGGCTGAGAATGTTCTAGAACTTATATATTTAATTACGTATAAAATTACTTACAAATGAAATGTGATGCCATCCATATTATTAGAACGTCTGTCTGAGTAACTTTGACATAGTAAAACACAAAACTTCATCCTTTTCTTGTTAAAAACGCAAAAAAACACTTATAATGCGAGTCTCGTTAAGTGTGCACCTGACGAACGCTGAAAGCATACTGACTTAGGCCCCGCCCACAATGATGACGTCAGGACCTAGTTGAAAATCACAGTGCACAGTAGCTTAGGCCAGCTCCTCTTTGTTTTTCCTCCGTGGTAATGACGAACCGTGATAATTTTTCTAAATTATTTAATGTGATAAAAATTCAAAACAAAAAATACAACTGACTTTTTTTACGGGAAAACCTTCCTAAAAGTCGGGAAATTTGTATTTCATGCATTTGTGACTCGGTAAGACAAGAGGTCGTATTTTTTAGGGTTCCGTATTCCAAACGGAAAAGAACAGAACCATTTTATTCATATAAAATTACTCTTGCCTCCTTTTTATGATTAGTGTGTTTTAGTTATTCGATACTGCAGAGAAGAAAACAATTGGAACCCATCATCTGCCAGTACTGTGTGCAGTGCACATTTTGATCATGTAGATTTTATAACTACAGCTAAGGGGCTACGTTGTTTAGTTCCGTACGCAATCTGCGCGGTTAAAAATCTGTAGAATATTTTTTCTAGAAAAAAAAATCATCTCTTTCAAAGTTTCAGGCAGGACTCAAATCTACGTGTTCCGCTGTCCGGGTGGATGCACTAACCACTAGCATTTGTGGTAGTTTCTATAATAAAAAAAAAACAAAAAAGCTTATGACTACACAACTGAAGTGAAACTTCTTTAGTTAACCTAAAGATTTGTTGATAGAAAAAATCCACCAATCTGCGCTGGTTCCGTTATCACCCTCCAATCTGCACTGGGTCTATTATCACCCACCAATCCGCGCTGGGTCCGTTATCACACACCAATCCGCACTGGGTCCGTTATCACCCACCAATCTGCGCTGGGTCCGTTATTACACACCAAACACTAGATTCATGTATTTTGTGACGGGTATTGTTCATTGTTTACCGATGAGTCACCGATGACACTAATCGTAAAACTGATTATTTCATTCATTATTACAAATGTACATATATTATTAACCTCACACTTAATATTAAGGCACTAATATTTATATGTAAACAATTAATTTCTTTATACGTAACAAGTGTTTTCTTTTCTATCGCTGTGTTCATAAAAATGAATTTGATAGGCCAACATCATGTTTCTGAAGTGCAACCGTTTAAATTGCTGAAATATCGGGAGCTCACAACGAGTAAAACACGTGGTAAATATCCCGTTATTATAATATATATTTTTTTATAAATGTTAACAAAGTTTTAGTTTGCGAGATTTAAAAAGTAGGGAAATTAATTATTTACCCGACAACCCTCAAATCACGCACACGCGGTAAGCGGGCGGCTATTGGCATACTTCACTCACGATTAGACGAGCGTACGTCCGTCTTTTTTTCAGGTCCGTGTTTAAGACAATATGATTGGAAAGTGCTAGTTTAATATGTTAATGTATATAGGAGATTTAATTTTGGTATTACATGATCTTAGGTTATAGATGTATGTCAAATTGTCAATAGCACACGATCCTTTAAGTTTTTGCTAGAGTTGTTCATCAACGATTAAAGTATTTCTTTAGATATATCCCTAGTTTAAGAAATGGTAAAAATATATGGTTGTATTGTAAAAAATACTATTTTTGTCAATAAGTAAATCAATAAACTTTTTTAGTTTGTAAGAAAATGGCTCACAGTTGAATATTCATTTTAAACGTTTTTTTTTCTTGTTTTTAAATTAGTTTCCTTCAATTAATGACAATTGGGGAAGTCATGCAATAAATAAAAAATGCAACATTATAAAATTAATATCTTATATTTGTTCAATAAAAACTACATTGTGGGCCCGTGTGCCCGGCGCCCGGGTAACACGACCTTTGTATTATCTTGTTGAATATAAACTCTGCGGGCAGACTGTGTCATAAGGCAATGGTGTGATTGTGACGGCCTGGTGGCCTAGTCAAGGCATCTGCAGGCCTACACGGAAAATCAGACGTAAACCGTCGTAATTAAGTTCTGTTTACATTGCGGTCATCCATTGAAATATCAACACGTACTGCGCTATCAGTAGACTCGGTGTTCGTTTCGATTTTCCGTGTAGATACTCTGGTCCGGTAACGGCGACCCCTCGCCGCCGTACGTTATAAATTATTGGAATGTCACGCGGGATGCGAACGTTCAAACATCAAAAGAACCATTACAAACGAAACCTAACGTTAGGCCCCGTTGCGGGCCACTCCGCAAAATACACTCGCATTGATATAATAATATTGTACAATCTCATACTCTCGTTATAGACGTAGAGCGCCCGGCGTAAGTCCATTGAAACGCATCCGAAACATTAATTAATACCCTATAAAACTTACAAAACCGACCGGTACTCTTAAAACTTAATGCTAAGTTTAAAATTAAACGGAATTGAAAAATAAATTACCTAGGTACAATATTTTAGTCTAGAAAGCTATTTATAGGCGCACGAGGGATGCTTGGTGGGGTGCGCGTGTGTCAGTGTGTGGCTTCTCGAAGTTTCTTTGCAACGGGCGGCGCCGGCGCGTCCGTCGAGTCTCCCAGTGAGTTCTCTTCCGAACTAGCTTCTTCTAACGGTCTGTTGGCAGCCAAACAACAATTTCGTATTAGTTTAAACTAGACAATCAAATTCAACATTTATAAGTAGGATAGCTTTGAGAAGCATCGAGTACCTACTCGATAGCGCAAGTGGTTAGCGCATTCGGCTGCGATCGTTGAAGTTAAGTAACTTTCGAAGCGGTAGGTCATTGGAAAATTTACTAGAGCTTGGGAATTGGGGGGGGGGGGGGGGGGGGGGCATTAATAAGCTAACGCTGATAATGAGATAGCTTTATTTAACACTTAACACTGGTCTTCTGAGAGCGAGGACATCTATCATAGATCAAAAGAAATATTACTCGTGCATCATCTTAGGCCCAAATGTGGTTATAAAATTGATACATGCAGTTTTACAGGCCTAATATGTTGGAAAACATCAGCCAGCAAGATAAGGTAGGCTAGAGTGGCATGTTTCTCTGCTGCAAAAGCCTTCCTTACAACTCAGATCACTCCCACAAAGGCATCAGATGTGGTACGGTAAAATGCTGGGCTTTTTAGGTTTCCGTACCTCAAAAGGAAGAAAACGGAACCCTTATAGGATCACTTTCTTGTCTGTCCGTCCGTCTGTCAATACCGTTTTTCTCAGGAACGCGTGGAGGTATCAAACTGAAATTCCTTGGAGCTGTGAAAAAATCAAACTCCTAAGCCAAAGCAATCAAAAGATACAGTCGTTTATGTCGTTGACGACCTCCTTGGTCGAGTGGTTTGTACGCCGGGTTTCATGGTGTCGCCGACTCGAGAGGTCCCGGGTTCGAATCCCGGTGGGGGCAGATGTTTGTGTGATGAATACGAGCATTTGTACTTCAGTCATGGATGTTTCATATGTATTTCTAAATAAAAAATATACTTATATATGTACAGTATATGTATTCTATCCGTTACCCTAGTATCCCATAACACAAGCCTTACAGTGCTTACTTTGGGGCTAGGCTAATTGGTGTGAGTGTTGGAAATATTTATTTATTTATTTATTTAAATTTTCGAGACTCGCACCGGAATCATAACCCATAGGGTACTTCCCGTGAACTTAGAATCTTGAAATTTGGTACGATACCGCCTTACTACTATAACCTTCGATCACAGAAAGACTAGATACAGTACTTCATACTTCAACTATTACTAAATGCGTCGGCGCGACATTAGTAGTGTGTGTATCGCGTGATATATTACCCTTCAGCTTCAAGAGATCGCTAGCAATGTACTGCTATCCTTTTTTCGCGCACAGTGATCTCGTATTGCTTGACCTTTCGTTTCACGCACACATTTACGTGCTCCAAAATAGGCGAATGTGGGTGCGCGTATTCGATATGTTATGTGTGCGTGCCGAGGCTCAAAACTATGGATTCATATTCATAGCGGCTTTTATTATTTTTTTATTATTGTAGTATAATTAAATATCAGATGTATAATAAAAATGCAATAAAATTACAATAATAATAGTATTATATGATAGAATGTGAAAAAAAGCATTGAGAATTATTAAGTTAAAAAGTAGTGTTTTGGGGTTTCAAAGTATTCAGTATCGCTCCCTATCCGTGCCCTAAGCACGAACTTTTGACAGATGCGTAACCCTATCGAAATCGTCAAAATTTCTATGGAAAGAGCCAGTTTGTTCTTACGTTCGGTAGGGGCGCTGCTTAGTTTCCATCGAAACTTTGACGGTGGCGATACGTTTACGGATCTGTCAAAGTTCGTGCTTAGGGCACAGCTGTCGATAGAAAGTAAAACCTGTTTTTTATTGCATATTAAAAGAGGTTGCAACCATACAGAATACAGATAATTTAGTGCGGGAATGAAAATTATAGTATTATGTCGCTATGGCTACTCCCTTCCGTGTTGCTCTATGAAATAAATGAATTAGACAGGAAGATCAAAGTATATCTTCTATCATCGAAATAAGTTGGTAAGTAAGTTGTTAAGTAAGTTGAACTTTTCAGTAAGGATAAGGTTAAAACATAAACAATTGAAATTATCATAAATTGCAGGTTTATTATATAAAAATTCTCTATTTATAATTTTAAATGTATTGGCAAAATTTCATGTACCTTTAAAAAGTGTCAGTTTATTAAAAACTTGTCTCTTAGTTTTGATGTACGACTCCTTTTTTGAATTATAATAAAGACGCAGACTAACATACTCTTCAATCACACTTCTTACCAAAAATATCCGATGATTATAAGTGGCCGGTTGCTCCAACGAGTGCCCTTCAAGGCACTGGAAAATTTCTTTATATGCATACATGCAACTTTTGAAACACTGCAAGCAAATACGAGCGTAATAGTTTCTGTCAGAAGCTTTGACTCGTTCCTTGAATATTTTTCTAAGAACCATTTCACTGTTGATGCAAACTTTATAAACATCGACAGACGGATAAATCAGTCCACCAAAGTTTTTCTTATCAATCAGCTTATGAAAATATAACCCACTTGGCGTAAAAAGACTGTCAGAGCATGATCGACATTTAATTTTTCGGTTAATTTTTTTAGATACAAAACCTGATATGTACCCCACTATTTGCTCAATACTTTCCGGTGGCACTGAAGCATCCAACATTTCATTAAATATGTCACAATTTTTTCCTTCCTGCGTATCCTTCTCAAACGCACCCTCTGTTTCTTCATCTTCTTCAAATCGATAGCCAGTTACAGTACGATTGATTGTCGATACAGCTGATGAACAATTTAAAATTGGATAATTTTCCAGAGGGATGCAGTTTCCAGTGAAATTTGATTTCAGTTCGAAGTGGTTAAGCAGTTTTCTGAAAGCACCGCGTAGTTGACGGGCATCAGGGTTATTGTTGTGCCCCCCATGACTTCGAATATTACTGAAAAATAATTCTACGTGGTCCTGTGAGTACTTATATGATGGAAGATACTGTATCACTTCAGCCTTCTCAATCAGTTCTTCATATAAATTTCTTAAACTGTTAATACAAATAATTAACCCAATAAATCCTGTTTGATTTCTAGTTTCAGTGATCGGTTTTTGATAAATGGTAGTTGTACTTATTTTATTTTTTTTATACGTCTTTACATGTGTTATTGGCACTTCTATCTTTAATGCTTTTAAATATTGTTCGGCTTCGTTCAGTAGTCTAAAATGTTGTTCTTTGTTTTTTGCACAAATTGGCTGTTTGTAACCGTTATTTTTGATTGATCTAGAATTTAAAACGTCGAATAGGTCATTCATTATTTGCACCATTTTAGTAGTTGCTGAAGCATCATTGAACGTAGATAATTTAAGTTCATTTTGACACAAATCCAAAGTACTTGCAACGCTTCTGCTAAAAAGTTGGGTAGCGAGTTTAACTTTCATGATTTGGTTACGAAATTTTATGTGTTGTTCAGTGACCTTGTTTGCAAAATGCATGCCTAAGTTATCCTGCAACTTTTGTAACTCAACGAGATATTGCCATTGTATAATTTTTCCATTTGAATCTATAAATTCCTTTTTTGACTCCAATGTATTTCTAACCAACTTGACCATATGACATGGATCAAGCATCAAGTAAACGTTTGTGCTATTGTCACTTGGATGTGGAAAGTGCGTTTTTAAATTATGAGTGTCATCTAGTTTACAGCCCAATTCGTTGGCAGCTGCAAAATTTGAGGCGCATCCATCAAAAGTAAGCGTTTTTACTATGGCTCCAACTTCGTGACATTTTTCTAACGTTCTTTTGATAATATTGGCTCTTTGTTCGCCTGAAAAGCCATTTACTAAAAAATACCCCAAAGGTAATTTAAAAGAATCGTTTATTGGCACTAAAATGACACAGTATGCTTGAGTTGCTATTTCCTCTGTATTTTCTCCGAATGAAACTAATCCTTCCATGAATTTCCCGTTGAAAATCTTTTTTTGCCTAATGGCCATTTCATCCACTATCAAGCAAAATCTTAATTGTCTGTCAGTAGTTGCAACCACTTTAACTTGTAATGCCCGAAATGCCTCCTCCGAGAAACCTGGTTTCCCATCTATGCTTTGATACCACTTATTAAGCGTTGACGGATGTGGTAAACACGAGTCAAATACCCTTCTAACGTACTTGTATCCAGCTGGTGAAAGAAAGTCTAGGGTGAGGGCAAATTTTCTTATGAATGCAGGATATTTCAATGTTGTTCTCTTACATTTCTTTTTTTTTAAATGCATCCTATTAAATATCTCAGCTGCCATTATATTATTATTAGAAAGTTTTTGTTCATCGTCACTAGTAATATATTTTTTTTCTTTAAGATCTTTTATTATTTTCTTCAAATAGCAGTTCTGTTTAATCAATCTTCTATTTGTTCTCTGCACTTTTTTCAATTTTTTTAATCGAAGGTCAGCGAGCATAGTTTTTTTTCTTAATTTTGTTTTAAGGGCATACGTTTTTGGAGATTCTAAATATGAATTTATATCTGAATAAGATGAAATTGGAGAATTAATATTTTCTTGCAAACAGCTCTGCATAAATGTATTGTTAGGTTCCTGATGTTCACAATTTGGTTGAAAAGCAAACTCTTCAGTTGTTCTAGTTGGTTCTTTGTTAATAACTACATTTTTAAGTTCAGTGAATGTTGTATTCAAAAGATTATGTGATGTAAATGACGTTGAATTAGTTAAATCTTGTAACGGTTCACGCAATAAATAGTCACTCGGTGCTTTGAGAATTTCAATAGACTTGAATGTTTGAGACTCGGATGAACAGTATCTTTGAGATGAAGTACTTGGTTTGTCTATTTCAAATGTGTCGATATGTTGTAGATCTTGTGGCTGGCTGGAATGATTCTGCAAAAAAATATTGAAATAATTAACACAAACAACTTAATTGGTCGTTAGCCCGTATTCGGGTGCACGAAAGACGTTACTGGAATTCGGCCACCCGATGCAATAATTACATTGTTTTTACTCGAACACGGGCTGCAAGACGGCGTCGGGTAAACAAAACGAAAACTGTCCGATATGGGCGACTCAACTCCGTTCATTTACACTTAGTCGTTTGTCCGAATTCCATAGGCAATCGTATTCGGGCTAACGACCAAGTGTAATTGCGCCATCAGTCACCTAAAACACCTAGTTTTAAGATCTTTTCCAGGATCATACACGTTCATAACTTAACATATCTAAAATTTATTTGAATTTCTTTTAACACCTAGTTTTAAGCTTTTTTCCAGGATCATACACGTTTATAACTTAACTTAGCATATCTATCATTTATTTGAATTTATTTAACACCTTGTTAGTGTATCATATAATTATAACTTATCTATCATATAACATTAACTCATTTGAAACTTCGTTAAACAAACTTTATAGGTATTTATCTTTAGGCGTGAAAAGGAACACAGAGAGACCGAGTCACCTCTGTATTTATAATATGTAAAAGTGATATAGGTACTTACCACTAGTTTATATTTAGGTAAAGCTGTTTTCTTTAATCTCCGTAGGCCTTTGTTAGTGGTATAAAAATCCGATTCATGAAAATGTAAGGAGCAAATAGAGGCACGTTTTGAAGGTCTCCAATTTATGTGTTATTTCAAATAAGGCATTAATCTAATTTTCTCGCCTCTCTGCCGATTGTGGAAATCTAGATAAAATTAAATTAATAACGAGATTAAAAATTAAAAGAAAATGATCATAACAAGTTTGTTAGATACACGTTTTTTTTATCTGATACACTCACACCTCAAACTAAGCAGAGTTTGTACTATGAGAGCTAGGTAACGGATATTAATACATAATGTCATATAAACATCTATGACTCTGGTGCAAATGTCCGTATTCATCACACAAACATTTTCCCTTTACGGGTTTCGACCCCGCGACCTATGGTTCTGTTCCATAGGTCGCGGGTTCGAATCCCGTTTATTAACCACTAAATCAACAGGCCTCTCAATATCCTATCTTACGTATTAAATCTTTACCATTCAAACATAAGAAAATAGTTTATTTTTTAAAGAAGCCGTCTCCACTTTACACAACCAGATGAAATGTATGAGAGAGTAATTTTTGTTTTTTTCTTATCAAAAATTGTATTTAAAAGCATACTCACTCATGAAATGTAATTCCAGTAGTTTTAGTGTGCTTTCTTGTATCACTTTTACATGTTTTGATCGTGCAAGTCGGCATTTTTGCAATATTAGTGACGAGAAACACTGCGAAATTGACGGGCGGTCGCGTAGCTGCCAACGACAGACTGAGCGGGCGATGAGTGGAGTTTTTAAATTGAGCGGAGTTTTCATGGAACGCGATTCGAACCTACTTGCTGTATCTAGTCTTTCTGTGATCGAAGACTATAACAGATACAGATAAAGGAAAAATTGCGAAAATCGTAAATTTTTAGTTTCATCGTATAATAAAAAATATTTCTGAAAATTTTAAAGTTACTACCTCTTTTGTCATGAACGCTTAGAGGTATTAAATTGAGTTTATACGGAACCCTCGGTGCGCGAGTCCGACTCTCACTTGGCCGGTTTTTGTTTTATGTAAAAAGAGTGGTATATAACCTTGCCCGATAGAAGCAGTTACCTTGGCCTATATACTCTGGCGATAAGAGAGTATGTCTTGCACGTAGCCTATCCTCCCCCCACCCTCTAACCCTGTAACCTTACTCACTACAAAACCCGACACCACCAAAAAGTTGTGTTGTTTCACTGCTTTCGTCTGGAGGTATTTTCGCTCCAAACTTATAGCGCTTGGCGTGCTGGGTCTGAGATGTCGAAGAGAGAGGCGAGGGTGGCAAGAGAGGCGGCCTTAGCGTCCATGGAGTCTTTCATCCTCTACATCGTTCAACCTTACTCACCGACAGAAACAACATCGCCAAAACGCAGAGTAAGGTATTTTACTGATTTTTGTTCTAAGTCGGAGGTTATTCATATAGAAATAAAAATTGATTGTAATACCAACCTTTTAGCGCTTGGCGTGCTGACCGCTGAGTCTGAGTTATCGGAGGGAGAGGCGGGGGTGGCAGGAGAGGCGGCCTTAGCGTCCATGGAGTCTTCCGTGCACGACGTGGTTGTGTCTTCGTTTACTGAGTCGGCCAGTTTGCCTGTGGACAAAAGTAGATAGGTTCCAAGATTAAAACCTTTAAGTTAAGCTGTACCGATAACGAACTTATTATTTATTTTGAGAATAAACTTTAATATGATATCGTTTATAAAAATTAAAATCACGGCGCAATTAATTTGACGACCTCCGTGGCCGAGTAGTTGGTACGCCGGGTTTCATGGTGTCGCCGAATCCCGGTGGGGGCAGATGTTTGTATGATGAATACGAGCATTTGTACTCCAGTCATGGATGTTTAATATTTATTTCTATATAAATATCCTTGTATATGGTACAGTATATGTATTCTATCCGTTACCCCAGCATCCCATTCCACAAGCCTTACAGTTGTTACTTTGGGGCTCATTGCCGGATTTAGGGGAGGGCAACCGGGGCGAAAGCCCCGGGGCCTCCACAAACGGGGGGCCCCCACAATAGACTTCGGAAAAAAAATCTTTTAAACTCCAACTAGTAAACACTAGTAAACATATTTTCGGTTCCGTTCGTTAACTTTAAGATTTAATTTCAGATAATTCTTGTTTATATTTATGTGTTTGTTCAATACTAAGGGAATCTACTTGGTTCACAATAAATTATTTATTGAAAAATTCTACTGAAAAAAAATTTTTTACTTTATTTGGAAAATAATTTGGGGTGAGGGGGGCCTCCGCTCCTCTGTTGTCCCGAGGCCTCTGGACCTCTAAATCCGGCCCTGTTGGGGCTAGGCTAATTGGTATGTTTAAAAAAATGTACCTATAGCGTTAGCGTAATATTAGCCGACTTCAAAAGGGACGAAGTTCTCAAAGCAACAGGTATGTTTTTTATGTTTGTACCGTACATTTGTTGAATATAGTGTACACCGATTACGTAAAGATTTCTTCTCCGATTTAAGTGATTCTTCTTCTATTCTATGATAATTGCCGTTTGGGTCCCATAAAAATTTAGTTTGACCAAGTAGTTTTCAATATGATTATGATCATTTTTGTTTACTTGCATAATGTTATGTTCGCGATACTTACCTATTATAGTTCTACGGTTAATCATATTGACTTTTGTATGTGTAGTCGCTTTACAGTAAAATGGATGAATAATTGTTATCTATTTATAAACATAAAATAATATCCGACTTCAAAATCGAAAATAGAACTAAAAAGTAAAAAATATTATCCGGTAGCACGAAATCGGGCGGGTCCTCATTTATTCATTAGTTTTTCATTTAGTCTCAAACGATCTTATAATTTGATGGTAGTACTAAAAAGCACCGTTTGATTTTAGTTCCATAGAAATTAGGTAATAATCGTTAATATAAAGTTTAACGGATCCAGAAAATTATCGAAATGAAAACTTATAATGTTAAATGAAAAAACTACTTAAAAGTTATAATGAAATGATTGATACCTGCTTTTATTATTGGTACTTGTATGAATGTCGTATTGTTCTATTGTTTAGTATAAAATCGTCAACGAATACTCTTAAAATATAATAATTACTGTCGGTAATAAATTACTATTAAAAATATTCAGAAGAAAGGTTGTCAAGAAGTTACATTTATTTCTCTAAGTAGGTATATTTTATGTTTGCTTTATCAACATGACTTCTTCATGCAATATTTATCGGTCGGCTTGTAGCTTTTCATGCATACTAGTAAACATTGTTTGATTATATACGTAGGTACGTATGTTAACAAATAAAATAGATATCCGTAATATATGGAGTATTGTACATTTACATTTTCCTTATTTCAAGTAGCTGTTATTGTATGGGTAAAGATTACTCGAAAGAGCAATGAAACACGGAAAAGGGCTTAATAACAAAAAACCAAATCTAAGAATTTCGGCGGTAAGGCCACGGTAAGGCGCTCAGCTTGAACATTAATCTGCAAGAATAGGTAGTTTTAAAATAATACCTCGTAAAATCTTCCCCTAATGTTCTACCTGGCAAACACAAAAGGGTTCCTTGTTAACGTTTACGGGGAATGTGCCTTTACCGCAAAACTATGGTTTTAAGCCTTCTTAAAAACGCTTTGGAGCGCGTATGATCATAAACAATGACAATGAAGTAGGTAAACGCGCGGTACCACTGCAACTAAGACAAACTAGGTAGAGGAGTTTTAACAAACAGGCAGGTAGAAATAGGTAACATAAGCTGCACTGCCGATAGTAATGTTATTCTATTCGATTGAAGTGCTACATATGCTTACTTGAAGAAATACTTCTTCAAGTAAGCATATGGCCTCATCAATGTCAAATATGATGTTCCCAAGCAGGTGTGGCTAATTAATAACTTAAATAAAACATTTGACGATCTGCCAACTTCGCAAAGGGTAACTGTAATACTAACTTATTATGTCATTATGTTATTTAGTTATTAATAACATTATATAAATTATTTCTTCCATTTATACTCAATTCACTTTCTATAACATTATTAGAGCAAAATTGAGATCAAAAAAAACAGGCGGAAATATGCTAAATATTTTTGGTTCTGTGCTAAATATGAAGACTTGGATATTTTTTTATTGCAGCGATTGGATTTTTAAACTCATAAAAATAAATATTTGCAATATCGTAATAAAATGATTCAGCGAACAATGACAAACTGCTAAATAATACTTTCCAGTAGGTATATGAGGTTAATTACATAAATGTTTATATAATCTTTTTTATTACCTATATACTTTTGTTTTATTTTCATAAGAGAAACTGCTTAGGTACAAGTTTTTTTTGTTTGGGACTTATTATTGTGAGTCTTAGGAATTTTCATAAAATCAATTTATAAAAATCCGTTAAAAAAACTCAAATCCGATAAACTTTACCAAAGTATGGGCAATTTTGTTTCTGTTAGCATGACTGGTTATTATAATTATATTATAAAAATATAATAAACGTACATGCTGCAATGCCATAGGTATTCCGATTTGATCACTACTTCATTACTACAAGCATTAAGTAAGACTGATGGATTTTTAATTGTTTGTGATTTGAGAATTCTGTTGAATGTCTTGATATAAACATTGTATGTATCTCTCCTACCACATACCCTTGTTTAGTTTATATATGTTAAAGATAAATATATTACGTTAGCTCGTTTTTTTTCTGTTTTACACTTTTATTCAGGTTCAGTTATTTATAATAAATGTAAACTAAGAATGCGTGTTTTTGTCAATTAATTATTATCTTATGCATTTTCTTTATTCGAAGGGTTTTTTTATTAAGAATAATATTCTTTTAAATAAAAGAATATTTAAAATAAAAAAACAGAAAGGATAACAACAATAGCTCATTATACAGAGAGTCAATATTTTCTTATAACATTTAAAATCAAAACATTATTTTTTAAGAATTCAAAGCCTAAAAGTATTGTCATACTGTCATGTTATCAGATTGATATGTTGAATCAACAAAACCATCGAGATAGTCCGATATTGGCCATACTTTCTAGTTGAATCGGATCGCTTTGTATGTTTCAATGGATTTGTTGTGATATACATTTAAAGAGAATATATATGAATCCTCCATCATTGTATTGCAATAGGAAGAGAATAAACCAAAACTTAAGCTTAAGTTAATAAGAAATATCTTCGATTTTATATACCTACCAACTTCACTGAACTTTTTTTTTATATTTCTTTCACTTATTAAAAATAACTTAAGTACCTATCCATTTTACTCATAATAAAAAAAAATTTTACTGGTTTTTGTGTGTTTTATATTATACTAGCAAACCCAGCGAACTCCGTTTCGCCACCAGATAGCTTCGTTTTATGTAACATTTCGTTTTGTGATTAAAAGAAAACGATTTTTTTTTGAAATTTTTCCTGAATTTTCTTTGCTATAAACCTTACGGAGCCCGAGACCTATCCAACGAATGCAAAACCGTGGAAATCGGTTCGTGCGTTCTGGAGTTATAGCGTCAGGAAGGAAAACCCGACTTATTTTTATATAGTAGATAAAGAGACTGCAAAATATAACTACTCACAAAGAGGGTGATTTGAATGATTTAATAACATGTATTTTTAAATTTAAAATCAAAAAGAGTTTCTTATTTTCGCAGCTTACTAATGGTAAGGCAGGATAAAGCTAATATTTAAACAAAAAATATCGTAATACTTAGCTTATTAATAGATCTTAAAATCGGCTCGGTCAATTACGGAATTGAAAATAGTAGTAATGGTAGTAACGCATCTATAATTATTAACCTAACACTCGGATAAAATAAAACACATGTACTTACCCAAGAGTTAAATATGTAATAATATATGAGCACCACCATTTAAATCTCGTTCTTTAATTGTTCATATTATAAAATAATGTAATGATAATTCAACGATTTACCTATTAATTTTATTTCAACTCATTCATATTTTTTGTTAAATTACTTTTGAAAGGCGAAAAGAGTTAAGATTTTTTTCCCACCCACGTGACCCAAACCTTTGAACTTTTATGTGTGCAAATGGCTCGAAGTTGAGGATGTAAACAAACAACTTCCCTTCCCTCCCCCCGCTTCCTTTCCGCCTGACACACTGTCCACGTGGTATTGTGTATTTATGTTACATTATAACGAAAGCGTGCGATATGCTTTGCGCTACCGAAATAGAACTCAAAAAATAGTCGGAAGAAAGAATCCGCCGTTATCAGAGTTCCTATTATTAAACAGTGTTGAGTGAGGTTAGTTTTATTTTTATATTCGCCGAGTAATTGCATTTGCAGTGTCATTGAATATACAAACTTTTCACGTACGTATGATTGTTGGCAACGCTGTTCGTTAAAATACCGTAACGCAAGAAGTAAATTGGACTGAAATTATTTTGTATTCGTAACACAACTTCTTTGTGCGTGGCGCGTATTCAAAGGTTTTATTCCTGTACCGTTACTTTCATTGTAAACGGTTCTACAACAAATATGCGGTCCGTAAATTTATTTTTATTGTTCTAAGGACAATTGTCTTTATATTTCTTTATATGTCTTTATTATATTTCAATCCTATTGGAACATGTCCTTATTTACAGTTGCCTTCTTCGTTGTAATTACATACAAACTTTACACGGTCAGTCACTTAAAAAATGTACTTAGGACTGTTGATAATACAATACAAAGACATTACAATGTGACTTGCTAACTCTGCAAAATCATCATATACCATTACAACCGTGTTTGCATACCTATAAATTTATATAATAGAATGTCTTCATGAGATAGTGTAATGTAAAGAAAAGATCCGGATCGAGTTACATGTTGTAGTGTCACATGCAGCTATTTAATACTCAACAAAATGGGAATAAGATGTACAATTTGAAATTATCAGTTTGAATATATAATACAAGATTCCAAGAATGCCTTACTTATTTTCTCATTGACAAAGTATGGTTGGATAATCGAATAGTATTAGTGTGTACAATGAACATAATATATCTAATATATAAAATTCTCGTGTCGCGGTGTTTGTGGTTAAACTCCTCCGAAACGGCTTTTCCGATTCTCATGAAATTTTGTGTGCATATTGGGTAGGTCTGAGAATCGGACATCTATTTTTCATCCCCCTAAATGTTAAGGGTAATCCACCCCTAAATATTTTTTTTTCAATTTTAGATATTTTTTTAATTTTTTTTTATGTTACATCATACAAAAATACATACATCCCTAAATTTTCAACTTTCTACCACCAACCCCTATTTTTTTATGGCGGTACGAAGTTCGCTAGGTCAGCTAGTATATATATACATGCTTACTTTGCTGTGGGCCAATTTTTTGGTCTCAGGTGACACAGGTGCGTAAAAATTTTACTCACCTAACTTACCAATATGTTTAATTGATTGAAATATGGCGAGTTGTTTTTGTATTTATTAATTACAAAAATACAAATCGTTCCTCTTTATTTACCAATTACGTATGTAGTGTCTGTTTTATACAGCGATATGGTTTCTTACCGTTGCCGTTGGTGGAAGGCGGCTCCAGGTTGCTTTCGTCGCTGGGCAGAGGGGACCCCCCGTTTGTGGGCGCGTTGCTGTTGGGCTCCTTGCCCAGCAGCTCAGGCCGCAGGTCCGACACTATGTTGTGTGTCCATAACGCGAGCTCCACCATGTGTGGGGACCATTTCTTGCCACAACCATTTTGTTCCTAGAACAATATCATTTCCTTCTTACAATATCATTTGCTGACAACCGACCGTGACCTTCGTCGACAGTCGACGAATGTCGTAAAGTCATTTTCTGTTATACATATTTTTATGGGTTTGGAACCAAATATATGAAGTAGAAGTTTAACGTTGAAAGTGGTTGTTTTATATTGATCCATTTATTTTATGAAGGTATCTATTTCCGCTTGTTTAAAGTGTTGTAAGAGTAAATACAATAAATAGGGTTGATGACGGGGTTATTATATAAAGTCTTTGGACGGGGTACAGTAAACAAAATTCTATTTAGTCCGTCAGTTAGATGATCGAAAAATAATGGACACGTATTTTTTCTTTGGGCAATCAACCAAAAAATGACAAAGTTATAGCGCGTCAAAGTTTGGGAGTAGGGGCTCGTGACGTCACTTTTGAGTGAATTTTCACTCATAAGTGTACTCAAACGTGACGTCATGCGACTTTTCAAATCAATATATCTCTGCATTATTTATATTATGTGAAAAAAGAAAAAATACGTGTCCTATACTTTTTGATAATCTACCTAATAAACGAAGAAAAAAAAATTAGTCATCATCCCTATTCTTTCTACTTTCAATTCGAAGAATCTTAGAATTTTTTGGTGGTTTGTGTGTTGTGTCAGTGAGTAAGAGTTCCAAGGAGCAGGGGGGCGCGAGAGAGACTATAGTATTATGGCATGGTGGACACTTGCCATCAAGCGTGTCATAATTTAAGCAACAGTTACCCTTATTTTTCTTAAAAAATAAACCAAGGCGTTCTTGTACAACACGGGATATTAAAACTTTTTTTGTATGAACACATTTTATTAATTTTTTTTTTTTTTTTTTTTTTTTAAATCATTTATTCAGTTTAGGCTGTTACAAGCACATATGAATGTCGAGAAGCTACGCCATCGGTTCGTAAATCTACGGCGGGAGACCTTGTACTGAGAAGAACCGGCAAGAAACTCAGCAAGGGCTGTTTTTTTCTCCCTGTTTTATCATTTACAGAGTCGTCAAGTTGAAAAATGACTTCAGAGATGATTCATGAAGTCACCCTTCATTACATAATGTGAAATTATACATTAATTGTACACCTGCATTTTGATTGCTGTGTCACACAGTATAAATACAAACAGAGTTATTTATAATAGGTGTAATGAAACATTTATATCTTAAATATCAAAGTAGTTAGGGCAGACTCATCTCCGCTAGCAGCACCCGTTCACGAGCATGACGCATGAACCAGCCATCGCTTCGCTCAACCATATTTTAGGGAACGTAACGACCCGCCTCACACGACACCACCGAAGAGACTTTTAAGAGAGCATGACTACCCATAACCACCTATATCAACCACAACATATTTACTTAAACTTAAAGTCATTTATCTGTAGGACACTGCAAACAATTACAAAGCAAAAACAATGGAGAAATCATGACCACGCCATTTTGTCATTCAAATCTTCTTAAATAGTAATAATAGTATAGTAATAATAACGTTTTAGAACGAAAGAATGTTATGGATACATGCACTATATGGAAAATGTACCTCGAATACAAAATTGTATCTTACCTTATTTAGCCTATCACAGACGGTCCGTATATGTGTTACGAAATTGAGGTATTCCTTGGCAGTGTAGTCGCTTCCTTCCATTTCTGGGATGGCTTGTAGGCACTCGTCAGCCATGAACGGTGCTATTTCAGGGCTTGCTGCCGCGAGGAGTGCTGATGCCGTCGCTGTACCCACCCCCTTCAGATTGCTAAGTGCTGTCATCGCGGATTCTATGTTGGGCAATTTACGGAAAGCCTTCTTTGTCTCTTGCATTACTGCTCTCGGTGTATTTACTTTTATGAGATATGATAACTGTGGATAGAATCTCCCTCTCTGCAACGACAAATAATTTTAGCCATTAGTTATCGTCGTTTGTAAAGAAAGTTAATGATTCGGTGATTAACTGTGTACATCAATAATACTTATTAAGGATAATTGGCTTGAGAATTTATTAAACAAAAAAATTGGAAGAAGTTGCTCAAACAAATACCTCGTGGTGATGGTGACTTATGTTCTGCAAACAGATATTTACCCTATTGTATATGAAATAAGTAGCAAATTCACACGCTCAAAACGCGTTAGTTACACTCAAGACTCAACTACAGTTTATCATAAGTAAAAAACCGGCCAAGTGCGAGTCGGACTTGCGCACCGAGGGTTCCGTACAAACCTGTAGGTATATTTTAATAATTATTAAAAATATTTTTTATTATATGATGTAACTAAAAATTTACGGTTTTCGCAAGTTTTCCTTTATCTGAACTATAAGACGTTACTTTGTACTAAGTTTCAAGATTCTAAGTTCACGAGAAGAACCCTGTAGGTTTTGATTCCCGTGCGAGTTTCGAAAATTTGCTGCAAAAACGGCTGTATCTTTTGATTGCTTTTGCTTAGAAGTTTGATTTTTTTCACAGCTCCAAGGGACAGTAGATCAGAGTATTAGATATGAATTGCAGTTTGATACCTCCACGCGTTCCTGAGAAAAACGGTCGTGACAGATGGACGGACGGACAACAAAGTGATCCTATAAGGGTTCCGTTTTTTCCTATGGAAGTACGGTACCCTAAAAATGATGTATTGGTGGGATTTGTTACGTTACAAAGAGGCTGTTTTTTCAAACTGTGACGTCATTCGACGTAATTTTTCAGTGTTGAATATAATATTGTTAAACTCACTAGGATAACAATTTATTTTAAAAGCAAGTTTACAAACTCGTACGCTACGTACCGCTTGTTTCCATTTCATAAGTTGCACGAGCTCTTCGTGTATCATGTGAGCATCTTTGCCTCGCGACTTGATCTTTTTTGGTAATTCATTCTGGTACCTGTAGACAAGAAAAAAAAATTAAATCCAAAACAGCTTAGCATAAAACTGGGCTTATCCGTATTAGTATTATTGTTTGATTATATTTCAACCAAGTAAAATTAAACTTTGAAAAAAACTACGTGGATTGTTTAAAAATCATTTTTTCTAGAAGTCGCTTTGCTGAATTTCTTTTAAGGATGTACCACATGATCCGGAGTTAAGGACAGCATTTAATACATAACAGAAATCTTATGACCGCACTCTGTAACTTAAATGAATTATTATAAGTTTAATAAAATATAATTTTGTCAGGGCTTTAAAGTACTTTATTTTTTTGATAACAGGAAATAACACGTGACTTAACGAGGTATTTTTGGATGACACTGAGTGCGCCAGGGTCTTATTATTGCTATTTTTTATGTATTTATTTATAGCTTTATTTTCAAATCCGATGTTTAAAATTGAACTTTTAGACTGATTTGTGGACATCAGATTTGCTTTTCAAATGAAGCCTATTTAATCTGACTAGATGGTATGTACTTCGATAAATTACTCTTATTTGGTGACTCATCTAAACCAAAAATATCTGTTGTAACCTTTTTTTAGTCTTCCATATTCAGTAGTATACACCCCCCTAGTATATAAAATAAAGCAATGTTTACATTTCTAGAATTTAAAGTATAACCCGATGATTGGCCGAATTTAAAAAAAAAAAGGTATAATCCTACATGTTAGGTATGCACGTAGGGTGGGTATATAAGTTTATGTAAAATAACTAAAAACCTTTGATTTTATTAATAAATTAGAATCATTCTATAAAATAACTGATATATTACCAACTTAGTTATTTAAATTTAATTACTTAATTGTATCTGTTATTGTTATAACTTCATATGTACGTCTCGGTACTGAGTTTTATTTCAGGTTGTAATTTAATTATGTAATGTGTAATAAAAGCATTGCTTTTAATTGAGGACAACACAATATTTTTGTGATTTACAAGCAACTTTAAAGTATTTTACCTCTAGAGTATTAAGGTGTCCAGTTACTCATGAATAATTGACTTATATACGAAATTTCAAATACCTAATCTTTTATTAGTACCTACCTAAGTACATAGTAAAAAAAGGGCAAATTTACGATATTTCTTGACAAACAATTAATTGTAAAAAGTGAAAAGACATTTAATTTAATGTTTTATTTGTAACTACTTATATCAACCTCGTTATAAAAGTAGGCGTTCTATCTAAGTGGGTCCCCTTTCGTTCGCTGACTCACTGACTATATATTTAGTAACTATACTTAATATTAAGTTTAGGAAACTAAATAAATATATTAATATCTTATCCACTGGCAACATATGGTAGGTAATAATTTGGTTTCACAAAAGATAAATTAAATTTATAAGTTACTATACGAATAGCAAAGCTAAAAGGCAAGTCACCATTTTGAACGGATGTGACTCGGCTAAACAAAGCATTGTATTATTAACAAAAGCAGTTAAAAATACAATAACTTGTCGTTTTCATTATCGAGCTTTTTGTAAAGTTAAGATATCTGTGAATTTACTATAGAACAGTGCTAAAATTTGAACGTAAATGCATTAAAACGAGTCATGAAACGTAAAGGACAGCCACCATTTTATAACGCCTGAGCGCGGCGATATTTTCCCCCACACTGGCTTCAGGAAAAACGATTGTGTCAATTTGACATCGATCCCACGTGACGCAGTGATTTTAATGAGCACTCCGCGGACTAGAGATGCAGTCCGCGAGGGAGGTAGCTATCAAATCAGTTTGCACGGATACACACACAATACAAGTTCATTGACACGCCACGGCCGCATTTTCTCCTTTCAAAGACGTTCGTACTTACCAATTGTCCAATTTTATGAGCTCCTCGGGTTTCTTTGTTTTCTGTTCAGCTTTTAGTTTAATCGCCTGTGGATATAACTTCAAAACACTGTCAAAATCTTTTGCATCTGCCTCCAGAAAGAAAGTAGACGTGTCTTTCGCGGTAGCCATTGTGAATGTTCTAAATGTACAACACTGCGTATTAGTTTAGCTATAGCGCCGAACTCGACGCGGCGGCAGCACCTGGCCAACTGGGCGCACTCTCCCCACTCGGCGCCATCTTGTTGACTGAACCTCGCAATGACGTTCAATATTATTATTCGAAATGTGTAATATTCCCCCGCATTTTTAATTACATTTCGATTTAATTCCACGAAATATTGGCCTAAATATATTTTGGATAGTACATTAATTAGGTGGAATGCGTCTAAAGCAGTTTTGAGACTTGTTTTAAAACAAAAAATGTACTTACTCGCTAACGCAAGGTTATATCGGTCGCACATCGAGTCGTGGCGTCGGACATTTGTCTGGCCTCCTCCCACTAGGAATAACAGGATGCAAAAAAATAAATCCATGTTGTTAGGATATCACCACACTTCACTAAAATAATGATTATTGAAAAAGAAAATAGTACATAAATGAGCACTAAAAGCAATTTTATGATAGTCGCGTCGACCTCGGAGTATTATCAATTTCCTTAAAACGTGACGCAACACACGACACCGTTCTACCGAAACGACTTTGGTAAACACGCATATTTTCCGTTGCATTGCAGTACACACTGAGCTCGGAGTAGTCATGAAGTAGTAACTAGCGGTGTACATAAGGCATTTAGGTAGTAGGACGTACATATCACCGGGGTGGAACGTCACCAAACCAATCGGCTTTGTTGTTTTGATAGATCGCCATGTGCTCTACTCTCCCTAACTGAGGTGTAATATCGTTATGGGCATCGAACTTATCTCGCTAATTAAGTATTAACATCACAATCGTTGTTTACATTTACATACGCACTTACATAAATATTTCAATCACTACATTGATTTATAGCTTTTGAAAAATGTATAATAAATACCTAGGTAGGTACAAAGAGTCAATAGTATGTATCTATTTGTGTGATAGATAAAATAATAATTCAACTGTTTCTTCATGTCTCCCTAATCTATTTTTGAAAGTACTTACTTTATTATGTATGTATTAAAAAATACTACACAGATAGTTCTACAAATAGCTACTTATTCAAATTAAGTAGAGGTACCTTAAAACAAGTATCGAGCAAATCACACTATTTATTTAGTCAGTTTAAAACTGACAAGAATGTCGCCAAATATCAGAATAATACTTTAATCAAATATGTACACAATCATGATTCGGTAACAAATATTTATTTGGACACATTACACAAATGCCTCAACCGGGATTCGAACCCAGAACCGGGCTCGGATTAAACGCAGAAGGCGGGCTAAACAGGTTCGCCGCTGTTTCACCAAAATAAAATTATTACTTACCAATATCATTCTATATGGGGTATTTATGAAGTATTTAAGATTTAATATATTTATGTATAAAACAATACGTACGTATTTTTGCAGGAGAGCGTAGTAAGTATAAATAAGTAGGTTGCATTTCATTTACTTAGATAACAAAGTTATTTTACAATATGAAGATACAACGGTAGCTTAATATAGGTACACTTAACTAAGTACACTTATTCCTTTGTGAAAGTGATTACTTTTCATTTCAGTAGGTATCCTTAATGATGCACAGTCGAGTACAACACCAGTTGTAGAGTAACTTTGGAAGGTAAATACAGTAAAACGGTTGCATTTCGTTAAATAATAACTTTTTAGCTCTCTACAATTTTTTAACACCTAATTCCTAATGCTGGATTTTCTATTCAAGTTTTCTATTACTTTAATATGAGAGTCACTCGCCGATTTAATTAGTAAATAATTAAATTAACAGTCGAATTAACGTAACCAGTAAATTCAAATTATAACATTGTATAAAAACGGTTTCTTCTATATTGTTTCCGTTCCGAGTGACCATTTAATATTAAAATGTGTAGATAAATCATAATAAGCTCGTACTAAATTGACTTGCAAGTAGGTAATCAAGACTTTTGCACAATGACGTGGCGGCTCGTTAGCTCAGCGGTTAGAGCATCCGTTTATTTGATAATAGAGGTGGTCGGGGGTTCAAGTCCCTCACGAGCTGATTGCTTTTTTTTGCTTCTTTAATTACAAATAAATCATGTAGAAGTTGAATAAGTAAAACAGACTATATTACGCTGTAGTAAAAATGAATAACGATGCTAGGACGGTTAGGAAAAAAATATGCAACAGATAATAATAAGTTTTCTGCTTTGTTTGTTGTTAAATATAAATTATTCTATATATAAATATTACGCTAAGCAACGAATATTCTTAATATTTATTCTGCGCCAGTATCAGCATTTGGAAATCGAATTTACTCGCACGAAGATAAGCGAGCGCGATAATGTCCATAAATGTTAGCAACTTGTCATAATTTTCGTTCAAAATTCTAACAAAATATCGCTTCAATAGGGTGCGATTTCAATGCAGGGTTACGGTGGGTTGTAAAAGTTGAAAGCGTTCGGGGGTTCAGACAAAAAGTAACGTTTACAAATATCCATTTTAATGTGGTATAGAAATAGGGTTCAAAATGGAATGTTTTGCTTGGTGAGGGAACAGTTGGGTTTAATTTTTTATGTCGATAGGGACGCCCGGGCCCCGAGCGAGCGAGCATGCGTCCGATATTTTAACGAACCGAGCGACTGCCTGCTGAGTGGGTTGTTGAACAAGTTGAAAAGGGACGCAGTAATCATGAGTTTTCTGTATAAATAAATAATAGTAACACAACAAAATGACGTATAGAAATATCTGTTTGGTTCTATAAACTCTCTTTCTGAACTTATTCTTAGTATAATTGCTGGACGTTAATGTTTTATTCTACCAAATTCTACTATTAAAAAAGAAAGTGATAAAATCAACTTTAACTTACATTATTTTGTGTTAAGAAGAAACTGACAAAGATAGTCTTGGTTTTGGAAAGTAAATAAAACTGTTAATTTTTAGGGTTCCGTTATTCGTTAATTGGTTCCGTACATAAGAGTGAAACAGAACCGTTATAGGATATCCATCTGTCACGCTCACGCCTGTCCGCCTGTCAAGATCCTTTTTCGTGGAATGCGTGATATCAAGCTAAAATGAGTACCATCTACACGTTATGTAAAATGTTGCCAAGATGGCAAGAAGTTTTCAGATCTCAAGTAGATTCTACATAGAGAGAGAAGTAAGCTTGGCTCTTTATTGTAGATCCAAGCTTTAACTTATTAATCTAATATAGAGCCAAGTTTCTAACTCTACACACCTTAATTCTATGAGCCCTAACTTAGTAAGGTGAATTTAAGTATCAGACGGTATTGAACCTGGACAGAGTGGATGTTTTTATAGTAATATTATTCTCTCAAGTAAAATTTTCTTTAGATTTAAACAAATAGCAGTTAAACGCTTACAAATAAAAATATAAAAGGTGAATTTATCTGTTTTACAATAACAGGGCCCAATAATATTATTGTCACGTCTATCTTACTCAGATAAAGAAACACACCACTAAAAGGTATTTAATTTTTTCACTGTATTTAATGGACTGAGGCGTAGGTTACTTCCCCAGACGGGCGCTCCAATTTGAGCGGAAAATCCGCTATGCCCTTACTTCTTTAGAAAGGCTTTCTATTGATTCTATAAAAAAAATCTGATTCCATTTTGGGAATCCATACTAATATATTATAAATGAGAAAGTGTGGCAGTCTGCCTGTTTGTTACCCCTTTGCGATTAAACTGCTAAACCGATTTGATTGAGATGATATTTGGTATAGAGATAGATGACATAGGATAGTTTTTAACCCAGAAATCATCCTTTAATAGAGTGAAAAGGGGGTGGAAGTTTGTATGAAAAAGTAATTTTTCCACACTTATCAAAGAAGTCAGAGTTACATGCATGATTTACGCAAATTGCAAGTTTTATCAGTTGCTCTATATTATCTTTATAAAATGTATAATTTTATTCATATTCATAAGATGTTTAGTAACTAATAAATAAATTTTGGAATGATGATTAATTTAATTTTCAATCAAAATTGGTTATCAATAAAAAAAATCTGACCAATTGCAAGTCAGGTTCGCGCGTGTAGGGTTCCGTCCTTTTATCTATAGAATAGTAGAAGTGATAAGTAAGACACTATATTTTAATATTGAGCAAAAAAACATGTCTGTTTGTATGAGAATATCCCTTGAATATTTATTTTATTAAAATAATTTATTTTTAAAGTTAATAAACAACTGAATATTCTGTGAATTTCAAGCGTCTACCTGTTGCCGATCGAGCAAAAAACGGCAAAAAATCACGTTTCTTGAACGGGAGCCCCACATAAATATTTAGCCTTAGCCTGGAGACAGATAGACCCCGTGATTTTAAGAGAGGCAGGAGGAGGAGCTTCTGTCTGGGGAAGTAACCTCCATCTTACATAAGACCATAGTAACATACTTACCTTTTGGTGGTGTTGGATTTTAGTTCTTTGTCGTTCGGTTCCAGTGCTCCACGGAGTAGGGGATTGGTTCAGCGTAGGCAACGGCGCGAGTGAATATTTTTGTATCGCAAGCGTCTATAGGCTATGGTGGACATTTACCATCAGGCGGGCAATTTATTGGTTCGCCACCCTTTTAACATAAAAAAAGACAGACGAACAGTGGAAACTTAGTAATAAAGTTCTATTTAAACATATTTAGGCTAATACGAAGATAAAAGTTTCTAAGGTTGATAATGAAGCAATAATGGTACCTAGTATGTTTTGTAACTTCATCCCCTTTATGATTTAAGATTAAAACCAATTCGGAGCAGGCCGTTGTTAAAGAAAAACCTATGTCCTCATTGAAAAAATGGCAATAGCGCAAAACAGTAAACTGTAAATGAAAGTTAATGACATAATTAACCCATCGATACTAAAGGATCCTAAGTAAAGAATGTAACTTCTTTTTTCCATGTTGTAACATACCATTTGTATAAAGTTAAGAACGAAATGCGCTTTATTAGTATTCTTGAGCAAGACAAATACCACAGTAGTGGGAATTAAAATTCACCTTTTTGCCCCAAGGTCGGCGAGTTGTGACTCGTGATAATCACAACGTGCTGGCGGCCGCGCTTGCGCTCCGTGAACCGCGATACGGAGAACGGCTGAGAGATATTTTTATACCTGATGTAATGTGAAGACTACTACCGCCATCTATTAAAAGGTAGCCGCAACAGTGTTTCGCCGTGTCGGTCGGGTTCAGGTTGCTTTAGAAACAGCTGTTACTATGGTTTGTAGATTAGAAAATTATTTATTACCGAATTGGGTTGGGTATTCACTTGTGATCATTTTTAAAAGTAAATCAATGCCTATTGACAAATCTGTTGAGCACCTAAGTATCGTATGTTTAAGGGCATGTATTATAAAAAGACTTGTAATTTATATTGTCCTTAAATTTGCGTTATTAATAACAGTTTTAATTGACTTAATGAAATCTTATGGAAAACTATTATACTCGTAACATCATAATCACTTACTTCACGTTTTTTTCTACATTGTTTTATCACAATTCTACTAACTTACGCAATACCCATTAAGTTGAAATCAAGTTTACTTGCGTCATTTCCAGTGAGGGTTGCCCTTACTATATAATATTGTATCCTACTATATAAGGGGATCAAATGCTATATTTCTATAAAAAATATAGTAGACGAAACTACTATATTTTGCTTAAAGCAAAATTTTGCCAGTAAAGGCTTTCTTAAAAATAAAAATTGAATTATTTAGGTATAGACCAGCAAAAATATACTCATTTCAAAAATAAAGTAAATAGTTTAACCACATACTATATTTTTTCCATTTTTTGCCATCTACTATGTTCTAAGAGGTAACAGCTGCAAAAATACTATATTTGATAGAAAAAAGTTGGTAACCCTATTTCCTCATGCTCATTTTATAAAATACCTAAGCTTCACTTTTGAAAGAATAAGCCCTCCCTCCGGAATTACATGCGGCAGTTAATTTTTCACGATTTTTTAAAGAAATACAGAAAAGTATTTAAATCTAAGTATAACTTTTATGACTGATATCCCTAACAACACGACATAAAGTATTGACTATTTAAATTAATCTTTCAAAAATAGAGTGATAATTAAAATAGTGATTCGTTTCACTACTTATTTTTAATAATGAATTAACGTTTTTGCACTGTAATTATGTTTCTTTACTGAAAAGATCTTTTATTTATGTATAAGTTTGAAAACGGCGATTATTTTAAGTACTTACAAGTTATTTGTTTCTTAGGTTTTCACGCACATCACTCATAGTATCATATCATCACAAAAAAAACTAGTTTTAACGGGTTAATGCACGAACTTTATTTATTTATTGACGTTTCGCACCCTTTTCAGGTCTGCAGGACTGCATCGTCACAATAATGCAGACATGAAAAGGCTGCGAAACGTCAATAAATAAATAAAGTTCGTGTTTTAACCCGTTAAAACTAGTTTTACTTACAAGTTATTTTTAAAATATTTATAAGATTTTGTTTTACTTTCACCAAAACATTTTATTTGAATATGCATAATTATACATAATGTTAGGTAAAGGTAGTAGATTAGTTAATTAAACCTAGGTTTTTTTTCATAAATATCATAATAGATATCATTTACTAACTAAGAAACCTTTTAAAGAGGCTTTCATGTTATTCATCACAATATAGCTAATGTCAATATACTTATACTTTAAAGCAAACAGTTAAGAACGTCATATCACTTTCAATGAATATTTCGCAAAACTTTGCTCAATGGAGTGACGTCACCCACCGCATAGTACTCCAACGTCAGCTGATTTTAATATAGTATACCTATTTCCTACACGTATATAGATAATATTATTATATAGACTTCTTACTTTTGCGTCAGATGTTTTGCAGGGTTATTCAACGACTTCATTATTTAACAGTATTGTGGATTAGGGCGCACGCCTTCTCTTTTCTCCGATTCATCTCAGTCTAATTTCCTAAAGATTGGAATTGTTATAGATGTTATAAGAGATCTTCAAGTTAAATTGACTTAAGATTTATTATTCACTAAACAATGGTTAAAATTAAAAAAAACAGCATAAATACAATTACATTTAAAAGTAAGAAATAATAAATATTCTTATCTTATATTTTAGAATTATAATGAAAGTAAAATCAACATTTGGTGTTGGTGCCTCAGATTACAGAACGTAAGGTTTGTTCTTTAATCTGAGGTCGGTGCAATGCCAACACAAGCAGTAAAAGGCAATACAGATCTATCAATATGATTGGCTTTAAGATTTGTTTTTTCAAAGTAAAATCAATTAACTAACTTTAATATCATTATCATAATCATAATCAAAATCATTTATTCAGTTTAGGCTGTTACAAGCACATATGAATGTCTAGAAGCTACGCCATCGGTTCGTAAATCTACGGCGGGAGACCTTGTACTGAGAAGAACCGGCAAGAAACTCAGCAAGGACTGTATTTTTCTCCCTGTTTTATCATTTACAGAGTCGTCAAGTTGAAAGATGACTTCAGAGATGATTCTACTTCTAGTAGTTCCCTGACCTAACTGCATTATATTATTCATATTTCTTAAAATAATCAAACGAGAAATGAGTACTGTTTGTAATTGAGGAGTTCTATTGTTTGTCTCCAAAAGTACTCATCCGATATTTACCAAATGGACATGGGACCAATTCGCCTAAAAACTTATACAATCAAAAAAGGAATCATCAAAATCGGCCCATGCACCTTGGAGATATGTGCAAACAACAAAAAGTAGAATTAGAACCTCCTCTTTTTCGAAGTCAGTTAAGAAATGGAGATCTCCAAATCCAAAACAATTTGCATAATGTAATAAACGAGCAACTAAATTCTTACTATTTATACTTCCAAAAATATTACAAATTTTTAACATTTACATTACAGTATCAATGGAATCTTATCGGTCCCTAATGGCTATTAGATAACGTGTATCAATCCAGGTATGATCGAGAATGGACCTACTGCAAGCAATGCTTACAAAATATTATAGGTCACAAGTATACAGTTGTCCATAGCATAGCAGTAGTCACAACTCGGTAGCGATGTGAGTCGGACGCCGCGCCGCCCGCTTGTTCGCTTCTTCGCGCTCATTTGCGCCACGGTCGTTTGTTTCACCGTGAATTTGGGCCAAGCAGTAATCCTCCTCTCTGTCTCTTTCCCCGATTTTCACTCACTTGTTTATTATTCTACAGTCATTTATGTAAGAAGTTCAATGTTTACATCGGGGCTCCCATCTTACCTGTCAAATGATATTGTGACTTGTCTCAGATAATCGCCAAGAAGTTTCTTCAGCTTCAATTTATGTGCGTACCTATTTGTACTTTCTGTATGTGTATTTATATGTTGCATACGATACGTTGATCAAAATCATAGTGTAACATTGTGTGCTACCATGCTAGTGCCAGTGCACTATGAATGCCACTAGACCATAACATACATTGTAGTTGTATTTATTATCTAAACTGTAGCAACACTTTTATTTTTTCGCAATTTCATCATATCCATAACTTGAATCCTCAACGCAGATGTTGATTTCCGCATCTTTGCTAATAAATCTAACTTGCAATTACACCCTTTTACAAATGTATGTGTACAATACAAAACGTATATTCAAGTAAATCAAATGTTAAATAAACATTATATAAAGGCACACACAAATACGGAGCTTATGTATGTTGATATAAATGATACACGAAGGCTTATTAAGGATAGAACTAATAAGATAGTAATTAAGATACATGTGCTAGTAGAATTATACTAAGGTGAACCGTGTGCGTAAATTGATCACAACTATAGTACAATATAATCTTCATGAAACTACAATATAAAAAACAGCTGATTGATATTGCTTATCACATTAACTTTCTCAATCAAACCTTACTTTTTTCAAATCAAAATAAAAAAAACAATTTATCGTAAATTGTTTTTTTTTGTCATCAAGCAAGCGAACGATAACGTGCATTACATTCCATGTAAATGTCGGTAACATAGTTGAAACCGTTGGAAATGTTTAGTCAATATTATTCATTCCCTTCCTTGACTATCAATTGACCTTTGATCATCATGTATTCATGCAGTATTGCTGCTAAGGTAAAATTAGATTTGAGGTGGTAGACCGGTACCTATTTGGTTGGCTGTTCAAGTTTAACGTCTATTTCAGTATTTTCAATATATAACTTAGAACTTATTATGACAAACCGTATGGGTTTTTATCATCATTTCGAAAACTTCGGAAAACATGTTTTTTTGACTTGGGTACCTTTTAATTGCTAATTAGTTAAGCTGTAACCCGTTCTCTACTGAATAATAATTAAAAAAGGCTCAGAACACACTACAAGAGGCTACAAAGATCCTTATCCTAAATTAATGAGGATAGGATATGGATAATCCATTCGAACAAATCTAATCCAAATAGACACGCTGCATTTACTATCACAGTTGGTTACATTCTATCCAGATGTTTGAAGTCACTCTCTTGCAAACTCCTTCTTTCTAAACTTGACACTAAGTTTGATACTTCCAAAATGATCTAAGTTCCTTTTTCTAAATCTATAATTAATGCAGTGTCTGTAAACAATTATAGTATGGATATAATTAATGTAGATAAACACAAAATGTAAATTGTACCAAATAATCACGTTGCAGTGAGGTCACTAGCACTACGAGCGACTGTTTCTAAAACGTTTTTTCCACCTCTTTTACGTTTTGGGGATTACTCGTGTCGGACACTTTTAAACGCAAGATAAGGTCCAACTTTAGTCTTAGGTACTTGATTATTATTAGTCTTATTCGAAAATGTTATTCAGTATCGAAAACCTGCCCGCCGCTACCACTGACATAACCACTGGAACACGAACCTGAAAAACACTGGAACATGATAAAGCAGCCTTTTCTCGTTAGGATTTTACTATTAAGCGGGGTGAATATTAGATATTCATTTTGCTATGTCTTGCTGAAAGAGCTTTGATATTTCTATTATGTTCTATCGAAGTATCGAGTGGCATCGAAGTCAGCACCGAGTCACCGACTAAGGATACCAACCAACGATAATACCGACCAATTTAAGATATAAACATTTGACGTTTACAGGCACTGCATAAATTAATTGCTCCTTCTTCAGTTAAAAATTCCATCTTAGAATTAGCAATCATCATATTATAAATCGTATTATAAGAAAGATATGACAAAAATGAACATACCAAAATAGAGATTTTTGAAATTAAGGATTACATAACCCAGGTTGACAATTTACTCCAGCTTAGTACATACCAAGATATGAGTTTTATTGACATATAACTATAATAAAATAAAAGATAACGTCTATTGAATTTATGATATTTAATCACGCGCTTATGACATACGGATATAGGTACCTACGTAACCCAAATTATTTTATAAATAAATATTAACTAACGGTACAAAATTCAAAATAAGTGATAAGAAATCTTTTTTCATGAAGTAGGTGTGTTTTCGTTATCGCAGTTCTTACGAAAGCCGACACTTAAAGTATGAAACCGAATCCGGTGGGGATAAAAATCTTGTGATAATAAGTCAAACGTCATGTTATTGTAACTCCTGAAATTTAGAATTACCTAAGCAACGTGAACTTTTGATATTTAATATTTTAATACTTATATTATTTTGTTAATAATTTGATTTATTTGTGACTAAAGAAAAAAACCTTTGAATTCATTATTTATACATTTCATAACGATAATATAAAATATCAATTGATCAAACTTGCAGTTTGCGTAAATGATGCATGACAGTTTTGATGTGTGTTTATTCATACCAAAAATTTGGTCAATTAGGTAAGAACCCAATCAGCAAGATTATTTAATGAATTAGGTAGTCCTTCTCCTGTAAATTTACTAAATTATTTCTAATTCGTTGTTAAAACTGAGATACGACGTTTTCCTTGCAGGAGTTCTTAAAATTCAGCCGCAACCTCATTACCTACGATTCATAAGTCCACGCATGCATAATTTTAACATATGACTGGTATAATTATAACACGCTTATCGAAATGGTTATTAAAAACAACGAGATTATAAACTTTTATAAACAACCAATCAATTTGCGATTATTTGGGTTAAAAGGCGGCACGCACTTACCTAATACCTACTATGTAAAGTATCAAAATATACTCAGGCGCATCTTTCTCGATGGTCATTGTGAATTCAGTATTCAGTGTTAATACACGTAGGTTCAGCAGCAGTGTCAACTGTCGTTGCCCGCGTGTCTGTGAAGTTATTGAACATTTATTGTAAGTACCTATTGCTATTACTTTAAAACATCAATTAATACTTACACACATTAGTACAAACACAAAATAATATGTTAGGCGCTATAATACAGTTTGTGTTTTCTGTATCATATTTAATTACTAGCGGCCGCCCGCGACTTCGTACGCGAGGATTTTAATTAGAAATACAGGCTCACTGCTGCCGAAGGTGATAGCGTGATAATATATAGCTTATATGTTGACCCGACTTCTTAATAATATTCGTGCCAAATTTGAAGTAAACCCATTTGAGTTTATCCCGGACATACATACAGACAAACAGACAAAAATTCTAAAAACTATATTTTTGGCTTCGGTATTGATTGTAGATCACACCTCAAGTATTCTTTAAAAAAATATTCATGCACAGTTTTGATTTTCCTACCATTTTATTACTATATAATACTTTCCTGATAAAAAAATACATATTTCTTATTTAAGCAAAATATATATGTATAATATATTCAGACTTTAGATCCCTCCCTCTTAGAGCATTTACGAGTCGTAAATGCTCTAAGCCCTCCCTACTCCCTACATTATCTAGATGAGAACGCTTGACAAGAATAAAAATGTACCGATTATATAATCTCGGTCACGAGAGTTACGTTCACCAACAATTTGCACCACCACTGGTGTGGTGGGTCATCATGACTCATGGCCTTTCCATCCAAAGGGAAGGCCTGTGCCTTACCAGTGGGGATATTAATAGGTCAATAATGATTGATGATAATAATACTACAATAGAGCCAATATTCATACGTGCTTGGTTGGAAGCGAAAGGAAATAAAATGTGCTAGTTGCTAAATTTACTTAGCAGATAGTAAAAGCAGGTAAAAGTGAAAAAAAAACTATAACTTAAGTAAATATAAAATAAATATTTCTTGCACTCAGCTCAAAGGCAAACCAAATAGTCAAACTGGGTAGGCGTTAGGGCTTACAATCCCGGTATTCCGAGATCCCGCGCCTTTTTCCAGTCCCGCTCCTAGCGGGGTTACGAGCGCGGGATCCCGCGGGATTTGCGGGACTGCAAAAAGGCACATGCTAAACGTCGAGCCCGATGGCTCGAGCACTGAACGGCCGGTCGTGGTGGGACGCTCAAGTTTATGATCAGAAAACTGGAAGAAAATCATTCAGTATTAGCTTCAAAGCTAGCTTCGTCTTTGCGGCGACGTATTTCACAAAGACGAACTAATTTGACTGCACTTTTGCTTTATCTTCAAAACCCTTCCAGCTACAATGCGTCGCGTGATGACGAAACGTTCCATCTCGAAACGAAAGCTTTACTTCGAAAAGAATTAAAAGATTTTATAATGAGAATGCAATTCAGTCTTTCCAATTCAACCACTGAGAACAATAACAACGAAGACGTTGTTCAGCAAGGAGATCAACTACGTGAAGTCACAAATAGAAACTATGAAGAGGTTTCCGATCCTAACCTTTCACTTACCTTGCAGCAGGAGTTAGAGTTGACTATATCATCAGCATCTCAGCTCATATGTCCATCGCCATCTCGGGCTAACACACTCGAGTCCATCATAAAAAAAGAGATGACTCTTTATGAATCTGGGAGCTCCATAGGCAAATATCTATGCTTTGCGTACAACGCCTTAAAAGGAATTCCGCCAACTAGCGTGGAAGCTGAAAGAGTTTTTTCGGCAGCTGGTTATATTGCGTCTAAAATTCGTAGTAGTTTGGCTGACGACACCTTAGACATGTTATGTTTTCTTCGCAAATATTTTCAACAAAATATTGGTCAAAGCAAATAATAAATTTGATATTTTAATAATTTGTCATAAATTATAATTGAGGTCCTTAGTTCCTTACAGTTTGTTTAACATAGGTTGATTTTAATCTCAATAGAACTTATAGAAGTGCAATGTTATTTTGTTATGTGTAATATTTAATATTTGAAAGGTAAACTATAATAAAAGTTTAAATACGTTGATTATTTCGTTGTTTTATTTAGCTTAATAATTGATATCATTAATTTCTATGCGGGATCCCGCAAATACCGGGATCCCGCGGGATCGAAAATTTGCAATCCCGCAAGTACCGAGAGAAAGATAGGCTGCGGGATTGGAAGCCCTAGTAGGCGTGTTTATGAGATACTATGATACTGGATAAAAATACATATAATGATACACAGATTAGCATATTTTTGTAGAAATATAAATATAAAAATCTTAAGACTCGGGCACAACTACTCGTACTCCACTTTACCATACAAAAATTTGCCCTTACAGGGATTGAAATTAGGCGACTTTTAACACCGGTGCTTAAAAACCCCTATGGTTGATCGTCAAATAATAAATTTATTTTTATATTCTCTTGTATGTTCTGTGTTCCGAAACTACAAAGCTATAATACTGCGAAGAACCTCGCCAAAAACTATGCTAGTGATTTAATAGGTGTGTCCCTTGCAATACGGCCAACTGCTATAAAACGTCTGCAAAGTATAAGGAAATGAAACTCTATGACGTGAACGTTTATCTGACTATAATAACCTGACAATAATTAGTCACTAGGCGAATATAGCTTCGCTCTCGTGTGGCTTTAACCTTATGGCGCGGCGATCTGTTGGCTATCTACTGGTGGTACACTGTTTTAAGTGGGTTAACGATATTATTGCACCATACGATATTGGACCATCACAATACCAAACATCTATTTCAGTAGATAAGTTTTATAAGCAGTTGATTATCTTTGAATCTAAGCAATTAATATTTAGCTTTATACCGCCGTTCGCGTTTTTCTTGTACCATTCTATTGTATTTTGGTCAATGAAGTTTAAAATAAATAAATTAATTAATAAAAAATAAGTATAAGTAACTGTAATGCTATATTGGGTTCTAATGATATGACAAGTTACACACCTATATATTATTATTATATTATACAAATGATTTTCTAATTTTACTAATCTGCAAAAAAAAACTAGCTAATTTCATAGCCATTAGGACTGGGGTTTTCAAATTAAAATTTTGAGAGTTACCTGGGTGACTGACTCTGGGTACTGTCACTATTTGCTCTTGAATCCTAACAAATTAATGGTTTTCTTGACAATGACGACTTCTTAGTTAACATCATAGTTTCTTGCAATATTGCAGTCATATCTGCTGTGTGCGGGGTTGCCTGGCTACATTCCAAGGGAGCCTAGCATATAAGTAGGATAATATATAACTGGGGTCGTACCATGTACTCCTGAATACTCTCTACACATACATAAATGCTGTAAAGCTGCATCTTGTTTCGTTTCTACGATTGCTTTTATATCAACATAAAGAGTTCTTAGTACGGCTCCTGATGTTTTGGAATGAGAAGTGGTAATGGATAAGTTACCCATTTTTACCCGGCTGCGCAATGCAAGAGCGCGAAGCGCGACGCGCAGACAGGGTTATGTGTTTAACAGTCTATATATGTATGTTTATTTCTTTGTGGCACACTAGAGACCAAACGCCTGGACCGATTTTGATGATTCATACATCAATCGATTCGTCTCAATCATGGGAGTGCTACTAAAGATATGATAGTAATCAAAATTCAGTATGGGCAAAATTAGGCGCTATATTGTGACGAAGTAAAAAAAATAAGTTGACAAAATATGTCGAGTGGGGTATCACTGTCTAGATAATCAAAAATCATATTTAGGTTCCTAACACCATTTTTCATTTTATATGATTGTTTAGGATCTACAACGCTTAAAAGTTGTATATTAACCACTTACGCTTTTAATTTCAATCTTACGTTTGTATGGATTTTTGTTGCTCTTTCACCAAAAAAATACTGAATGGATTTTAATGAAACTTAACAGTAATATAGCTCATATATGATAATTACATATATATAATAATTTATGTAGTTATTGAGTGAATTGGCCAATTTATAACAATAAGTGTCACATAAGACGGAAAAAATCTCCCATTTGCGAGCCATTTTGGCCTGCACTGCAAAAACAATAAAAGTTACATGAATGTAATGTAGAGTGAAAATGTATCTCTTAAATAGTTCTAAAAAAAGTCCGTGACACCATATATCTATTTTTAATGTGTAAGTCATTACCGCTAAAATAGTGAATCAAAACTAAAATATTATTTGATATCTATTTCCAAAATGCACATTTTTTATTAACAAATTATGTTTTATCAAAAGAAATACTTTTATCACTTTTAATATTTACAACGATGACAAAGTGATAGCGCGGTGTACTATGTAAAAGAAAAAAAATGGGGTATTCGCAATATCTGATCCTATACGAAGTACTAACAATAAAACTGTGATACAGTTCCTTCTTATTGAATGATGAAAAACATCAAACAAACTCAGAATTTTACTGTTTTTCATTTTTTTTAACGATATTACTTAATGTTACAAAAAAGGTTTACTTAATATAATGACAAATAACCCATTTTTCGCTAGTAAGTACATACTTATTGAAATCCCTGTATTTATTAATCAGCTCGCAATAATATTGGTTTTGTAATTATTCTGCAAAATTCAAAGTAAAAAATGTAGATTTTTATAGGTAAATCACCCCTTTCATCACCCTACGCCTATAAGTATTGCGATGTTGTAGCTAAGAACCAAGTTCCCATCTACTTCTATATGGGAATTCATTATATTCGATTTAGCTATTAGGGCACGGAAGCGCAACAAATAAACTCACTTTCGCATCTATAATATTATATTATACTTACTAGTGATCCACCCGGGCATTGTACGGGCGAAATTTATTTATCGGGATAAAATATAGCCTATGTCACTCGGACAAAATGTATTTAAATAAAGAAAAATGTTATAATAAATAATGTAGCTACCTTATGATGAATTAATATTTGAAACCGGTTCAGTAGTTTGACAGATTATTTGGTACAAATCTTGCCTCTTTATAATATTAGTATAGATAGTGAGGATAAGTATTTAATTGATGAAAAAGATTTAAAAATAAAGTAAGTAATAGGTTTATTTGATTATATTTGTAAAAG